CAACAACTTAGATTTATATGCCAGACAGATCCCGGGGCCAAGGCAGGGGGAGGGGGAGGAGCCAGGGAGAGAGGGACAAGGAGGAGGCCAGACCCAGAGGAACGAAGGCAACGGGTACTGTTTTGAGGAGAGAGGAGGTCAGAGAGGTCGGGAGGTGCAGAGGAGTGGAGGGATTTGAAGACAAGAGTGAGGATCTTGAAGTTGATCCTCTCTGGGACAGGAGCCAGTGCAGTCTGGCCAGGACTGGGGGGATCGGGGAGCGGGGTTTGGGTGTGGGGGGGAGGGCCAGGACTGGGGGGATCGGGGAGCGGGGTTTGGGTGTGGGGGGGAGGGCCAGGACTGGGGGGATCGGGGAGTGGGGTTTGGGTGTGGGGGGAGGGCCAGGACTGGGGGATCGGGGAGCGGGGTTTGGGTGTGGGGGGAGGGCCAGGACTGGGGGGATCGGGGAGTGGGGTTTGGGTGTGGGGGGAGGGCCAGGACTGGGGGATCGGGGAGCGGGGTTTGGGTGTGGGGGGAGGGCCAGGACTGGGGGGATCGGGGAGTGGGGTTTGGGTGTGGGGGGAGGGCCAGGACTGGGGGGATCGGGGAGTGGGGTTTGGGTGTGGGGGGGAGGGCCAGGACTGGGGGGATCGGGGAGCGGGGTTTGGGTGTGGGGGGAGGGCCAGGACTGGGGGTGGGGAGCGGGGTTTGGGTGTGGGGGGAGGGCCAGGACTGGGGGATCGGGGAGCGGGGTTTGGGTGTGGGGGGAGGGCCAGGAATGGGGGGATCGGGGAGTGGGGTTTGGGTGTGGGGGGAAGGCCAGAACTGGGGGGATCGGGGAGCGGGGTTTGGGTGTGGGGGGAGGGCCAGGACTGGGGGGATCGGGGAGCGGGGTTTGGGTGTGGGGGGAGGGCCAGGATTGGGGGGATCGGGGAGAGGGGTTTGGGTGTGGGGGGGAGGGCCAGGACTGGGGGATCGGGAGAGCGGAGTTTGGGTGTGGGGGGGAGGGCCAGGACTGGGGGGATCGGGGAGCGGAGTTTGGGTGTGGGGGGGAGGGCCAGGACTGGGGGGATCGGGGAGCGGAGTTTGGGTGTGGGGGGGAGGGCCAGGACTGGGGGGATCGGGGAGCGGAGTTTGGGTGTGGGGGGGAGGGCCAGGACTGGGGGGATCGGGGAGCGGAGTTTGGGTGTGGGGGGAGGGCCAGGACTGGGGGATCGGGGAGCGGAGTTTGGGTGTGGGGGGAGGGCCAGGACTGGGGGATCGGGGAGCGGAGTTTGGGTGTGGGGGGAGGGCCAGGACTGGGGGGATCGGGGAGCTGAGTTTGGGTGTGGGGGGAGGGCCAGGACTGGGGGATCGGGGAGCGGAGTTTGGGGGGGGGGGGGGGGCCAGGACTGGGGGGATCGGGGAGCGGAGTTTGGGTGGGGGGGGAGGGCCAGGACTGGGGGATCGGGGAGCGGAGTTTGGGTGTGGGGGGGAGGGCCAGGACTGGGGCGATCGGGGAGCGGAGTTTGGGTGTGGGGGGGAGGGCCAGGACTGGGGGGATCGGGGAGCGGGGTTTGGGTGTGGGGGGGAGGGCCAGGACTGGGGGGATCGGGGAGCGGAGTTTCGTGCGGGTGAGAATGTGGGCGGCAGAGTTCTGAATGAGTTGGATTTTATGGATGGTGGTGGAGGGGAGGCCGGCGAGGAGGGCGCTGAACAGTCCAGACAACAACAACAACAACAACAACAAGATTCCATTTATAAAGCGCCTTTCACGTCAGGAGGACGTCCCAAGGCGCTGCACAGTTGGGTCATGACCCGAGCAGGGGGGAAATGGTCAGGGGAGGGGAGGGAGCGAGGAGGGGGGAAATGGTCAGGGTGAGGGGAGGGATGGGAGGGAGCGAGAAGGGGGAAGAGAGTCGAGAGGGGAGCTGGTGTCTGGTGCGGGACAGTACACGAGCTGCAGAGTTCTGAATGACCTGCAGTGTGGAGGGAGGTGGCGGGAAGGCCGACGAGGAGAGAGTTCCCATAGTCCAGCCTTGAGGTGACAAAGGCGTGGACCAGAGTTTCAGCCGCGTGAGGGGTGAGGTAGTGCCGTAGTCTGGCGATGTTCCGGAGGTGATGGAAGGCGGTGCCAGTTGTGGTGCGGATGTGAGGGAGAAAGGACAGCTCAGGGTCGAACAAAACCCCGAGGTTCCTGACTGGCTTTGAGAGGTGGAGAGTGCAGCCTTGGATGCTGATGGTGTCAGCGCCTGAGGTGCGGAGGCGCTGACGTGAGCCAATCAGGAGGGCCTCGGTTTTTCGCACGTTGAGCTGAAGAAAGTTGTCTCTCGTCCAGGACTCGATGTCGGACAGACAGCTGTCAGGACATCGGTGGTCGTGGAGTTGAGAGTAGAGGAGGAAAGGTAGAGTTGGGTGTCATCCGCATACATGTGGAAGTTAACTCCATGTCTGCGGATGATGTCACCGAGGGGGAGCATATAGAGGGTGAAGAGGAGGGGACCGAGGACAGAGCCCTGAGGGACACCACATGAGACAGTACGGGGGGTGGAGGAGAAGCCATTCGTCGAGACAAAGTGAAGACGGTGAGAAAGGTACGACCTAAACCATTCAAGGACAGTGCCTTGAAGGTTGAGGTGGGAGGACAAGCGGTGGAGTAGGATAGCGTGGTCGACCGTATCGAATGCTGCCGATAGGTCGAGGAGGACGAGGAGGCAGAGGGAGCCCTGGTCACAGATGGTCAGGATATCATTGGTGACCTTGACCAGGGCAGTTTCTGTGCTATGGGCAGCACGGAAACCTGACTGAAGGGGTTCGAAAAGAGAATGGGTGGAAAGGAAAGAGCGCAGTTGGGAGGCGACAACTCTTTCCAGGACCTTGGAGAGAAAGGGGAGGTTGGAGATGGGCCGGTAGCTTGATAGCTGCGACGCATCAAGGGAGGGTTTTTTCAGGGTGGGCGTGATGGTGGCAGTTTTTAATGGAATGGGGACAGAGCCAGAGGAGAGGGACAGGTTGATGATGTCAGTGATATGTGGGGCAAGAAAGTGGAGCTGGGAGATAAGGAGTGGAGTGGGGATGGGGTCAAGGGAGCAGGTGGTTGGTTTTAGGGATAGGATGAGTTCAGTGACAGAGGGTGGGGAAACGGGTACGAAAGTGTGTAGGGGAGGATGGGTAGGAGTCGGAGTGTGGGAGAGGGGGTGGGGGGTTGGTGGAAGTTGGAGGGGAAGTGACCGCGGAGCGGATTCCCTTGATCTTGGATTCAAGGAAATCCAGCATCTCCTCGCAGTGAAGGTTGGAGGAGATGACCTGCGCGGGGTGGCGGGGGGGACGGAGGAGTCGGGTTGTGGTGGAAAACAGTAGCCTGGGGTTGTTCTTCGCCTCCAGGATTATCCTGGAGTAGAAGGACGACTTGGCCGAGGCCAGAGTGGAGCGGTAAATTTTGAGCAGCAGCCCGCACCTGGCTCTTCAGTGAGCGGAGGTGGGTGGAGTACCAGGGGGAGGAGCGGGAGTAGGAGACAGTGCGGGAAGTGATGGGGGCAAGAGTATCGAGTGTGGAGGAGAGGGTATTGTGGAGGAGGGAGAGAGGAGAAGAGGGGTCGGTGAGGGTTGAAGGCCAGAGGGAGAGGAGTTCAGAGGACTCCAAGGCATCGGTTAGGGATTGTGGGGGTAACTTCTTCCAAGGGCGGTAGAAGATGGTGGTGGGTCTGGTGGAGGTGGGGAGGGGGGTGGAGGTGGTGAAGGAGATGAAGTAGTGGTCAGAGATGGCCTTGTCGGTAATAGTGACATCCGAGACACTGAGGCCCCGGGTGATCACCAAATCGAGTGGGTGGCCGTGACTGTGAGTGGGGGAGTTTATGTGTAAGGAGAGGTTGAGTGAGGAGAGCAGGGAAGAGAAGTCTGTGGAGATGGAGCAGGAGGGGGTGAAGTGTAGGTTAAAGTCGCCCAGGATGATGAGGCGATCAGAGCAGAGGCAAAGAGATGTGAGGAGTGTTGAAATGTCAGAGATGAAGGTGGGAGAGGTTTTAGGGGCCGGTAGAGGAGGAGGATTTTAAGGGAGAGGAATGAGGGGTGGGAGAGGGTGAGGTGCTCGAAGGAGGGGAAAGAGCCAGTGGAGTAGGGGGATAGGGCAAGTGGTGTCCTTGAGATAAGGGCAACACCACCGCCACGGCGGTTGGGGCGGGGGATGTGGTGGGAGGTGTAGCCGGGTGGTGTGGCCTCCGTGAGGGGGAAGGTGTCGCCTGGGGTGAGGCAGGTTTCCGTTAAGGCCATGATATCAACGCTCTCATCAAGGATGAGATCGTTGATGACCAGGGCCTTGTTGCAGAGGGAGCGGACATTTTGCAGTCCGATGTGGAGGGAGCGGTTGACAGAAGGGTGTGTGTGAGGGGAGGGGGGTCCAGGTTGTGAGGCAGGGGTGGGGGAGATGGGGATGAGGGAGGAGAGGTTGACTCCCCGGGTCTGTGTCCGGGGTGGCTGGCGAGTGTGGTGGGGAATGGGGCAGTCGGTGTGGCTGCTGCTGGACAGCCAACGCCGAGTGCCGCGGTGAGCCCGGCCGGCGGAGGGTTCCCAGACTGGAGCAGACGGCAGGTGACAAAGGTACGAACCAGAGTTTCAGCGGCTTTTGGGGAGAGGTATTGGCGGAGACGGGCGATGCGTCGGAGGTGAAAGAAGGCGGTGCTGGTGAGAGACCGGATGTGGGGAAGAAGGATAATTGGGGGTCGAACCTGAGGCCGAGGCTTCATACGGGATCGGAGAGTTTTAGGGGGAGGTCGGGTCGGTGGAGGAGGTGAGAGCCGTGAGATTTTAGACAGTGACGAGAGCCAAAGAGTATGGGTTCCTCTGGTCAACGTTCAGCTGAAGGGAGTTTCATCCAAACCCCTCCACTGTGTCTGTGCTGATGGGGGGCCCTGTGGGTCACATGGGGGGGGGGCCCTGTGGGTCACATGGGGGGGCGGCCCTGTGGTCACATGGGGGGGCGGCCCTGTGGGTCACATGGGGGGGGGGCGGCCCTGTGGGTCACATGGGGGGGGGCGGCCCTGTGGGTCACATGGGCTGTGGGGGTTTGCCGGTGTGTGAGGCGCTGTGGCTGTGGGAGGGTTACAGGGAAAGCTCTCGTCTTTGTTTTTTTTGCTTGTAAATGGTGATCCACTGTTGTGAGAGGCCCTAAAGCTGTGTGTGTGTCTGTGTGTGTGTGGGTCTGTCTGTGGGTGTGTGTGTGTGGGTGTGTGTGTGTCTGTGTGTGGGTGTGTCTGTGTGTGTGTGGGTCTGTCTGTGGGTGTGTGTGTCTGTGTGTGTGGGGGTGTGTCTGTGTGTGGGTGTGTGTGTGTCTGTGTGGGTGTGTCTGTGTGTGTGTGTCTGTCTGTGGGTGTGTGTGTGTCTGTGTGGGTGTGTCTGTGTGTGTGTGTCTGTCTGTGGGTGTGTGTGTCTGTGTGTGTGTGGGTGTGTGTGTGGGTGTGTGTGTGTCTGTGTGTGGGTGTGTCTGTGTGTGTGTGTGTCTGTCTGTGGGTGTGTGTGTCTGTGTGTGTGGGGGTGTGTCTGTGTGTGGGTGTGTCTGTCTGTCTGTGTGTGGGTGTGTCTGTGTGTGTGTGTGTGTGTCTGTCTGTGGGTGTGTGTGTGTCTGTGTGGGTGTGTCTGTGTGTGTGTGTCTGTCTGTGGGTGTGTGTGTCTGTGGGTGTGTCTGTGTGTGTCTGTGTGTGGGTGTGTCTGTGTGTGTGTGGGTGTGTCTGTGGGTGTGTGTGTCTGTGGGTCTGTGTCTGTGGGTGTGTGTGTGTGTCTCTCCTACCTCTCCGACCTACTATCCCCCTACCTACCTGCCCGTACCCTCCGTTCCTCTGGCTCCGGTCGGCTCCACATCCCCCGCCCCAACCGCCCTACCATCGGTGGTCGGGCCTTCAGCCTCTCAGCCCCGAGGCTCTGGAACTCCATCCCCAGTGCCTTCGCCGCTTCCTCCCTCTCCTCCTTCAAGGCCGGTCTCAAGACCTTCCTCTTTGACCGTGCCTTCAGCTCCCCTCTCGACTCTCTACCCCCTCCTCGCCCCCTGCCTTCCCTCCCCTCCCCCTGACCATTTCCCCCCAATGCTCGGGTCCTGACCCAACTGTACAGCGCCTTGGGACGTCCTCCCGACGTGAAAGGCGCTCAATAAATGGAATCTTGTTGTTGTGCGTGTGTGTGGCTGTGGTGTCTGTGGCTGTGGCTGTGTGTCTCTGCGTGTCTGTGTGTGTGTGGCTGTGTCTGTTGTGTGTGTGTGTGTGGCTGTGTCTGTTGTGTGTGTGTGTGTGTGGCTGTGTGTGTGGTTGTGTCTCTGTGTGGCTGTGTGTATATATATATATATATATAAATGGCGTGTTGTTATGTGTGGAGTGTCTGACCTCAGTGTTCTGTCCCTCTGCTCAGGTCCCAGTCTGTGCTGAAGGCGAGTATCGAGGTGTTTTCAATCCTGGATCCCACCATGAACATAACCCAGGGTGGTCTGGTCCTCCTCTCCGCCAGCTCCTGTGCGGCCTGTGCTGAGCTGGCCAGGAAGATTTCAGAGTAAGTAAATAATAATAATAATCCTAGCATTTGATGTAGGGCTGTATGACATCTTCAAGCCATCTCCAAGGGCTTCACAGAATATACTGTGAAGTTAATTGACCGCTTAAAGCAAATCAATACATTTAAGCAATCCATCAATTTTATGCCTTCCTCCAACAAAAAAAACAAAGTGCAATCTGCTGCAATGTCCTATTTATTTTATTTATTTATATATAAAAATCTGAAGCTGTCTTCAGTGGTAAATGTTGTCTTTTGAAAATGGCTCTTTCACCCTAACCCCCACTCCCCACTTTACCCACCCCACCCTTTTTGTGTGTTTGCTGGAGAAACTTCAGTGTGTGAGAGAGAGAATGTGTGTGTGTGTGTGTGTGTATGTGATCACAATCTACAGCGGCATTAATTAACATTAGTATCTCAGCAACTACTGTTGTAAACTTTGAAACATTTTGCCTGTCCACACTTGCAAGTTCTTAAAAATGTTTTTAATAAGATGCTACTGTATAGATGATCTCAGGTTTATCAGGTGTATAGTAATTAAAATATTTGTAATGAGCGGTAAAGATTTTGAATTACATATTGAAAATGTAGATGTGTTTTCTTGCTTTATTTTGGCATACACATTGAGACTTTTTTGTTACCACAAGTCGCTCCATATTTTTTAAAATATTGAATCACAAAAGTTGCTTGGGTCAAAACACGAGGTTTGTTACTGTAATTAATCTTGTGGAGTCACAGCCTCTGATAAAAATAGTGCAGTCAATTGAAGATAATGTAAAAGCTACTTACATAGTAAACCTCACATAACGTCGCATCAGTTAGGACTGTACATTGAATCTGACTTATGCAATGTATGAGTTGGGTAGATATACGACTAAGATGTACAATTATACGATTTATTCAGATCAGACGTATGCAATTTTTGCTGTATAATTTTCTGCATTTTGTAAGTTTCTGATTTTTATTAAAATACATTTATTGAAGCAGGAATTTCCATTCTCACAGGATGTAAACTGTATGTGCAGATACAGCTTAAGTATCAGATATTATAATATGAATAGATTGAAGGTGAAAAGTAGAATGTTTTATTTTGTCTATGCTGATAAAAGAAAATGTTTTTAAATATCATTTTTAATGATACTTGTTATACAGTTTAACTGGATGGTTTATTCCATTGAGCTCCCTTTTAAGGTCAAACCTTGAATGGTAATGTCTTGTGTAATATTGAGCCAAAAGTACATCCTATTATTTTTGTTTAACACTCAACAGGGTGATTAATTCTTATAAATAATATTTTTCCCCTCAGAAAGTCAAACAGGACACTTGTACCTAACACTGTCGAGTGCCCCTTCTTCCCCTCCCCAAGCTATGCGATTTTAGCCTGTTAGACTCGAGCAGTAGCCTTGGCTGTTGCTAACCTGCGCTTATTTCCAGAATTAGGTAAACAGGATCTGCCCCTCCAGGGAGAGATTTCCATATATAAGTGTAATGCATGGAATTCTCTGTATGGTGATGGATTTCCATGTGTGTCAGACACCCGTCTGACCTAAACAAATAAATTCCCCTCCCCTTTCCCTGGTTTGGGAGTGTGGGAATGTTCAGTAAGGAAAGAACTGAGCTTGGCTTTAACACCCCTTGTCTCCATGGACTGACAGCACCCAGTCTCTCTAGGTCCACATTTGAATAATAATAATAATAATCCTTGCATTTGATATAGTGCCTTATCACATATTTGAGCCACCTCAAAGCGCTTTGTAGAATATAATATAGAGTGAATTGACTGAATAGTGTTTCGCCCACAGAATACACAGTCAACCCACTTTATAGTATATGTTGTGAAGCGCTTTGAGTTGTCTCAAAGATGTAATGAGGTGCTATATCAATGCAAGGATTATTATTATAATAATAATTATGAAATATATATTATGAAACCCAGCAGCCGATTGCACACAGCAGTGTTCCGCACACAGTCGTGGAGTGAGTGACCACATTTTTTTTTTGGAAGGACTTATTAGCCCCCGGAAAGCCGATCTGCCAATTGACTAACAACGGATTCCTACTTACTGCTAGGGAAACAGAGGCGTGCAGAGTAAGAAACTTGCCCAATGTTTTGCCCTGCCTGGGAATCAAACCCAGGTCCTCTCTCTTGCGAGGCAAGTACTCTAACCACTGAGCTACAGGACTCCATGATAATAAAATGTAACAGTGAACTCCTGTGATAATAAAACAGTAACAGATAACTCAACCTTGGCTTAAGTTGTCACTACCACTTAAGTCATCATGCTGCCAATATCCTGGCTGCATTTATTTATGTTCAGTATTTTTTTCCCTTGGATGCCAAGTTATCAGGAGTTTATTGTAGTAGTGATCATGGTATAATAGCAGCATTAACCACAGTCTGTATCCCATAGATGAGTGTCTGCTTTCACAAGAGGAATGGAGAAAACCAGGAAGAAAAATAATTAACAATAACAGTGTGGGTGCTATATAAATGATCATGAGGTTTGACCTTAATACAGGCTACAGATTTGTTTACTATGCTGAATGATATTGCCTGAAGTATAATTTGGAGCTGAATAAGAATTGTTCACCATCAAAGCTTCTGATGTAAAAATCGCATTAATACATCTTCTTCGAAGAAACCAGGTGATTGAGTTTCTTATTATTTGATAGGCTGGATAACCCTTCATGGTGCAGCTGGTATCTGAGGTCTAAAATATTCTAAAATTAAGAGCAAGACCTTGAGATTATCTGTTTCCTTAGAGGGTACAGTAGTACTGAGCCAAATACCGAACTAGTTTGCTGACCAATTCTCCAGTGAAATATTATCTTTGTAGCTTACATATTCTAAATTTGTTACCTACTTGTCACTGATTTTGAAAAAGTTGCCTAGTTTTTGAAGCATGTTATCCCCCAACCAAAGTACAAATTGTTGCTGTGTTTTTTTTAAATTTAAAAATAAATGACAAGGTTGTATCTGTATTACATAAAACCATTTTGGTAGATGTGGTTTTCAATTACATCTTCATACAACTCAATAAAATGTTTGGAAGGAATGTTGGCTTCTGTTGGTGGAATAAAGCTTGAAGCTCTGCTGATCTCTCATTTTGGTTTGGGTGGAGAATTGTCCCTTTTTAAAAACTTGACCCATTTTGTATTTTTGTATTTTATCCGTCTCTCCATATTGATTCAGGAGTTGGGCCATTTTCCATTTGTCCTATTGACTGCTGTTGCGGCAGTTGTGTAGTTCATCCTTGGGTTCATCTGGACCAAAAGTCCAAACTTATTGTTGTTCGCTTGTTCATCACTTCTTTGGTGCCATGTTTTATCCAGATATTGTAGTAGCAAAATTGTGGAAATAGTTTCTTTATCCCTGTTCCCTTCCCTGAGGCAGTGACTTGTGCAAAGTTTATACGGTTAAATATTGTTGGCTTTTTGATCAAGCCAAATTCTGTCCTTGCCCAAAATACATCCAAATACCTTCCAGGAAAGATCATTGGCTAGTAATCCAGAATTGGTTAGGTTGTCCTCCCCTCTTCTCCTCCTCCCACGCCAACAACCTCCTTTTCCACTCTTAGGTGATCTAAGATACTTTGTTGTTCCTTCACTATTACGCCTATCAACAAGTGAGGTGCTCTTTATGGCTCAGTACAACTGCATACAATGCGTTGACCTACTCCATCCATTGCTCTGAATAATAATAATTTCATTTGATATAGCGCCTTTCACGTTTCGGGCATCTCAAAGCACTTCAAAGGATTTACTGTAAATTGTAGTGCCTTGTAATTCACAGGTGAAAATTTCATCAATAGGAAGTATTAGAGCAAAATTTTATTATTAATTCATTCTTGAAAAGATACCAGCATTGTTTACATTCAGTGCACTGTTGCAAGATGCTGGGTATAAGGTTGAAGGTAGGATTTCTGTTCCTTATCCAAAAAATAATGGTCCTTGTTTCTGTGCTGTTTAGTTCTTTAATAAAAGTCAGCGTTATGATTTTTGAGGGCTATTCCTCATCTTCAATTTTAGGCGACTTGGCGTAGAACTGGGTAAAGTTCAAGTCTCCCAAGCATCTAACCGAGGTAAGTGGACAATGTACATACAGCCTTATCATGCAGACCTGGTTTGTGGATTGTAACTAGGGGGTAAAATTCTATATGCATCTTGATTTATTGTGTTTTTCTTAAAATTTTAGTTTGCCCAGAATTTGGCAAATTCTTAATTTTTTTTAGGGGTAACAGACAACCAGTTCAAATTTGAGACTGAATTCAACAATTTGCCAATTTCTGAACTCTTTGGGATGATAGGAACATAGAATAAATTTAGACCCAGGTGGAATTTCTCCCCGTTATACTTGTCCCTATTCCTTGATGAGCAATGATTCTTGTAAATATTGGATAAAGTTTGTAGGTTTGGGAAAAAACAAAATAGTAAAAGGGAGTGCGTGACTAATTTTAAAATGATTAGTTATTTAGTTGGATGGCACTATTTGAGAGAGTGGTCAACAGTGGCTAACCATGCAGAGAGAGAATTCTGACCAAGCTAATTGGCAAACCAAAGTCTTTGACAGAAACCCATAAGGAACAGTTTGCTTCATACCGTAATTCTTCTTCTTGTTAAACTCTTGTTCTCCTCCCTCAAGTTATTTGACTTTTAGATTTTTGGGCACCCATTACAGCTGGTCTATGTTCAACAGATATTGTGACGAGATCAGCCTGGCCTGTTTTTTAAGGTGTAAGTTTCTGCCCCCAAACTGGATCAGACTCCAGTCTGCATTGTTTCCCTGGCTGCCCACATTAGAACCTGACATTGGGTGTTGAACCTATTTGTCAGAAATAAGAACAAACCTATTGTTTTGATGTAAGTTTCCTTATCTGGAGTTGTTCGGATCTGGAGTGCATCGTCTAAAAGAGTGTTGGAAGCTTATTGATTGAATAACAACTTTAAAGAGAGTAGATAATCGTTTGGGGAGAACAAGTTTGCAGGGCTATGGGGAGAGAGTGGGGGAGTGGGATTGATTTGGATAGCTCTTTTTTTTAAAAAAAAGCCAGCCCAGACATGATGGGCTGAATGGCCTCCTTCTGAGCTGTATAATTCTATGATCTCGTACCAGATGCAATGATTTTCATTAGAGTTTATCACTAGTTAAGAATTTGGACAACCTGGAATTTGGATTTTGTGAACTTCTATTGAGTTATGTTAGGATTCTCTTAGTCTCTTTGTCTTATTGAATCACGTCTGCTGGGAGGTTGATGATTCCCTGTATCTGTAGTGTATTGAAAGCTACCAGGGGACAGTCCAGCTGCCTCTGGTCTGTCTCTCTGCACTTCTGGAGCTAGTAATAATGATAATAGTAAAAAATAATCCTTGCATCTGATTAGTGCCCATGCCCAAGCACAGCAGCCAATTTGCACGTAGCAGTGTCCCACATAATCATGAGGTGAATGACCTTTTTATCGTTGGGAGAAACTCCTTGCTCTTTTCAAATAGTGCCGCAAAATCATGAGTGTCCACCTGAACAGGCATACTGGATCTTGGTTTGGCGTTTCATCTGAAAGACTGCACCTCCAACTGCACTGGAACATCAGCCTAGGCTGTGAGCTAAATGTCCTGACTTGTGTAATGTTAATGCTGTTTCCAGCACAGGCTGACTTGCCTCCTCCTGTTCTAAAATATTCTGTTTCTGTAATAACTGAGTAGTGGTATTGCGGCAATACGGAGGTCACATCTGCTTCATGCCAAAAATATTTTTGAAGAATGTGCATCATCTATTGGTCAGTTCAATCAATCACCAGTTAAGTGCAGTGAGGTTGTCGTACTTGGAATAAAAGAGAAGTTGGAAGTGTTGGAATTATTTTTAAACCAGTTCAGTGTTAGTAAAATATGCCGCAATAGAATTGGCTGTGTGTCAATTTCCTATAAATCGGACCTTTTTATCATAAAATAACATCCTGCTTTGTAATTTCTATTCTGAATGGGTTTAAATGACTGTATGTAAACATTGACATCTGTTTCCAAAGTTTTCGCCAACTGCTTGTGTGTTTGAGGCTCCCTCTTGTAAACGAACAAAAGCTTATTTAAATATATATTAAACAAAAGCTGCTATCTGATGTCATTTTTCAAAATGGTCAATTCTTTAACTGTTGTATTAATTTACAGTGCGGCCGTGGAGGTGAATTCCGTCAGTTAATAATGCATGGATTTGTGTGCAACAGGATTTCACAGATCACTGAGCTCGAGCTATTTTGATATTCACTGACATGGACTGTTGTGTGGTAAAACAAGGTACCAGTTTGCCTTGCTGGTGACTTTATTGTTGCTATTGGTAGAAAAGATTAATTTGGAATTTGCTGTCAAGTTGCATGAAGTAACAGAATGAATGCTGTGCTGTTCCCAATGGCTCAGTTTGACATTGCAGTAGTTCTTCATTAAAATGACTAGGATATTACAGCGTATACATGAGGAGCTGTGGGTGTTGTTAGTCTCACTCAACCCCTGAGTCAGAATTTGTGAGTTCAAACCGCACGCCAGGACTCGTGACAGCTGAGTCAGCCTAATGCATTGGCAGGACTTGGAAGGACAGACGAGTCACAGGGGCAGGGAATCCTCCCACCCAGCTCCTGTTTAACCCTGCAGACCAAAACCCTAAAAGGTAGGGTGGTGCTAGCTAGACAAGCAGTGGGAAAGCTTGCCATTTAGTGCTATCAATGGCAAGCTATGCGGTTGTAGCTAGTTAGACTCCAGCAATTACCCCCATGCACACAATGGGGCCCCCAAGAGTTCGCTCCTGCCAACCTGCGCCTAATACTTTCTGAAATCAGGTAAGCCGGCTGTGTCCCTCCAGGGAGAAAGTGCACATTCCATTCTAACAATCTGTCTCTGGACATCCCATGTGAATGTGACATTCTCGGCTTGGTTTGGATAAGTATGGGAATGGGTTTCCACATGTGTCAGACACCCGGCTGAACAAAGAAAATATCACTGAGACTCTTAGTCCAGACTGATACTCCAGTACGGTGCTGAGGGAGAGCTGCATTGTCACAGGTTCAGGTGAGATGTTAAACTGAGGTTCCATCTGCTTGTTCAAGTGGACGTTAAAAGATCCCTTGAACTATTGGTAAAAAGGAAGTTCTCCCAGTGTCCTGGTCAACAATCTTCCAGCTAAGATTGGTCATTCGCTTCATGGCTGTTTGTGGGACAATGCAGTGTACAAATTAGCTGCTGTGTTCACCTACACATACACAATTGCTACACTTTATAGTAAAATCCAATGAATCATTGTTTCAATAAATGGTGCTTTTTCATCTTCAAGGATTATTATATGATTTATCTGACAATAGACAAGCGGACCTATGAGATATGATTTATATCTACAAGCGTTATGGAATGTGATGTGTATCCAACAGCAGATACGTGATGAAAGATGGTCTTTGGTTTGTGTACAATATAATTAAAAATTACATTTGTAAAACGCCTTTAATGTCGGGAGGACGTCCCAAGGTGCTGAGCGGGGGGCAGGGGGTGGATGGTTGGGTTCAGGCAGTGGGGAGGACAGAGAGGGTAGGAGGATGGCCAAAGGCATGATTGAAGAGGAGGGCTTTGTGCCTTGAATTAGGCAAGGGAGGGGGCGAGGCGAAGGGAATATGGGATGGAGTTCCAGTGGGTGAGGGCAGCGAGCCTGAAGGCCCAGCCGGTGATGGTTGTGCAGGCTGGGCAGGGACATGGAGGGGGCCAGAGCCTGCTAAGTGGAGGGAACAGGCAGGTTGTAAGGAGTTAGCAGATTGGAAGGTAGGAGGAGGCAAAGCCATGGAAGAGCCTTGAGGATGAGGATGAGAATTTTGAATTTGGTCCTCTGAGGGATGGGGAGCCGGCCAAAGGTGGGTGTGATGAGGTCACGGAGGCTGGTGCAGGAGATGACACGACATACAGAGTTCTGGATGATCTGCACATTGTGGTGGGGGGGGGGGGGGGAAGAGTTGGGAAGGATGACGAGCAGGGCAACAGCATGGTCAAGCCTGGATGCAATGAAGGCATGTATGAGGGTGAGGGTCAAACAAGACGACTAGGTTCCTGACTGGCTTGGTGAGGTGGAGTGTGCATCTGTGGATGCTGATGCTAAAAGTGCCTGAGGTGCGGAGGCGTTGGCACAAGCCAACCAGGAGAGCCTCAGTCTTGCTGACGTTCAACTGTAAAAAGTTGGCTCTCATCCAGGTTTTGATGTCTGACAGGTAGGCTATAGGACGTCAGTGGTCCTGAAGTCGAGAGTCAAGGCAGAAAGGTAGAATTGGGTGTCATCCGCATACATGTGGAAGTTGACCCCATGTCTACGGATGATGTCACCAAGAGGGAACATGTACAGGTTGGAGGGGACCGAGAATAGAGCTCTGAGGAAAACCGCACAAGACCGTGCGGCGGCTGGGGGAGAAGCTGTTTGTAGGGACAAAGTGGAGCTGGTGTGAGGTAGAATCTGAACCATTCAAGGATAGAACCTTGAAGGTTGAGGTGAGAGGAGAGGCGGTGGAGGAAGATAGAGTGGTCCACAGTGTCAAAGGAAAAAGGAGCCCTGGTCACAGATGGACAGAATGTCATTTGTCACCTTGATTAGGGCTGTTTCGGTGCTGTAGGCCACCTATGGAATTGTTTTCTGCTTGGTTGCTGTAGTGGGAGCAAGTGTTTAAGATTGGAGGCTGTCACACAGCAGGTTGTGTTGACTTTCTGTTTGAAGTGTTGACAGATGGTTGTTAGTGCATAAGCCAAGTGTCCTGATGAGCTCTGAAATCAAGGATGACTTTGCGACATGGGTTTGTATGGAGGGGAGGAAAGGGGGGAGAGAATGGGAATATGGAACAGGGCAGATATTTAAGTAGCATTGAGTCTTTTTCACTGTTTGTGTAAACCATTGGCCAATGCAGAGTAAATGTGCCCTGCTTCTGTGCCATAACAATGTCCCTTATAGCATAATAATAATCCTTGCATTTGACATTGTGCCTTATCAAGTGTTTGAGATGTCTCAAAGCGTTTCATAGAATATACTGAAAGTGAATTAACTATAGTTTGTGGGCTTCTCCATCTTCACAAGGGCACCCCCTTATTTTGTTCACACTGGAAACCTCTTAAGACTCTACCCTCAGTTACTGTGGAGAAGTCCTTAACTGCGTCGGTGGCTCTTATATGTTTTTCATGACTGCACATTGAGGCAACCAATCTGGTAACTCTAAGATGAGGTAGCTGGACTGAGTTGTAGGATAGTGTATTAGATATACTCACTTATTTTGAAACGTTTGGTTTTCACTTATAGCGTTTTCCTTTTTTTTGATGCAGAAACAAGAGTACAGATTCAAGAGTCTGTCAGAGGGAAAGATGTGTTTATTATCCAGACTGTTTCAAAGTAAGTGCTGTAGTGAAATGCCTTGAGTGTGAGTATGTTGCATTTTCTTCTGGTCAAACCACAGCAAATTAGTGGGGCTACAAGGAATTAGATTCTGCCTTCAAGTGAGATGTAATTTGAAATTCGATCTTCAATTGCAAAGTCTGGGCTTTCTTTCTGGTTACAACAACAACAACAACAAGATTCCATTTATAGAGCGCCTTTCACGTCAGGAGGACGTCCCAAGGCGCTGCACAGTTGGGTCATGACCCGAGCAGGGGGGAAATGGTCAGGGTGAGGGGAGGGAAGGGAGGGAGAGAGGAGGGGGAAATGGTCAGGGTGAGGGGAGGGAAGGGAGGGAGCGAGGAGGAGGAAGAGAGTCGAGAGGGGAGCTGAAGGCACGGTCAAAGAGAAAGGTTTTGAGACCGGCCTTGAAGGAGGAAAGGGAGGAAGCAAGGCGAAGGCACTGGGGGATGGAGTTCCAGAGCCTCGGGGCTGAGAGGCTGAAGGCCCGACCACCGATGGTAGGGCGGTTGGGGCGGGGGATGTGGAGCAGACCGGAGCCAGAGGAACGGAGGGTACGGGCAGGTAGGTAGGGGGATAGTAGGTTGGAGAGGTAGGAGGGAGCAAGGCCGTGAATGGCCTTGTAGGTGAGGATGAGGATCTTGAAATCAATCCTCTGGGGGATGGGGAGCCAGTGGAGGCGAGCGAGGGTGGGAGTGATGTGGTCCCGAAGCCTGGTGCGGGACAGTACACGAGCTGCAGAGTTCTGAATGACCTGCAGCTTGTGGAGGGAGGTGGCGGGAAGGCCGGCGAGGAGAGAGTTCCCATAGTCCAGCCTTGAGGTGACAAAGGCGTGAACCAGGGTTTCAGCAGCGTGAGGGGTGAGGTAGTGCCGTAATCTGGCGATATTCCGGAGGTGATGGAAGGCGGTGCCAGTTGTGGTGCGGATGTGAGGGAGAAAGGACAGCTCAGGGTCGAACAAAACGCCGAGGTTCCTGACTGGCTTTGAGAGGTGGAGAGTGCAGCCTTGGATGCTGATGGTGTCAGCGCCTGAGGTGCGGAGGCGCTGACGTGAGCCAATCAGGAGGGCCTCGGTTTTTTGCACGTTGAGCTGAAGAAAGTTGTCTCTCGTCCGTTAGAGAGACGGACGTTAGAGCGTACAGTGATCCAAAAGAGTGTCAGAAAGCCAGACAAGATGTCACAGATGTTCACTCAGTATTGAAGACCTGACAGCCAAAGTGACTTCTGCCTTTTTCATTGAGACGTGAATTTGAACATTAACATTCAGATTTTCCACCTGTGACCACAGTGAGATACAAAGGGAAATGCCAAGTAAATGTTGATTATTGTCCTTCATTGCTAATGTTGCCTACAGTAGTGTTTTTTTTTGTCGAAAGTGTGGTTCATTTACAAACAACTTATTTCTAATTTTAGTTATTCATTCTGCCCTGACTATCCGGAGAACTAAATTTAACTAATAGTGAGTTAGTACAAAATGTGCAGTGCTGACATGTGTAAAAGTGACCACCCTTCACTGGGGTAGTGTCTCAGAGTGCTTAACAGTACCATTGCTTGATTCCAAGCAGAAGAGTGGGGAGGTGACTGAAGGTGGGTGGGGGGAGAAATTGATATCTCTGCAACCTCCTAAACCCTACCATTTTGTTCGCTCCCTCCGCTCAGCGGGTTCCGTCCTGCTTCATGTCCCCTGCCTCTGGAACTCCATCCCACACCCTCTCCACCTCACCCCCTCCCTCGTCACCTTCAAGAACCATCTCAAGACCCTCCTCTTCGACCATACTTTCGATCTCACTGCCCTTCCCACCCCCCACCCCAGCTTGGGTCCGTAACTCTCTTTCCAGCGCCCTGGGACGTCCTCCCGACGTGAATGGTGCTATACAATGTAGTGTTGTTGTTGAGACGCAATTCCATTGATTTAACATTTGAGGAATCAACACAACTATTACTTATGCTAAGGTTGCAGATTGTCAATGAGATAACAAATTTATCTTTCAATAGAAATAAGTGGAGCCAGATAAGTAACCCCCCCCCCCTCCCCCATTCAAGTCCCTGTTAAATAAATGACTTTGATAACTTTGCTCTAAATTGTTCTGGATGGACACATGACAGCTGGATTATTTGGACTGTGAACCAAATGTTCAGTTTGATTTGCTCGTTAACATCCACAGAGAGATTCATTCATCCGCAGACAGCTGAGATTTAACTTGTCTCGGGTTTCTACGGATGAGAATGTGTGGAGAGAGGAGGGGTGGATTATCGTGTCCTCTGGGAGTTGCATTGAGAGAGCCTTGATAATAATAATAATAATCCTTGCATTTGTTGATAGTATTCTGGGCATAGCAATCTAGCTCAGTGATTTAGGGAGGAAGGATTGTACTTTTGCGGGAAATGGTAGGGAGTTCATTTTGTGGTTGGCAGTTCATTTTATATTGTATAATGTGCTTTCATGTATGTAAAATCGACAAAATTGCTTGTCCAAGAGTGAAAATATTAAAATGTTTTTTGTGTCAAATCTCACATGAACAAATTTTTAATGTCTTGTCCTCTGTTGTACAACAGGGATGTCAACACTACTATTATGGAGCTCCTTATAATGATTTATGCCTGTAAGACATCGTGTGCCAAGAATATCATTGGTGTGATACCTTATTTCCCATACAGCAAGCAGTGTAAAATGAGGAAACGAGGTTCCATTGTGTCTAAGCTAATGGCATCCATGATGTGTAAAGCTGGTGAGTTGTGCTCTGCTATAGAAGATGCTCTTCACAATCTAATCTATGGATTATAATCTGCATAACTAAGAATTTTCTAGGCAAAAGAAGACCAAGGTTCATCCAGTTCACCTTCCACCATCCTGGCAGTCACATGCACATGTCATGTCCCAAAGTATATTCTGCATCCCAAGATATTATTTGTTCTTGAAAGAATCAACACTTTCTGCTTCCACAGTCTCCCGAGGGAGTACTCTCAGTAATTGGGTTTCAAGTACTAGTCTGACTAAAAATACATCTGAGATTATTAAAAGAATAGTATTTTATTCTTTCTTCGTGACCCACTTTGTCAAGTGGACCTAGACGTCTTGGTAGAGGGCTCTCCGTACTGCAGGTTCCAGCGTTCAGGAACCAAATGTGAGCGGACCTGTACACTCTTACTCCCTGGTTCTCCTTTCTCCTTCTCCCGGCTGCTGGGATGAAATCGGGATTGTGCAGGAAATCCTAATAACATTTCTTGGGAGTCAATTCGTAGAGTGAATATAATCATACTAATAATACTAATAATTCATCCTTACACTTGATACAGTACCTTTTGTGTCAAAGTAGGAAGTTTCAAAGTGCCTCACAGATTTATCCGTCTTGATGGTGAATAAGATGCAAATTCATGTATGGTTAATGGCCCACGAACAGCGGTGAAGTGAATAACCAATTTTATTTGGGGGATTTTTGTAAAGGACTCCAGGAGAGAGAAACTCCCCTTTTTTGAAAAGTGCCATGGGATCTCCAATATCCACCTGAACAGGCCAACGGGACTTTGAGTTGATGTCTCGTCCAAAGGAGAGCACCTTTAACATTGCAGTTTACCCTGAATTGTCAGTGTAGCCTGAGCTCAAACTTGGGGCTTTGAACCAGCAACCTTCCGACACAGGGGGTGATGCTGCTATAAACTAATGCAGACTGTCTATTTTTAATTAGAGAAAGGGATGTTTAGCATGTAATGGGATCCAAGAACACCCTAAAGGGTAGATTTGCAAATTAAGGTGTCCTTTTACCACAGCTCATTCACACCTGATACCTTTGAGCCCACCACTTTGTCTAATGATCTAAACCAGGAGAGGTTCTCAGGTGCTGCTCTTATGATGTTGTCAGCAGTGTATTGGGTTGCTAAAGTTACTGTGCTCAAAGAGCTGGAGGTGTTTATTGACTTGGTTACTACCATGGGGATTTGTTCCCTTCTAAGTTGCCGTGAAAACTGGAAGCTATTTTACTAAATGAGTGGACTCCGGCTGTGTGGAGTCATGCTCAACAAGCTGTTTCCATTTGGTTTGTGTTTGTTTGAATGATGTTGATTTAAATTGTTTGTGTCTTTCAAATTTTATTAAATAAGCTAATTTTTCTAGTCCCGTCTTTTCTCCTCCCTCACGCATTCTCTTTTTCTCTCTCGCTCTCTCTTTGTCTCCCCCCCCCCTAACCTCCACCCTATTTTAATTGACTGCTCTATTAGTGAGTTTTGGACAAGCCTGCCATTTAGCATACTTGAAGGAGAAGGGAATTGAAGGGACTAGGAGAGTGGAGTTTCTTGTGCAGACTATTTAAGATGAATTATGTATTTCTGTGCTGTAACCCTGCTGTAACCCTGCACATGTAACTATGTCCTATGTAAATGTATGTGGGGTGTGGTATAGAGATTACTAAGTTCAATTTACTGCTGACTATAGGACAATCAATGTACTTTTCTTTCATTTTGTGTTTAACTGACGCTGCAATTTCTCTTTTCTGCCAATTGGTGGCACAGTTTTTCTTAAAGATAAAACATATTTTAAAAGTAATGACTTAAAATCTCACTTGACAGGTGAATAGATGTAGACACTTTGCCATCTTCATTGCTTCCGGATGCACTGACGTGTTTACAGGACAATGCAAATTTAAATTTATAGAGTGCCTTTCTTGTCGATGATGTCCCAAGGCGCTTAACAATATCTGATGCCCAGATATAACACAGACCTTTTGTGGTGTTTCTCCCGTGCTTTTTCCAGGCTTGACACACCTCATAACAATGGATTTACACCAGAAAGAAATCCAGGGATTTTTCAATATTCCTGTTGACAATCTGCGAGCTTCTCCATTCCTGTTGCAGTACATCCAGGAAGAGGTAAGATTCACAGTGATACGGAGACCGTTGTTGGCCTATTGATATAAAAATAGTGTAACAGCCGGAGTCGAGACATAGCTATCTTAACCGATATCAAAATAAAATCACCAAGATTTTTAAAATTAAAACTAAACCGCACGTATCAAAATACCTACAATTGTTTAATACTATGTTTTGACACCTTTGTCTCATAACTATGTTGCATTGGCTTGAACATTGTGAACTGAGTATGGAGTATTATTAAATAACACAACTGACATGTTTACAACACAATACAAATTGACATTTATGGAACGCCTTTCACGTTGGGCTGATGTCCCATGGTGCTTCAACCTGGCTTGAAAACCAGCTTGGGGTAGGTAGGTATGCAAGTTTGTATGTAAGGTTTTTTTTATTGACGCTGGTTTTATTTTTGTCCCCTCTATGGTATTTATAGATTCCTGACTACAGGAATGCAGTCATTGTTGCGAAGTCACCAGCATCTGCCAAAAGGTGGGAAAACCATTCAGTGGTGGGTTACAACGTGCAGGGATGTTATCAGGAGAAGAGGAGGTGGCGTGGCAGTATATATAAGCTCCAGTATTGAAGCATGAATGAGAGGATTTTAAAAAAGGAAAGGGCAGCCACAGAATCACTTTCGATTGAATTAATGGATGGCAACAGAGGCAAACTATTATTGGGGGTTGCTATAAACCCCAGTCCAGGGTGATAGTCTTGATCTGGAACTGTGGGATGAGATAAGGATGGCAACTAGCAAGGGACCAACCATAGTAGTTGGAGATTTTAACTTATAATAAATTGATTGGGATTAAAAATGTGTCTACTGGTAAGATAGGGAAGGAATTTCTAGAGTAAAAGGAAGAGTGTTTTATGACTCAGTATGTAAAGGAGCCAACCTTCTGATGCCAACATCTATTGTAGTTGTTTCACCACCAAAGAGACCGAAGCATTGTTGGCTGATGGAACCAACTATTTTCCAGTGTGTGGTGATGTCTTTCTTTCCTCTCGCGCCCCCAGTCTGTGAATCTTCGAGGAATATTCAGCGCCATATAATACAGATTCACATTTGAACCACACACTGTGACAATGTAAGGAAAATTACTTTTAAAAAAAAAACTACTCAATGAATAAAAAAGTTATTTGCGCACAAGAAATATTTACCCTGTAGCATTGTTGAGATGTCTTTGCTCACTGCATGTGTTGACCAGGGTAGCTGCTGTATTTACCATTTCAAAGTGCTCAATTTAAGGCAGGAGACTCACTGCACTAGCTATAACAACAACTTGCATTTATATAGCGCCCCTCATGCAGGGTAATGTCCCAGAGCACTTGACAGTGGCGGAGCATGGCACCGAGCCATAGGGAGGAACGAGGTGATGGTAGTCACGGTTAAAGAGGAAGGTCTTCAGGCACAACCTGAAGATGGGGGATACCAGAGGGGTAGAGGCAGAGTGTTCCAGAGTTTCAGGGATTGAAATCTTCTCTTGTGGCTGTGTTTAGTGAAGGCTTCCTGTTTCAGAGCGCAGTCCTTCGCTGAGCGGTTGCGTCTGGGGATTGCAGTGATTCACGGTGAAGCTCAGGATGCAGAGTCAGACATGGTGGATGGCAGACATTCACCACCTATGGTGAAAAATGCAGCAGCCATACACCCCAGTCTGGAGATGCCCTGTAAGTTCTACAGTATCAACCACTTTGGTATGAGAGGTTGCCAGACAAATTGAGCACAATGTGTCTAGGACTAAAATGTCATATAAACTTTCTTCTTTTCGAACACATTTTAAAAATCTTTACTTTCAGGCCAGATATCTTCATGGAATTGAGGTACATCAGGCCATGATGGAACAGGCTCGATGAATGCCTACTCCTGTTCCTACCTGTAAAAATAAGCGAATTTGAGAGTTCAAATGACACTGGTATTACTATGCTACTCTACCTAGTGTACAGCTGCTCGGATATGAAGAGCTAATGACATCTAGCTGATTGAATTCCAACCTCAGTTTCCATTGTGTAGAATTGGAAAAGTCTTGATGGTTTTATTTGCCTTGTCAGCAGATATTGCCCAATAATTGCCAAGATCGGATTGTTCCGGGCTAGAATTTAATGGTTTATCTAAAAACGAGCTATGCACCCAATCGAAGATTCAATATGGAATGTAGATTTCAGTATTATTATACTTTATATAATGATAGATCACCTCCAAAAAAATATGCTCATGACACTCCACCTGCAAGACCTTTCCAATGAGGTATAAATCTATCTCTCCAGAAGGGTGTGTGATTTCCTTTGTTGCTACTTAGTTATAGAATACCATGCATACCTCATATTTGGGAGCTTAATTAAAGCATTTTTTAAATATAGCTCATCAATGATAGGAGATTCCCCCCCAAAAAATACGCCCATGAACTCCCACATGCAAGATCTTTCCGATGAGGTATAAATCATGTCTCTACCTCAATCGTACAGACAGATACAGAGACATTTCGTCTATCAGGATAGAAGATAGATAGGTCCTGCGGCATAATAATTTGCTTTTATTTTTCTTCTCCTTTTAGTGCTGATTCCAAAGGAGAAACCTCCAATCACAGTTGTTGGAGATGTTGGGGGAAGAATAGCCATCATAGTGGTTAGTAGATGAAGTTGATCATTTTGTGTACTATAATTCTATTTTAAGTTTGTTTCAGATATCTGCCTGGCTCAGTTGGTAGCCTCTGAATCATGGTTGAGGGTTCAAGCCCAAGTTGGGACTTTGAACTCACAGACTGACACTCCAAAACAGACACTCCAACATTTCTATCTGTCTGTTCAGATAGATGCTAAAGAACCAGGAGAAACTCCCTTTACTTTTGAAGAGGCAAATGGGACCTCAGTTTAACTTCTCATTCAGAGGACAGCAACTCTGACAATGCAGCACTGTATTGGGATGTCAGCCTGGACTATAAGCTCAAAATACCAATAGGGGTGGGGGCTTAAACCCACAACAGTCTGACTCAGAAGCAGGATGACATAACTACATTCTTGCAAAATTCTCTTTATTTAAGGCCAAAAATAGACAGCAGTCTTTTACACCTGTAAGCAAAGCGTTTTTTTGTTTCTCGTGCCATTTGAGTTAAGGAACCCCATAAAATTCTACAATGTTAAACAGAACTATTCCAAGGGAAATTGGTAACAGGCTGTTCACTGAATGTTTGACAGGACGACATGATTGATGACGTTGACAGCTTTTTAGCAGCTGCCGACACGTTGAAGGAGAGAGGAGCATACAAAATCTTTGTAATGGCAACGCACGGTGTGTTGTCCTCTGATGCTCCTCAGTTGATAGAGGAATCAGCAATTGATGAGGTAACTGGCACCTGTTGACTAATATTGTGATTAGAGGAACTTAATTATTATTTTTTGTGGTAATTATCATTTCTGAGAGGAAGGCGGGAGGAGGCGGTTGAAGAGGAGGATCTTGATGGGCTTGAAGGAGGCAAGAGAGGGAGATCCAAAGGGTAGCGGCATAAAGGATGAAGGCTTGACCTCTGATGGTCGCTGATTTTTCGTAGGGAGTAAGAGGGAAGCACTGACCCATTTAATTTTCCCCCTCCATAGGTGATCGTCACTAATACCATCCCACATGAACTCCAGAAACTCCAGTGCCATAAAATAAAGACTGTCGACATCAGCATGATTCTGTCTGAGGCCATTCGGAGAATCCACAATGGTGAATCAATGTCTTATCTATTCCGAAATATTGGTGTGGATGATTAAAACTCTCTTTCCTAAGGCCAACCTGAAGTGCACCTTTACCTAACTTGGCAAGAATATTGTGTAAGAAGTGAAATTTGTCAAGTGGAGACTTTTTTAAAAAAGAATTTTTGGGACTACCTACGAAATTCTTTGTTTTTCTGAAGCTTAAAGTGTTACCCAAACCTTTCTCTTCCAACCCAATCCACCATTTTTACTTGTGTTGATACTTGTACTATATTTTGCGTGGTACAGGCATTGCCTTTCTCTGCTCTTGAATACAACAACTTGCATTTATATAGCGTCCTTCACACAAGGTGTAAACCATTAGTTTTCTCTCCCTGACTCCTTACGAGCTCGGCGTTTACTATAACCCAATAGTTGAGCTCCCAGCTCAGCCCTAGCTGAGGTTGGATTATTTAGCATAGACCAGGATCTAATGTATGATCACGATCTGTAAATATATTAATGAGCTCAAAGTAAATTTGACAAAACCTCAACACAAGACGCATGTAAAACTACCCCTGAAATTTAAAAAACCTAACCAAATACAAATGCCATGGCACCTGTTTCCTAATGAGAAAACCAAACCAGTGAACACGTGACAAAGCCAAGCGTACTGTCCTCCATCACAAATTGCTCGTTCCGTTTGAGGCAAACTGTACATGATGCCAGATAAAGACGGCAAGAATTGAATGTACATTGCGTCCTATTTTTCCAGTTCGGAAAGGTAAAAACAAAGATGCCAACAAAAAACAGGATTAGATCCTCCCAAAATTAAAATAACGGCACCCGGAAATTAAACTAAGTGCCCAAAAATTAAACGGCCTAGACAGCTATCGCCAGCCCCAACTAAAAATCTAACCCTAAAAAGTTCCATACTATGGAGCACTGTTACTTACAGAAAGGCTGGAGCACTATTTCAGGGGGTGCTGAACTTCGAATCTTGGAGCCCTGATTTGTATATTTACATCTGTATGAAAGGAAGTCATTGTGGCATAACAGAGTAGCATGACGCAGAACTACAACAGGCCAGTTGGCCCAACTAGTCCCTGACGGTGTTTATAGTCCATGAGCCACCTTCCCATCCCTTGTGTTCCCCTTTCCTACTCACCTACCTCATGTACGCATCAAGTCTTTTGTTAAATATATTGATGCTCCCACTGGGTTGGATCAAAAGAGAGGGTGGGGAATGATGTATCCATATACTTATACTACACACAAATGGATACATGGGAGGCTGCAAATAAGATTGGATTTTTCCTGCAGAGGGAAGTATTGGTGCTTGAGAACAAGAGTTACAGTGAAACTCCAGAAATTATTCAACTTTAAATAACTAGTGTGCTTGCTGATGTTTTACATATCGAATCTAGAAGCAAGTTCTCATCTTTGATTTATTGGATTATTGTATGACCTCTAACTGCTGTCATTAAGGACTCCATTACTTGTGTAAGTAACTTTCATAGGAAGTCTCAATGTTCTCATTTATAAAGGTGACCTTGTAATTTCTGGCTTCACTCGAAACGTGTCGGAGGTGTAGGAATACCTTGTTTGAATAGAAATAGTATTTCATGATTTTGCTTCCCTCACTATCCTCTTCCCAATCAAACCTTCCCTAGATGGCAAACTTTGAGGCGGAAATCAATTAGGTTGCTAATAGTTCTCAACCATGCTGAACTGACTTATTGAATGAACCATAGAGATGAGAAATCACCACTTAGTTGAATTGGTCAATTTAGTTTAGAACATCCCAAATGTTAGATGGTCTGTAGGAACTCTGTGGTAATGGATATTTTTCTTCCACGCTGTTGCTCTGGTTTCCGGCTTTCTGATTTAAGAGCAAGGCAGAAGGGCTGACTTGATAAGAGCAGGCTGCAATTACAGCTCTTTATTTTGACCTATTAAAAAAAACATGATAATTGAATGGGGAAGAAAAAGAGAATTGTGGATTCACGCAAACTGTACATGGACCACAAACCCGTTGTGATGTTATAACTAAAAACATGAGCAGTTGTTGTGTTTGAACTAATGCTCTGCTGACTAATTATATGTGGAAGACGATGTGGATTAATATTGAATTTCCAGACCAGTACAGAGCCCCTGCTCTATCAGTAGTGTGTGTATAATTCAGCTAATGTTCAATATAGCTTACTGTAATTTATGGTGTTAATATTCTCACACCAAGCTGAGTGAATTCCATTCCACAGTCCTAATGAAAATGTTTCTCTTTCCCCTCCCCAATTTATCAATTTCATTTTAGCTTTGAATATGGTCACAAAGCATGTTTCATTGATTTAATACTTTAGCATTTTTGTGCTTGTTAAAATGAGCAACGTCTGTGTTGGGAATGGAAAACAAACCTGTTCTCTGTTTGGCATTATATCAGAATTTGAAGCAGAGTTGAGCTCACTTTAGATAGCCATGTGATAGGACATTATCACAAGCTATGTGATAAGGAAATTTAATTCTGCATAACCATAACTTAATATACGTTTTGTTAAATTGAGGAAACATCCTAGTTAAATACCTGTTGCACAACGTGCCATAAGCCTAGCTGTGTGATTTTTATAACTTGTAGGGATTCTGGTCAAAAGTATTTGTTGGGGAACTAGTTAAGTGTTTCTCATGATTCACTTTGCCTTTAGAATGGAAAAATCAGTAATCCGAGGTTGCAAATTTCTTACTTTAATTGGAAACGGTTGAATAGAGCCTGAGTTAGGCATCACAGCTAGTTCTCCTCACAGAAATCAGTTGGTTGATGGCAAATGTTAGCCACAAAACCATTGACCTGCCATGGGTTTTACACTGAATCCACAACTGATGGTGGGGCACTACTGTGTGCAATTGGCTGCACACTACTATACACTATGTGCAGTCGGTTTGACCACAAAATATACAGTGAATCCACTTTACAATACATTCTGTGTAGTGCTTTGAGATGTCTCGTCAACGTGTTGAGGCGCTATATCAAATGTAACTATTATTATGGATGGAGGTATTGGAACCAAAAGAATGTAGTTTCATCATGAGTGTTCCCTGTTACGAAATATAAGCCATGAGCTCTAAATTCTAACCAGTAACATAAAAGCTGCGGAGAATTTTACCAAAGTTAAGAAATGACTTCAGTCAGTTGGAGGTTAAATCATTTCACGGGGAATTTAGGCACAAATAGAGGCAGAAGTGTTGTCTCAATAATGTTGATCGATGCTTTCATTATTTCACCAGTGTTTTTTTNCCTCTTGGATGCTGAGGTCCATCTGACCACCTTACTGAGTACTCTTTTGTGTCAATTTACTCTAAACACATCTTTTTCTTCATTAAACACAATTCCAGTCAGGTTCCTGATTGATTGAGTTTGAAAATAAGATGGACCTGCTGAAACCTGTACATATGTAAAGCTTTTCATTCTCTATGTACCCTTATTTGAACCTGCTAATCTTAACAACAGGGAAACTATGTACTTGATTTCTTGTGCCCACCTCACCACTGCCAATTGACTGGGGACAGTGAGGGGTATAGACCCAGTGTTTATTGTTACATTGTGATATTTTTCCAATTAAAAACACAAGACGCTGATATCACTTTCCGTAGCGTGTCTTGTGTGCAGAGACTGTAACTTGGTCACAACTTGTGCCTTAGTTTCATTGAGAAAAATTAGCAAATTCCCCAGTGGTTCTGATATGCATTCTGAAAATCGAGAAAAAGCTGGTAATTGTTCCACAATTAGTTATGAGTCTTTCCGGACTTAAGAGTGTTGTGAACCATTTGCTGACTCAACAGCTGGATTCTCGCTTGTGTTAAATGATAGCGAAGGAATCAGCTGGGATGCTTTGTACTGCATGAAATCTTCACTTAATACGTAAAGAGAAAAAAAATGTTTTAGAATAACTTCAAATGTGTTAAATTTCAATCTGAAAGCTCGAGAAGGTGTGTAGTAATAAAGATTGAGTGAAAACACGATTTGTGTCCATGGTACATAGCTTTGGAAAATAACTTCTTGTTTTTTGTGTTTTGTTTCTTGTCTCTTTTTTTAAAAAAAACAAACCTCTTCAGGAAGGTTTCCTGATCAATGATCAGGGTGTGACTGAGACAGGTAGACTTTTTATGTTATTGTCTAGTAACAGTACTGAAGAATGGGACCCAGTGACCTCGACAAAGACATCCCTCCTGTCGCATACTGAATGCCTCCATCTCTGAAGAGCATCTGTAACCAGGAAACCCATCTGGCCCCTCTTTTTTAAAACCAAGATGAATTCCTTACTTGCCTGGAAATATTTATTGAAAAACGAGTTGCGAGCTTATAAGTTAACAACATGCTTTTTACTGCACAGTTTATGAGTACGTTTATGTTATTGCTGTGTTCTTTGAACCGATTCTGAACTGAAAAGTGAATATTTGTATGTGAAGACAATGAAGTTTCAACATGAATAATGGTGGCTTAACTTTGGGGCGGAGAACCCTCTGAGTGTTTAATCACATTGTAGTCATTGGGAAAGGTTTCAGATCAGTCGGTCTCCAATGCGTTTTTTTTGTGAAGTTATTTTAAAAATGCAGTGTAATTGCACTGGGGGAAGGAGCTGTGCATGGCTGCTCCCGTTTGTGATTTTTTTTGTTAAAAGTTTTCTTTACTCTTGATAGTTATTTGTCTGACTAAAAGTAAAGTCAAAAGAGTCTTGCCATCATTTCATTTTCAGTGCAATGCAAGAAATAGTCCTTTTAAAATCGGTTTGTTTTCATTTTATTTATAAGAGACCAGTTGGAAAGGAGTTACTGAGGCTGAGCGAGATGAGCTGGTTAAGATCAGTAATAACATACTTGGATTTCACAACATCTAATTCATTGAATGCTTAAGGACTAATCACTTTTGGGCTCAGTTATTTTATTCTACCCAGCTAGTTTGGGTGTCCAAAATAAAGATTGTGTGTGTGTGTATATATATATGTGTGTGTATATATATTAAATAGATTGACACAGATGGGTAGAAATTCATCTGGAGGATTTTTAAGCTTTTTTTACATGATTTGTTCTTTTATTGTTGAAATAAAAAAAATGGAAAGAAAGCTGCTGGCACGCGATGATTTTTAAAGCTCCTTTGTATGGAAACTCAACTTGAGATTGTCCAAACCTCACAGTCTGTTGAGCTAAATCCAAGTTAAAAGTCCCAAGCCTGAAGGGACAAGTGTTTGTCCACGCTGACTCTTCCTTTCTTGTCCGCAAATCTCTACAGTGAAAGATCTGTAAAACCTTCACTGGGAAAATTAGACATCGGCCTTTGCTTTGAACTTTCGGCGGATAGGGTAGATAGTGTTTTGTGTATTTGCTTTTACTGCAGCCTTCAGCCATTCATACACGTTACTGAATGGAAATTCTGAGGCTTAATTGTGTGCTTGTGCATGAAACCTGGCAAAAACACTTGGACCAGCCACTAAAATGTATGCATGTACATCTGCCACTTTTTTTAAATTTAGAAATCACCAACCCATGCTTTTTTTTAGAACATTGGTCAGATTTTGTGAGTACTTAAACTGTATTTTAGCTGAATTGTAACAACATCAATTGATTAAAAATTGAATAATTGAACACAGAGCAGCAATTTGGCTGTGTCATTTCATTCTCTTGGTGAGATTATTACAAACCGGTCTAGCGATGCCTGTTAAAGCAGGTGTCTAGGTCATCTACTTATTTTCAGGTTGGATGAATTTTGTGGTGCTAGGGTAGAATGCATTAGAGACGCATGTTGATGCTCAGATTAGTCATGAGACTGAAACTTGTTCCCATACACTGTCTTGAGTTTTATTTATCTTGCTGATCAAATTACTAGCACTAGATCTTTACATGCACGAAATTCACAATAATATTCCTTGCATTTGATTCAGCACCTTCACATTGTTAATCTCAAAGTTTTTCAAAGGATTTGCTGTAAAGTGCATTGATTGTGTATTTTGTAGACAAAAGCAATGCCAATTTGTACTAAGCAGTGCCCTACACCCTGCCACAAAGTGAATGACTAATTTTATTTGGGAGATTGTTGGCTAGGACATGATTTGAAAAGCAACTCCCCTCTTTTTTATGAATAGTACCACAGGATCTTTAACGTCCATCTGAACAGACAGCAACTCCAGCAATGCATTGGAGTGTCAAGCTAGACAATAAGTTCAAAGTCATGATGTGGGGCTTAAACTCACAAGCTTCTGACTCAGAGTCCAGCATCCTATTGCCGAGGGTCAAGTTCAAACGGCGTTTTTGTGTGAGGTGCCTGAATGCTGTTGCACCTGTAGAATTGGTGTAAAATACCATCTTTACAAGCAAAAATAGGGGCAAGGGATTGGGGTGGGAAGGAAAAAGTATACTTTTTGTTAATAGTTTACTGATGATTCTGTGGAGATGAAACTAATATTTCTAAATTTAAACAGGTTAACTGAGAGAACACTACACAGAAAAGGTTGCATAAAATTGATACTAGTTACAGACATTTGCTCCTCCAAAACTTGATTCCCATGTAAGCCTATTTGCCTATTGTCAATCTTGGGATGGGCCACATTACCAGTAAATACTGTTGTGTTCAGCTTCAGCAGAGCACAACATTTGTCAATTCTGTCTTCACTCAGAGCCGGGAGTGTCTAGCTGGAGATCTGTTATCTAGTTTATAGCTAAGCTCGGTGCAAATTAAGAGTCATGGAAGGAGCATATTGCATTCCCCATCTGGATTGCTGGCAAGCAGAGCTCTACATGCATTTAGCTTGTGAACCCACTGAGCACTCTGCCCAATTGTAGTGATTGTGAACAGAGAGTATAAATCTGGTCAGTCAGTTTCAAATTCATTCATTATTGCTGACAACGACAAGCAAATCATGACTGAGTAATAATCCTTACATTTGATATGGAGCCTTTAACTCAAGTCTCTCAGCTATTACAATAATTCCTATTAATTGTTGACTACAATTTCCAATGCACAGCCAGAAAGTGAATGATGAGTTTATTTGAAAAGGAATTGATGGTCAGGGCACCAGTGCCAGTTTTAAATAGTGTCTTGGTCTTTTTAACATCTCATCCGAAGGATGGCACCTCCAATGATGCAGCACTCCTCCCAACACTACATTGGAGGCAACCTAGACTAGGAGCTGAAAGTCCCCAATGGGGCTTGCACACAACCTTCTGAACCTAGAGGTGAGAGCGCTACCAGCTGAGCTAAGCAGAAGAGTAAAATTCACATCTCATCTCTGCCCTCTTCAGATGACATCCAATGCATGCAGGAGGTTGAACCATACATAAAGAAAGAAGATCAGCTCAAAGGTAATTTGGATTCAGCATTATGGAAGGTTGTTTTCCTTCATAATCCCACAGAACAGCAACAACAAATTAAATTGTATAGCACCTTTCACATTGGGAGGACATCCCAAGGCGTTGGATAGTCAGGGATTTAGATCTGAGCTGGGGCTAGTATCGGGTGGAGGGCAGGGAAGTTAGGGTTAGGAGGGTGACCAAAGGCGTGGTCAAAAAGGAGGGTCTTGAGATAGGCCTTGAATGATGCAAGGGAGGGGGCGAGGCATAGGGTCTGTGGGGTGGAGTTCCAAAGGGTGGGTGCACACATTAAATCGCCACAGTTTAATGTGATCGAATTTGTACATTATTCAGGGATGGTGGGGGAAAAAAGACAAGTTCCTGCAAGTTCAGTATTAATCATTAATCTTTTCTCTTAAGTGTTTGTCAAGGTAGATTGAAACATCTTGTTTTTATCCCTCTGGTTCATTAGACAAATGCACTTTTCATTTCTCACAAACGCTTGCGCTTTTTAGAGTGATTTTGATTGGTGAAAATATGAAATCTCAAAGTGCCTTCCAGTTTAGCAGAGTATAATTTGAGCTTTGATAAGCACAACAGGTTCCATTAGCCAGCTGTCAGGCTGCTATATTATTTTTGTACTGACCCAAGTACATTCCCCATCAATAACCTTCAGTTTGCTGTGCAGAGGAACTGCTTGAATAATGACTACTAAATATAGTGATTGGAAGCAGCACTTGTGAACAGAAATAATGGACACGTTCCTCATTCTATTTTCTTTTGAAGGCAAATGACCAATTATCCTCCTGCACTGCTGATGATAAAGCAGAGCCTGACTTATCAGTACAACTTGAGGGCCAGGTCAATCAGTAGGGACAAGGATTTTTCACACTCTGCTCCCGGCAGGGCGAAACCTTAGGCAAGTTTCCTTACTCCACACAGAGCCTAATAATAATCCCTCCAAAACAATAATAAATTGGTCATTTTTAATCCACGACTGTTTGTGGGACATTGCTGTGCGCAATTGGCTGCCGCGTTCGCCCACAAATATACAGTCAATTCACTTTACAGTATATTCTGTGAAGAGCTTTGAGACATCTCGAAGACATGAAAAGCGCTATATCAAATGCAAGCATTATTATTATTAATCCTTACATTTGATATTGTGTCTTAGCACATCTTTAAGACGTCTCAAAGCGCTTCACAGAATATACTGTAAAGTGAATTGACTGTAATTATGAGCCTAGGCAATGACTGTTTGGAGTTTTTTGACCGGTGTAGTGGGGAGAGAAGTCAGTCAAACCCAAATCCGTTCCTCAACCAACATCCAAACAACATTTGTGGTCTGCGGGACTCACCAAGTCATAAATTAGCAAAACTCCCTTTCAGCTTAGCAAAGCACATTTGGAGATTTCATAATCACAACAACAGATTCAGTTTTTATTCAGTTTCAAAGTTCCATTGAGCATTGTCACAGCATTGTCACAGCTATCTACCTACCGGCCCATCTCAAATCTATTCTTTCTATCCCAGGTCCTTGAGAGAGCTGTTGCCTCCCAGCTTCGCTCTTTCCACTCCCTCCATGAGCCCCTCCAATTGGGTTTCCGTGCTGCCCACAGCACAGAAACTGCTCTGGTCAAGGTCACAAACGACATCCTGACCATGTGTGACCAGGGCTCCTCGTCCTCCTTGACCTCTCCGCCGCCTTTGATACAATGGACCACTTAATCCTCCTCCACCGCCTCTCCCACCTCAATCTTCAAGGCTCTGTCCTTGACTGGTTCGGGTCCTACCTTTCACACCGCCTCCATTTCGTCGTGGCAAACAGCTTCTCCTCCAGCCCCCACATCGTCTCGTGCGGGGTCCCTAAGTGCTCTGTCCTCGGCCCCCTCCTCTTCACCCACCACATGCTCACCTTGGTGACGTCATCCGCAGACATGGGGTAAATTTCCACATGTATGCGGATGACACCCAACTCTATCTCTCTGCTTCCAACCTGAACTCCAGGACTACTGGTGTCCTGACCGACTGCCTGTCCAACATCAAGTCCTGGATGAGGGACAACTTTCTCCAACTCAACGTCAGCAAGACCGAGGCCCTCCTGATTGGCTCACACCAGCGTCTCCGCACCTCGGACGTTGGCAGCATCAGCCTCCACGGCTGTACACACAACCTCACTGAGCCAGTCAGGAACCTGGGGGTCTTGTTTGACCCTGAACTGTCCCTTCTCCCCCACATCCGCACCATGACCGGCACTACCTACCACCACCTCTGCAACATTGCCAGACTCCGCCACTGCCTCACCCCTCAGGCTGCCCAAACCCTCACCCACACATTCGTCACCTCAAGGCTCGATTACGGGAACTCCCTCCTCATCGGCCTTCCCAACTCTTCCCTTCACAAGCTGCAGATCATCCAAAACTCTGCAGTTCGTGTACTCTCACACACCAGGCTCTGTGACCCCATCACTCCCACCCTCGTCCGACTCCACTGGCTCACTATCCCTCAGAGGATCGAGTTCAAAATCCTCGTCCTCACCTTTAAGGCCATCCATGGCCTCGCCCCTTCCTACCTCTCTGACTTCGGGCTCCCGCCTACTCCATGTCTCCCGCCCAACCCGTCCTACCATCGGTGGCCGGGCTTTCAGCCTCTCTGCCCCCACACTCTGGAACTCCATCCCACGGTCCCTTCACCTCGCTTCCTCCCTCGCATCCTTCAAGGTCGGTCTCAAGACCTTTCTCTTCGACTGTGCCTTTGGTCTCCCTCCACCTCTCTGCCTTCCCTCATCCCTACATCAACCCCCCTCCCCCATGCTCAGGCCCCCACACCTGACTGTTCAGCACTTTGGGACGTCTCCCAACATGAAAGGCGCTCTATCAATGTAATTTTGTTGTTGTTGTTGATTGTATGATTAAGACATGATTCCATGTTACAGTGTAATGTTAGATTTGTGTTCAAAAATGTGTTATTGCAGCAAAAAATTCCTAATGAACAACTCTTTTCAACCTATAATAGGACATACGTAGGGAAAAAGATTAACTTTTCTTCCTAGTTAATATTTAATTTGATTCTTTTAGAAGCTGGCGTGACAAAATATAAGAAGCAGACTTGTTTTGGGGCTCGAGTGATGCACATCTGTGTGATTTACAGGGATCCCTGTCATTTGTGATTAAAAGGTTGTCTTATATAATTGGAAAGCAAACATAGACGGGCCATGGGATTGCACCAATCTGCACCTCAATGGCTCATTGAGTTGATGTGTTAAATTTGATTAATGTTCGATTTCCTATGTTAATCAGTTACCTCATCTTCCCAATCAAAATTCATAGAAGATCACTGTGCGTTTGCTTCAGTATGTTGAGCTGTATGAGGAACAATGGAAGCCAACGCAACTGGTGGCTATTCCCTCTATACACAATCCTTTAGTATTTCTGATGTTATAGTAATCGTGGTTTATTTTGTGCTGAATGTTTTTGTAGGAATATGGGTAAGTGTTCATTTAACTTTGCCTCATTTTTAATGGTTTACTTTACGGGACAGAATCGCTCACGCTTGTTCCAGGTTTTCTACAAACTGTGGTTTTCGATTGACCATTTAAACCCAATGCCCTATTGGTAGAATCCCAGTCGATCAACTAATGGGGGTCAGGATCTGTGCGTAATATGCTGGGTTTAGTCTGCGATTGGCCAAATGCATCCACCGGGAAGCGTGTTTTTCTCACAGGAATTGCATAGCAATTTTTGGAATTGCATGATAAAAATTAATTGGTAAAATTCAGAAAGGTGGCACTTATTTAACGAGTGTTTGTAAAACGTACTTCAGAAACAATCAAATGCACCAGTAGCCTGACCAATATTTAAATTCAGCTCACGTTTGTGCAAATTAATGATAATAATAATCTTTGCATTTGATATAGCGCCTTATCACATCATTGAGACGTCTCAAAGTGCTTCACAGAATATATTGTAAAGTGGATTGATTGTACAGCGTACTAAGTGTATATTTTATGTCTGTCCGGCAAATGCACGTCAAATTAACTATTTATAAATGGCACTCGTGCAATTCTCTTCTAAAGTCGGCTTGAATTGTTTGTTTTGATATTTGGCTCTCCTGGACAGAAATGGGCTTTAAGTGTTAAAATTAGTGGAAATATATCTCCCTGAGGTGGGCAGAAAGTGAGCATATCACTTACTTGCTGCAGTGGAAAGCAAACATTTGGTTTTGATGTTTATCAAGTTATCATTAGTCCAACAATTGCTTACCTTTTACCTCCCTCTCTGCTTTCAAACCCCCTTAAAATTCTATCTCTCTGCCTGCACCTTCAGTCCCTTCTGCTCCCCAACTCTCACCCAGCTCGGGCTGCTACTCTGTCTTTTAAAATGCTTCGAGACGTCCCCCTAAGTGCAAGTAGCTGTTACTGTTAGCACAGGTTGTTATTGCACTGATAAATTAATGCAAGTATTATATTAATATCTAATTTTACTAGTTTCAGAGGACATTACTAGCATGTGTGAGTGATTTGTCCGAGTACTGGACAGGATGGAGCATAACTCTGGGCTCCAAAACAAGTTCATAGTTTTTAAAGCCCGTCAGTGTAGCTGGAGCAATTTGGTAGACTGTAGTGTTCTGCACTGCTGTAATAAGAGATACAACCCACAGAGGGAGGTCGTACAGCAGGCAGATGAGAAAGGAACAAGGTGAGATACAGTAGTACAATATAATACTTGCGCCTTATGATGTTAAGACATATCAAAGTTCTTCCACAGGATATACTATATAGTTTACTGACTGTATTTTATAGATGGCAGCCAGTTTCCACACAGCAATATTCCATAAATAGCCGTGAAGTGAATAACCAATTTTATTTGTGTGCCTGGAGTTCAGTACCGTGGAGTGAGGGGGAAGCTTCCCAATTAATTTCTGGCTCAAGCAATCTAATAAATTGTCAATAAATGTTCATTTATTTACGACTGTATTAGTTTAAAGCCAAATGCGCCTGCCCTTATGATCGAGAAGATAATTTTTTGTGTGTGTATTTAAAGAGCATCTACCTGAAGCAGAACCCCTGTCTCTTCTCAGGCTGCATCTATGGAGAGAGGAAAGTGAGTTAACATTTGAGGTCGATCCTGCCCATACAATAAAGTCAGGCTTGTTCCAAACATGCCAGGAGCACGTTTCAATTTGTAAAAAAGATCTTGAGCAAAAATTAGCTTTTTATCATTTCAAAATTGTGTATATTGTGCTTTATTTCACAAATACAGCCCTGTTCTAATAAGCTCTAGTGGAGAAGTTGCATATTGCAAGATGTGAAGCTTAAAATATAACCATGCCTTGTGCAGACTCACAGGGTGAGTTACGGTCTTAGCCTGGTTCAGTTACTAGCGCTGTTGCCTTTCATTTTGAAAATTGAGGGTACAAATCCCATGTCAGGACTTTGAGCTCACAATCTAGGCTAACATTCCAGTGCAGTGCTTGGGGAGTGCTGCAATAATAATAATAATAATCCTTGCATTTGATATAGCACTTTTCACGTCGGGAGGACGTCCCAAAGCGCTTCACAGAACACACTGTAAAGTGAATTGACTGTATATTTGTGGGCGAATGCGGCAGCCAATTGCGCACAGCAATGTCCCACAAACAGTCGTAGATTGAAAATGACCAATTTATTATTGTTTTTGGTTTTGGAGGGATTATTATTAGGCTCTGTGTGGAGTAAGGAAACTTGCCCAAGGTTTCGCCCTCTGCCTGGAATTGAACTCAGGTCTCTCACTTGCAATGTCAGAAGTGCCATTCTTCAGATGAGGTATTAAACCGAGGCCTGTTCAGGTGGATGTTAAAGTTATTATTATAATTCTGGGAAATTAGTGTGGAAAGAATGAAACATTGTACTTTGAAGTGTTTACTTAAACAATTTCCTCCAAACCTTCCATCCAGAGAGAGGAGTTCCGTAGCCAAACGTTCACGTGTGTTCTCTCTTTACAGTCCTCTTGCAGAGTCAGCAGGAACACTCTAAGTGGCTACTTTCTGGCAGGCAGAGATATGGCATGGTGGCCTGTAAGTAACGATTTACTCTGTCTTGCTTGGACACTTGCTTTAATCATATTTATTCCTTCAAGTGTAAACCACAGGATTGCAAGCATTTTACAGCAGAAAGTATGTTGAAAACATAGAACAGCATAAGTGTGGAAATTTCCATTTGTCCAGAATGGAGTACGCACTCTCTCTTTCCTGAGGCGTGGTGACCTCCGAGGGCGTGTGGGACAATTCTTCCCTACAGCTCTGCGAGGATACAATACCAAATTACATTTGTATAGCGCCTTTCACGTCAGGAGGATGTCCTGAGACACTGGATGTAAGAAGAGATACCAGTTAATGAGAAATGGAGCATTGAATCAATAGTGGTGCAACCAGCTGAACCATGGAACTTTCCGGAGGAGTTAGTTTATGGTTCTGTTAGGTCAAAAGTGGTCTCACCAAGGGAAATGCATTCATTTCATTGTCTAAATGTTTCTGTTGATGTACATTCCCTGGTTGTAAGCGTTAGACAGAGGCTGGCAATAGTCATACGGACCTGCCTGCAAAAATAGTGAGCTGAGATATTCTTGCTCAGCTAAATGTAACCAAATTGAATGCATTGGAATAATAATCTTGGCATTTGATATAGCACTTATAATGGAGAAATATCTCAAAGTGCTTGACAGGGAATTGCTGTAATGATTGTATTTTGGGGGCAAAAGCAGTAGCCAATTTGCACTCAGCAATGTTGTACAAACAGCCGTGATGTGAATGTTCAATCGATCTGGAGAACTGTTCGACAGGAGTTTTCAAACTAAACTGCAAAGGGAAATCCCTTCCTTTGTATTGCATACAGGTGTTGAGTCAATACCGGGCATTCACCGTCCATTTCTGGAAGACTTGTAATTCCCAGAATAATAAACCTTGCATTTGAAATAATGCCTTATCATGTTGTTGAAGGTTAGGACACAACACAGCACTGAGGGATAAGCTAATAATAATAAATATAATAATCCTTGCATTTGATATAGTGCCTTATCATGTCTTCTGGACGTCTCAAAGTGCTTCACAGAATATACTGTAAAGTGAATTTACATATTTTTGTGGGTGAAAAGCGGCCGCCAAATATGCACAGCAGTGTCCCACAATCAGACCTACTTACTGCTGGATAAAAAGAGGCATGTGGAGTAAGGAAACTTGCATAAGGTTTCGCCCCGCCCAGGAATCGAACCCGGGTCCTCTCGCTTGTGAGATGAGTGCTCTAACAAATAAGTTACAGGACTCCGCATAAGCATTTTATTGAGGATTATTATTGTTAAGGATCTTGGTCCCGAGCTCAACTTGTCATGTTTTGGTTGCAGATTGGGGCTTCCCTCTTTGCCAGCAGTGAGGGCTCGGGTCTCTTTATTGGACTGGCTGGTACCGGGGCAGCAGGAGGAATCGCTGTGGCTGGATTTGAGTGGAATGTAAGAACATTGAAACATCACTGCACAACCTTACAGCTCTTTAGTTTTGAGGAAGATTTCTCAGAGGGGATCTGATAGAGGTGTATTAAAGTTTAAATGGAATTGAAAAAGTAAACCCAGTGCATTACTTTAGTATGCACACATGTTTAAGAGTTTGTAAAGGGTAATTTCAGGACAGACAAGAGGATGTTTTTCTTTACTCAGAGGGTAATTAACGACTGAAACAGATTGCCAGGAAAGGTAGCTGTGGCTAGGAAATGGGAGGACGGTAAGGTGGGTGTCCTTGAAGGATGAGATCCAAAGGGCCGAAGGGACTTCTTCATCTGAACACGTCTTGTGAAGTATTTCTTTACACAGAAGGTAATTAACGCACATGGTTATCAGAGAGGGCTGAAGCCAGAATTCTGGCTCGAATAAGAAATCGCTAAATGCTATGTTGAGAGGTAAAATGAAGCCTGCACATTTGTGTGCATTGATTCAATAAGCATATCATTGATGTTGCAGCTGAACAGTAATAAGATGCACCAGTGAAGCACTTACTCTTTTGCTGTCTCCACAGGCCACCTATGTCCTGCTCGCTTTGGCTTGGGTATTTGTACCTGTGTATATATCGTCAGGGGTAGGTACAGTTACCATCTGACCTGCCTTTGGAGTCATTCATTTTATTTAATGATTATAAAAGCGTTTGACAGAATTGGTTGTTTTTAAGGGCTGATGTTTCTCCCCATATATCCTGTTGCAGATCGTGACCATGCCTGAGTACTTTCAGCGTCGATTTGGAGGGCAAAGGATCCGGATTTATTTATCTGCCTTGTCGCTGCTGCTGTCTGTATTTACGAAGATATCTGTAAGCACTCTCTTACTTTCCAATCTCGTGTATGAGTGGCCTAAGGCACAGCCTTAATTATGCTGTGCTTTCCAAGAGGCTTTCTGGCATCCCAGGCACCTTATCCAGATTAGCCGGCATAATGCACCACACTAAATCACACTCAGCAAACACAGGAAAATATTGCTCAAAAACCAGCTTCCAAATTCCTTGATCAGCATCTGTAGGCAGCATAAGTTAGTTCTAGTTAAGATACTAGCTCAGAGTGCAAGATGGTGAACCTAGTATTTTTTACCACACCTATAACATTGAACATCTCCAAGTGCTTCACAGGATTTACTGTAAGTAAATAGATCAGTAGTGACTGTGTATTTGTAGGTGAAAGTGGCAGTCTTATCTGAAGGATGGTACCTGCAAAAATGCAGCATCAGCCAGGGCTGTGGGATCAAAGTACTGATCCCACAATCTGAGACGGAAGTGCTGGCAATTGATCTTTGTAATTGGGTAATGCAACACAGAATGTAACACCTGAAAGGCTTAAGGGGACGTTTTAATGACAAGGCAGAATTTAGAGACACAATTAGCTTTAATAATAAGCACCAAATCCATCTTTCTTGGCTGGAGTTATTGACATGAGATCAGAGGTACTACATTTTATCCTGTCCAGGCAATGCTACCTTGACTCATCCAATTCTCTCAGCCTCCAGCACAGGAGAACACATTTACTCCCCCTCCCTGATCTGCCAAATTGCTGTGGGTTGGGGGTGGGGTTTCATAAGCATTTTTTAAGTACTTTAACTTTTAATTAATATTGGTTTAAGCTGAGCACACCCAAGCATTTCAAGGGGCAAACCCTACAGTCGTAGATACTTCAAATAAACCGGGTTTGTCATCCAGTACATGTGGTGAGCCTTTCATCATCTATTGTAGTCTCATTTGACTACATGTTACTCTCAAACATGTTGAATACTGTACATTAGATTACAGCACACAAGACAGCAGTGAGAGCAGCTTTTAATGAACATCGTTTTAGATGTATCGAGTATTCACGTTTCCTGCTTACACCCCACTCCACTGCCCCACTTCACTCATCTGACTCCAGCCTTCTACGCATCCTTCATTCCCTCTGGTTTATCATCGGCGGCCGTACTTTCAGCCACTACGCCTCCGATACAGCAACAAGATTACATTTGTATAGCGCTTTTCACATCGGGAGAATGTCCCAAGGTGCTGGACAGTGTACAGCATTTCAGACCCAAGCTGGGGAGAGGGGAAGGGAGATGGCCGATGGCATGGTCGAAGAGGAGGGTTTTGAGGCGGGACTAGAAGGAGGCTAAGGAGGGGGCGAGGCGGAGTGATTGGGGGATGGAGTTCCAGAGGTTGAAGGCAGAGTGGCTGAAGGCTCTCCCGTCAATGGTGGGGCGGGTGGGTCAGGGGACATGGAACAGGCTTGAGCGGAGGGAACGGGCGGGTTGGTAGGGGGTTAGAAGGTCACAGAGATAATGTGGGGCAAGACCATTGAGGGCTTTGTAGGTGAGGACCAGGATTACTCTGGATCTCTGCCTCAATCCTTCCTCCTTGCCTCATTCTTCCTTTCTCACCGTGTCTACAGTTACCTCCCCTCTCTCTCCAGATCAGCGTCAAGCTCCGCCCATTGTTAAGCTCTTTGAGGTGCTCCCCATGTGAATGGCGCTGTATAAATGCGAGTTGTTGTTAACGTGGGAGTTTTACCTGTGGTTTCTCTGACTAGAGAGATGCCAGACTCCACTTTAGCACTGTGGAAAGAGGAAAGGTATGTCTCCGTTGTAAAATGGACAAATAACATACACAACACCCCCTAATGCTCTGCAGTGATCAATACTCTATTGCAAGTAATTGTGGATTATAATTCATGTCTGAGATGAACAAAACTAATACCACACTTCAAAATGCAGTGTGATTGAACATTTGTGGTATGTGATGGATGCATCCACATTGGTGTATGGCTCTAAGTATAGCTCTAAGTTTGCATAGTAACCGACAAAGCAAAACACGACCCATCCTTGTTTGTATTCTTTGCAGTATACGCACGGGTCCCTCCCCAGCTCCCGACGCATTTAACATAAGTTAACTACTCTAAATTGCAGAGTTTCGCAAAAGGTATTGTCAGATGTTAGGTCCTGCAAATACCGGATATTATTCCTCTGTCCCACCTGAACTCTATCTGGACACCGATCTTATCTCCTAACTGGGATTAGTTAATGAAAGTGGGGATGTAGCAACACAGATTAGCAGCAGCACAAATTTGATAGGCTGAAAAGCCTCCTTTCTGTGTTCCCTTGAAGTTGGATTGTGGTTATAGAGAGGTCAGTGTCCGGTCATGGGCAGAGTTCGATATTTACCAATTACCAAAAACTGAATTCTCAAAGTCGTGTTCTGTTCTATCACAGGACAGCAAGTTGAGACGTCCTGCTGATGTGAAAGGTGCTATACAAATGTCATTTGTTGTTGTTCATAATCAGGGTTCTATTGTACCAGGCAAAGAACTCTGCTCTGAAGGGAACTGTGTTAGAATGATGTAGACTTGAACATTTTTTGTTTAACACAGCCACGTGTCTGACACATGCAAAAACCCATCACCGTGCTTAAGAGTATCCAAACCAAGCTGAGATTTCCATGTATCCCACCTACACATGGAAATCCCAGAGATAGATTGATGGAATGGAATGCGCACTCTCTCTCTCTCTCTCTGGAGGGACACATCCTGCTTACTTAATCCCAGAAAATATTGAAGCACAGATTGGCAAGTGCCAAAAGTAAGGGACCCCAGTGTGTGGTTGGGGTACTGCTGGAGTCTAACTAGCTAAAACCACATAGCTTGCCAAGCTTTCCTGCTGCTTGTCCAGCTAAGACCACCCTACTTTGGCTTGCCGGGTTAACAGGAGCTTAGCAGGATGACTCCCTGCCCCCAGTGACTGGTCTGCTCTTCCAACTGCTGCTGATGAGCTAGGCTGGCTGTGCTGTCATCAGCAGTGGCCTGGAATACTGTGGATCCACCTGGCTCAAGAACCAGACTACTGAAACTGCCACAGAGGGCTGGTTCAATTCTGACATTCTGCTGCCAGGCATGCCACCTTGGAACCAGTTCAGATCCAAGGAGACCCCACTTATCTCCCTCCCACAAGGAGAATAGAACTAAATAGAATGTTAAAGCACGGAGACATTTGGGCCAGTTAGTCCGTGCCAATGAGGGTAATGTGAATCCTTAAAGCACAAAGTTTGATTGCAAAGTCTGTCGCTGAATCATCGCTGAAGTATTTGCTCAGCAGATCAAGTCCAGTCATGAATTTGCCACTTTTTTCATATGGCTTGAGGAATGTTCCTTTTATCATTTATGTGTAATTTCACAAGAGTAGATTAGGGAGTGGAGTATTTTCATTTCTCCCTGATTGACGTTCCTCTTCAATGTTGTGCATTGCTGGGGTTTGATCGTTTCTGGTTACATTAACTTGTACCTTTGGCATTTATGCTGTTATATAAAAAAAAGTAACAGCTTCATTTCTGGTTGCAGGAGAGCATCTCAAAGCCCGTCACAGGATGTTTATGCTACATGCAAAACAGAATGTTAACATGTCACTTGTTTGCCTCCTTAGACAGACCTGTACTCGGGAGCCTTGTTTGTGCAGGTTTGCCTTGGATGGAATCTCTATCTCTCTACAGTGCTGATGCTGGTTGTGACAGCCCTCTACACCATAGCAGGTAATGTCATACAACACGCCATATAACATCAGGCTTGTGTTACCAATGGGCGCTGCTCATGATAGAGATATGTCTGAGACAGTTTAAAGTCTCTGGTTGATTTCATCCACATAAAGTGTGGGTCCTGCTATGTAACCCAATCAAAGCTGTAAAAGGTGGGTTGAGGTCCCTCTGGGATTATTATTTCATGGAGATTAACATTACACATTAATATAGAGGCATGTTTCCATGGTAACCTTACAGTGGCTATTTATAAAGAATAGAAAATAATGCTTTCACTCAGACTTGTGTTTTGAATGTTGAACCAAGTAACTAGCTGCAATCTGAGGTCTGGAGCTACAATTATTGTCAAATGACTTGACTGGGGAGAGATTCCTATTATCTATTTTAATATGTTTTGAACCAGTGAAACTTTTGATTTTCTTTCTGTTAATTGGTGTTGTATATCTCAGGAGGTGGTAAGGGATACATGACTGTTCCTTTGTCTTGGAAGATATATTGTAGATGTCTTGGCACTGAGCTTAGGAGACGCCTATTGGGGTGGGGACAGTCAAATTCAGGTCAGATATAGTTGTGGAAGATTGGTTGGTGCTAAATCAGAAATGGATGCATTGCTGGGAGACGAAGCGAAATTTATAGTTGGCCATTTCTATCCACATCTTACTCTCTGTAAAGATACTTAATATTCTTTCCCTCTCTCCATTTCCTCATAAACACTAACACAATGACATTGTTGCCTGATTCAGTACCGAGCAACTCTTATAACGTGTTTGACTACCAACAACAACATTAGTATAATAATAAAAATAATAATCCTTGCATTTGCTATAGCGCTTTTCACGTCGGGAGGACATCCCAAAGTGCTTCACAGAACCCACTATAAAGTGAATTGACTGTATATTTGTGGGCGAATGCGGCAGCCAATGGAACAGCAATGTTCCACAAACAGTCATGGATTGAAAATGACCAATTTATTATTATTTTTGGTTTTGGAGGGATTATTATTGGGCTCTGTGTGGAGTAAGGAAACTTGCCCAAGGTTTCGCCCTAAGCTGCCTGGAATTGAACTCAGGTCTCTCGCTTGCAAAGCGAGTGCTCTAACCACTGAGCTACTGGACTCCACGCACCTTTCACGTCGGGAGGACATCCCGAGGCGCTGGACAGAGTATAGCATTTCAGACCCGAGCTGGGGTTGGGAGGGGAGGGTCAGGAAGTGGCACTTGAAGGAAGCTAAGGAGGGGACGAGGCGGAGTGACTGGGGATAGAATTCCAGAGGTTGGGGGCAGAGTGGCTGAAGGCTCTCCCGCCAATGGTGGGGCGGGTGGGTCAGGGTCGTGGAGCAACCAGAGCCGGCTGAGCGGAGGGAATGAGCGGGTTTGTAGGGGTTTAGGAGGTCGCAGAGGTAGAGTGGTGTTTATAAAAAGTGTTATAAAGACCAGGTGATATTATAAAGAGTCATGATAACACGGTAGACGTCCCAGGTTGTCATGTGCAGGAAATGCTGCTGACAAGACTTCCTTTGTAAAGACAACAGCAGTGCTCGCTGCTCACCATGTGCAGAGTGCAGGAAGTGACGATAGTGGCAAACTGACGACCCAAAAGTTGACAATGGAATTCAAAATTTTAGGTAAGAAAATGTTGAGGTCCAAAACGCAATTGCCTTATAAGCGAATCCAAGTTATAGCAGGTGTTCTAACACTGTGGTCCTGTTTATTTTGTTTGTATCTTGTTTGACTCCCACGGTCTTTCACATCATACTAGGCTCAGCTTTCACTCACCTCATTAACATTGACCGCCTCCACCACTACCTTTCCCGCCAAGATCCCATGGAACTACTGAAAAAAGAATTTCTCCCAATGTCCTTTCCAACAAACTTCCAGATAAAATAAACAAAAGGCGAATGACCTATTTGCAGATAAAATAGGTCATCACTTCACGTTTGTTTTGGGGTCATTGCTGTGCACAGATTGGCTGATGCATTTGCCTACAAAGTACACAGTCACTACATTTTAAGGTGTATCCTGTGAAGTGCTTTGAGATATGCTCCTAAATTGAAAGATGTTGTCTCAAGTGCAGATTGATTGATTAAGGAAGCAACGAGTTGGTGATCTTGTACGTTAGCAACTCATTAGCATGTACAAGGACAGACATCATTCACATAACTAACTGCTAATTAACAAAATACAATATAAGGAGAATGACACCCAAATAAATTGTATTCAATTATCTTTACAACATGTATGTGAAAAGAAATTATTAAAATCCAACTCTGGGATTACTGCTGTAAATGTGCAACTGGACTGCCTTGCTGAGGATTATTTCTAACTCATCACGAGTTGTATTGCCCATAAATTACAGAGTGGCAAATACAGACAGTATACCTGAGCCTAATTGATTAAAATGTTTTATTGGATACGGTCCAATCTGGCCATCAAAGCTTACAGATATTTTAAACAGAAAAGCTAAGTGTGAATCTACTTTGTGAATTTCAGGCTCCAGGATAATTCCAGGCATCTAACACTCTAACAGCAGAGCAAAGGGCAAGGAAGGGGACTATAATCCAGGACAGAATAAATCTTCACTTAGAAATGTTCCTAAAATGCATACAGGACAACTTTCTTGATCAGTTCATTTCCAGCCCAACAAGGAAGGAAGCAGTGCTAGATCTAGTTCTGGGGAATGAAGTAGGGCAAGTGGAGAGCATCTGGGAAATAGTGATCACAACATCATTAGATTCAGAGTGCATATAGAAAGAGACAAGGAACCATCTAAGGTAAAACAACTAAAGAGCAGTGGGAAGTCTTCAAGGATGAGATAGCTCGGGGACAGAATAAATACATTCCCACAAAAGGTATGTATGTAGGGTATCCAAACCTCCCTGGATGACGAAGGTACTTGTATCTGGAATGAAGCAGAAAAAGGAGGTGTATGACAAATGTCAAACCCAAGATACAGAAGACAACCAAATAGAATATAGGAAGTGCAGAAGAGGTTTGAAAAAGGAAATAAGAGGCTAAAAGATTATACGGAGAAAGGTTAGAGGGTAACATTAAAGGGAATTCTAAAATAATTTACAAACATATCAAGGAAAAAAGGTTAGTCAAAGGTAGGGTGGGGCCATTTAAGGACCAAGGGGGAAATCTTATTGTGGAGGCAGAGGGCACGGCTGATGTGCTGAATGAGTACTTTGCCTCTGTCTTCACAAAAGAAGTGGATGCACCAAATGCCGCAGTATTGGAGGAGAGGGCAGAGGAAATGGATAGGATAAGTATAAACAGAGAGAAAGTACTGAAAAGGTTGACTGGGCTGAAGGTGATACGGTCCAGACGGGATGCAGCCGAGGTTACTATGGGAGGGACGGGTACAAATAGCGGAGGCTTTGGCTACAATTTTTCAATCTTCGTTGGACACAGGAGTGGTGCCTGAGGACTGGAGAGTGGCCAATGTGACTCTCCTGTACAAAAAGGGACAGAAGGACAAACCTGGGAACTCCAGGCCAGTCAGCCAAACATCAGGAGTGGGGAAACTCCTGGAGACTATAATCCGGGACAGAATAAATCTTCACTTAGAAGAATATGGGTTAATTAGGGACAGCCAACACCGATTTGTTAAAGGCAAATCTTGTCTAACAAATCTAATAGAATTTTTTGATGAGGTAACGGAGGGTGGATAAAGGCAGTGCAGTTGATGTAGTTTATATGGACTTTCAAAAGATATTTGACAAAGTGCCACATGAAAGACTTGTAAGAAAGATAGAAGCCCACGGTATAAAAGGGACAGTGGCAGCGGATCCAGAACTCACTGGGAGACAGAAAGCAGAGAGTTGTGGTGAACGGCTGCTTTTCTGACTGGAGGGAAGTGTACAGTGGTGTCCCCCAGGGATCGGTATTAGGACCACTGCTCTTCTTAATATACATAAATGATCTGGACTTGGGTATAGCAAGTACCATTTCCAAGTTTGAGGATGACACAAAGTTAGGGAAGGGGGTAAACAGTGAGAAGGATAGCAGTCAACTGCAGGAAGACATAGACAGAATGGTAAAATGGGCGACACATGGCAGACGAGTATCAATGTGGAGAAATGCGAAGTAATGCATTTTGGTAGAAAGAATGAGTGGAGGCAATATAGGCGGTAATACAATCTTAAAGGGGGTAAAGGACCGAGAGACCTGGGGTTGCAGGTAAATGAAGCCTTGAAGGTGGCAGGACAGGTAGATAAGGCTGTAAAAAGGGCAAATGGGATACTGGGCTTTATAAATAGGGGCATAGAGTACAAGAGTCAGGAGGTGATGATTAACCCATATAAAATACTGGTTTGGCCTCAGTTAGAATACTGCGCCCAGTTCTGGACACCACACTATAGGAAGGATGTGAAGGCAATGGAAAGGGCGCAGAGGAGATTTACGAGGATGGGACCAGGAATGAGGGACCTTGATTATGAGGAAAGGCGAGAGAGGCCGGGATTATTCTCATTGGAGCAGAGAAGGTTACGAGGAGAACCTGATAGAGGTCTTCAAAATTATGAGGGGATTTGATAGGTTAGAAAGGGAAAAACTGTTCCCACTGGTGGGTGTGTCGGTGACTCGAGGTCACAGATTCAAAATAGTCTCTAAAAGAAGCCGAGGGGAGGTGAGAAGAAATGTTTTCATGCAGCGAGTTGTTCGAATCTGGAACCCATTGCCTGAAAGGGCGGTCGAGGCCGATTCAATAACTACTTTTAAAAACGCGGTGGACGGGTATTTGAGGAGGACGGGTTTGCAGGTTATGGGGAAAGGGCCGGGGAGTGGGACTGACATTACATTGCTCTATTCAAAGAGCCAGCACAGACTCGATGGGCCGAATGGCCTCTTTTTGTGCTGTATGATTCTATGACTCTGTATGTGGAGACGGTTCACTACGCCCAAGCGTACCACATACAGTGGTCTGAAATGTTTGCTCTTTGTTTGTCTTTCTCTCTGCACTCTTTAGAGAAAATGAACGGACCTGCCAACGCTCAGGAGCAGTGCATCCACCTCCTCTTGAATGCAGAGAAACTTGCTTTGCTTTCTGAGTAATTGTCACCTCTCTCCAGATGGCTCCAGCTGAAAGATTCAGCAGCATAGAAATTAGGCGCTGAAATTGTGAACTGGTGACTTATATGTGTCATAAATATTAAAATGTTTAGAGTGAAACACTGTTATCAGTAGCAGCTTGGTTCCAAAGTGTTCCTCCCTGCATCACAAAGGCTCCTCAAAGCTGGGACATGGTAAAAGGTCTGTAATGAGAGTAGAATCTCTCCTGTGCTAAATTGAGAGACACGACTGATGAGAGGAGTTGCTGTTAACTACATTGATGCTCCAAGAGACAGAGGCAGAAATGTATCGCTGAAATCAGCAACAGCTAAAATTAAAGAATGTTTCACTCAAAGAAACGGGTTCCCACTTTTACTACAACAAAGTGGAACTGTTGACACCACAAAAATGGTCTGTACTGTAGACTTTGGCATGTATTATGATGAAATGTGTCTTAATAATAATAATAATCCTTGCATTTGATATAGCGCTTTTCATGTCGGGAGGACGTCCCAAAGCGCTTCACAGAACACACTGTAAAGTGAATTGACTGTATATTTGTGGGCGAACGCGGCAGCCAATTGCGCACAGCAATGTCCCACAAACAGTCGTGGATTGAAAGTGACCAATTTATTATTGTTTTTGGTTTTGGAGGGATTATTATTAGGTGTCACAGAGTCCTTATATCCATCCCCCTCCATGTTCATTCCATCTCTGTCAAATTCAGTTTTTCTTTAGAGAGTTGTACAGAATTTAGACATCTCATCTGATTGAGAGATTTCTAAAGCTGGCAAAAAAATAATCTGCCTCTGTAGCTAAGAATTTAATGAGCAGAGATGATAGTTAGAGTAAACCACAAGAAAGATAATACCGAATTTGCTTTCCTTGGAAAATAAATTGGAGGCATGTTGTTTTCACATTCCAAGATTTAGGGACTCTAAATATATTATGCAAATCTAAAAAATTGAACTAGGAATGTGTATGTGTGATAACCATTAAAACTTATGCTGTTTCACTAACTACCTGTTTTTACCCACAAAATACACAGTCAGTCCACTTTGCATTATATCCTATGAAGTGCTTCATCGCTTTACTATTTTTCCCCAATATTCTCGACAATGTGATAAGGCGTTAATCAATTGCAAGGATTATGATTCTTATCAATAGCATCTTGGTTTATTGATTAAACCAAGCTTTTTTGAAGCTTATTTAAACCAGTCAGTTGTAGGTTCTCGACTACAAGGGGACTTGGGTGTCCTTGTACACCAATCACAGAAAGTTAGTCTGCAGGTGCAGCAGCAATTAGGAAGGCGAACGGGATGTTAGCATTCATTATGAAAGGATTAGAGTATAAGAGTAGGGAAGTCGTGTGCAACTGTATAGGGCCCTGGTGAGTCCACACCTGGAATACTGTGTGCAGTTTTGGTCTCCTTATTTAAGGAAGGATGTACTTGCTTTGGAGGGGGTGCAGCGTAGATTTACTCGGTTAGTACCAGGGATGGAGGGGATGAGTTTTGAGGATAGGCTGACCAATTTGGACCTATATTCTCTGTGAAATAGAATAATTAGAGGGGATCTTACAAAACCTATAAGATCATCAAAGGCCATGATAGAGTAGATAGTGGGAGATTGTTTCCCCGGTTGGAGAAACTAAAACCAGGGGTCACAACCTTAAAATCAGAGGCAGCCCTTTCGAACTGAGTTGAGGAAGAACTTCTTCACTCAAAGAACTTCGTCACAGTGGTGACTGTATGGAACTCACTACCCCAAAGTGCTGTTGACGCTCAATCCTTGAACATATTCAAGACTGAGATAGATAGATTTCTTATTGCAAAAGGGATTAAGGGATATGGGGATAAGGCAGGGTCAGGTTATTAGCTGGAGTTAGATGAGAAGATCAGCAATGATTGAATGGCGGGGCAGGCTCGAAGGGCCGAATGTCCTACTCCTGCTCCTACATGTTATGTTACAACTGACTGTGTGGGCGAGAACAGTAGCCAATTTCCATATCGCAAAGTCCCTCAAATAGCCATGAAGTGAATGATCAATTTTATTTGGGGGATTGTTGGTCAGGACACTAGAACTGAATCGGGAGCTTTAACATCTACCTGAACAGGTAGATGGGATATTGGTTTAATGCCTCATCCAAAGTGCCAACATTGGGGTTGGACCCACAACCTTCCGACTCGGAGGCGAGAGTTCTACTAACTGAGTCAGGCAAACGTGTGCAATTAAGCGTTCTGGGCTGTGGCAGACTTTTAGAAATCACAAATTTCCCTGTAACTGAAATGGAGATTGGAAAAATACTCAGCAATAACATTGCTTGGTAATACCACCTCTTCCAGGAAAATAAAAAGAATGACTGTTAATGTTTTGTAAGTAAAGACTTCTGATACATCCTATATAAAACAACAGCAGCTTACGTTATGCAGCAGCTTTAACAAAGGGTAATGTCTCGAAAAGCTTTAAGCAGACAGTGCAGGCACTGAGCTGGGATGGTCTTGTCAAATCATAGCAGGACATTTTCTCATCGCTAGTACATTTCCCCAATATTCTTGCCCTTAAAAATCCTTAACCCATTGCCTTTGTTACTTCCCGGGTCAATTTTTCCAATGCTCACCTCGTTGGTCTCTCCAGCTCTACTACTCATCAAATCCAATTGATTCAAATCTCTAACATATCTTCACCCACACCAAGCTCCACACCTTCCAGTCCTTGCCAGGCTGCACTGCTTTCCTATTGTGCAACAGATCGATTTCAAGCTCTTCATGCTTGTGTACAAGTCACTTCATGCCTTGGTATTTCCTTATCTCTCCAACTTGCTCAAATTCCATTCCTCCACCCACTCCCTTCGCTCAGCAGGCTCTGGGCTCCTGCATGTGCCTCATCCTCTCTGCTTCACCATCGACAGTCGTACTTTCAGTCACTACGCCCTGAGACTCTGGACTTGTCTGCCTCCCCCCTACCTTCCTGCCCGTACCCTCCGTTCCTCTGGCTCCGGTCTGCTCCACGTCCCCCGCCCCAACCGCCCTACCATCGGTGGTCGGGCCTTCAGCCTCTCAGCCCCCAGGCTCTGGAACTCCATCCCCCAGTGCCTTCGCCGCCTCCTCCCTTTCCTCCTTCAAGGCCGGTCTCAAAACCTTTCTCTTTGACCGAGCCTTCAGCTCCCCTCTCGACTCTCTTCCTCCTCCTCGCTCCCTCCCTTCCCTCCCCTCACCCTGACCATTTCCCCCCTCCTCGCTCCCTCCCTTCCCTCCCCTCACCCTGACCATTTCCCCCCTCCTCGCTCCCTCCCTTCCCTCCCCTCCCCTGACCATTTCCCCCCTGCTCGGGTCATGACCCAACTGTGCAGCGCCTTGGGACGTCCTCCTGACGTGAAAGGCGCTTTATAAATGGAATCTTGTTGTTGTTGCCTCAATCCCTCTGGCCTGCTGCCTCCTTGCCAATCTTCCTCCTTAAAGACATTCCTCTTCAACAATGCTACAATCACCTCTCCTCTCTCTCCGGCTCCACCACTGTTAAGTGCTCCAAGACACTACGCCTTGTGAAGGGTACTATATAAATACAAGTTGTTGTTGTTGTATGTTCAAATCAACAACAGATAACCCTTATGTAACATCTACAAGGTGACGGAAGCAGGGACATGACTTGGGGTTGAACAGTACCCAGACAACTCAGTGATGAGTTATAAGTATTTTAAATTGATCCTTTTTTGTCACATTTATCCAGAGGCTAATACTGTATTGATGGGAGAGTGGGGGTGGAGGGCAGCATCTCTTCTGTTGCTTTGATGGCTGCAAGTTGGCTGGATGGTTGAACCACTTAAATCCTCAACTTGGCTTTATATCAACTGAGCTAGGCTGACATTTAAATTCCGCATTCGCATTTATATTCCATACAGCTAATAGCATGCTGTAGGTTTTCTATAATCTCAGATAAGCAGTGTCTCTGATTATATAACTTAATTGGTTAGCTACACCCATGAAGTCAATGGATACAAGCATTTTATCAACCATTTATTACAACGAATATACTGATTTCACAATTATGTACTTTGTTATTCACTGATGAGGCTGTTTATAATCAGACCCAAAATGTGGTCACTAAACAAAGGGTAGGAGATCACATCTTAGCTTGAACCTTGGTTTCACTTCATGATTAGATACAGGGTTTGTTAGCAATTGCTATGCAAAAATTGCCACGTTTACCTGCCCAATACACAGTCACTGCTCTTCACAGTAGAAGCTCTATTAAATCTCCCCTGAACCTTCTCTGCCCTAAGGAGAACAATTCCAGCTTCTGTAGTCTCTCAACATAAGTGGTCTCTCATTCCTGGTATCTTGTTTCACATAATATGCAATGAGAATGCTCATTCAATACATTTTATTTTCATTTAAGATAGTTGTAAATTTTAAGATTTAAGACAGCTGTTCACCGATTTAAGATAGTTGTTGAAAGAAACAGAGGGGAGGTTAGGAAAAATATTTTCAGCCAGTGAGTTGTTGAGATCTGGAATGCATTACCTGAAAGGGTGGTGGAGCCGATTCAATAACAACTTTTAAGAGAGAATAGATGGGTATTCGGGGAGAACAGGATTGCAGGGCTATGGAGAGAAAGCGGGTCAGTGAGAGTGAGTTGGTTTGCTCTATTAGGAGCCAGCGCAGACAGGATGGGCCGAATGGCCTCTTTCTGTGCTGTATGATTCTATAATTTCTTTCCTCTATGCTTTCAGGTGGCCTGGCTGCAGTAATATACACTGATACCCTGCAGACAGTCGTCATGATTATTGGAGCCGTGGTGCTGACCATTGCAGGTAGAGCTGAGATCACTGCTACACCCACAGGCTTGTGTTAGCAAATCTCTTCATTGGGGGAAACTGAATTTATACTGAATAATAAATTTGTGCCCACAATAGAATGACCAGACGAACCACTATTTTTTTATAAGAAAATAATTCTTGCATTTGATATAGTGCCTTATCACATCATCGAGATGTCTCCAAGCACTTCGGATCTACTATAAAGTGTAGTCACTATGTAGTTTCTAGGCGAACGTCTTGCAATATTGCAATTGTATAACAGTTTATTCAACTAGGATGTCTGCAGAAGTGGAGAGAGCATTGTGTTCACTCCAGGTAACTAAATGCGAAGTCTACATAAGGGAGTGTGTGTGTGTTGGGGGGGAGTGGGGGATGTCTGAGGTGAAGGAACCAGCCCAGTAGCAGTAAAAAGATAAATTATAAATGTTTGCCAATTTTGCATTTGTATGTCAAAGGTTAAATAGATCTCTTTTGGGACAAGAATTTGATGAGATTAGAAACCAGAATGTGAGACATGTGAAGGACCCGGAGGCTTACTCTTGGTCCGTTTTCTCCCTTCCTCCTTTCCTGATTTATTTGCTGAGTTGTTCCATAGACACTGTTGGCTCTGCAGTGCTTCACGCAAATATGATCTCAAATCCGATCGGAAACTGGAACCTTGACTGTTCCCGCCTCCCACCTCCCCGAAGCCTGGAAAGCTGAGGTCTATTGTAACACCAAACTAATGCCCCAGTCTAGATCCAATTAATGATTGGAACAGTGTGCCAAGTTGCCAGAAAGGGTGATTGAGACCAGCATGCTGGATTTATTTAAAAAACGGCTTGATGGTGTGATGGGGGATGATGGGGTGGGTATTCTGGTGGGGGATGAGATCAGATGGGCCTTCTTAATCCAAGCTAATCTTGTGATCACGGATTGGGGTTCAAACCTGGTGTGCTTCCAATCAATACTGCTTATAAAGCTTACTATAGGTGAGTGATGCCTCAAACATTGTCGGGGAGAACGGAACCAACTTGTGTGTAGATCACAATGTGGAGATGCATTTCCAAATACAGTCATGTATCCACGTTATTCTGGCACCTCACATGCAAGATTTATTGCACATTACAAAGGAATATCACCAAATACAAGATCCAGATACTAACAACACCCTGATAGACTCAGTTGTCCGCTCTTTAGATTAAAAAAAGCCCGAACCAAAAATAATTATAGCAGCTGTACTGTACTGAGGTTTTAACATTTACATTAACAAAGTCAATTGCTTTATGTTGCTCCTCTAGCGTTTAATAAGATCGGAGGATACCACAACCTGGAAAGGGCATATCGAGATGCAATTCCGACAAAGATTATTCCCAATACAACATGCCACCTCCCCAGAGCTGATGCAATGCATCTCTTCAGAGATCCAGTGACAGGAGATCTTCCGTGGACTGGCATGACTCTTGGATTAGCCATTTTGGCAACCTGGTACTGGTGCACAGATCAGGTAATGTAAATTTATTTCCCATCACATTGCTTTGCCCCTTTTGGACAGTACAGAAGCAGCATTTATTAAATACTTAAGAGTCCCGAATACCAGGGGCTCCACAGGTTTAACTGCAAGACTTGCTGGTGTTTCAAGTGTTGCTTGTTCATTTCTTCTGTAATGATACTGAAAGTATTGCAGCTCTTTGGCTCAGCAACTTAACCCTTAAATGACGAGATGCTGAAAGCTTGGAGAACGAGAGCCCAATAGAGTCTTCGTTGTGCTAAGGGGAGCCTTCTATAGAGATGATCCACTGTGCGTTGTTAGCTCTGTGGTGCCTACTGTTGAGGTTAATGTCCTAAAAAGGTCTTGATCTTGGTGAAATTGTGAACCATGTGGTAAAACCTTTCAGCTGGAAGGCCCAAATGATTTAGAGATCACCTTTCTACCTTTGTCCAAATCGGTGCTCCTTGTTAATCCATGGAACTTACGAACGTTCATGTTTGACCTCAGCATGGCAGCTGGTGGCTTTGAAGTTAGTGGGAACAAATTATTCCTCTGTGAGAGAGAGAAAAAAGGTATGTGAGTGACTTGAATTGAGATGTACACAACATGTTTCAACAAGTGGCTGTGGAACGGTTTGGCAGTATCTTCGTTCAAATGTCACTGTGTAACTAATGTGAAAGCAAATGATCGGCAGTTCACACAACAGGTTTTGATTTCAACTGTACCTGCTCAACAAACAAACACAGTAAACAGAATGACAATACGGAGTAACCACGTTTCAATGTTAAAAATGTGTGTGGATTCTCCATGTTTCATCCCAGCTTCTTTTTTCCATCCAACCAACCCATGCTATGTCTGTTTGCTAAGAATAATAAATTCTTCAGTGAGGTTTACTAGCGTCCAGGGTAGACATTGTGTCAGCATTGGAACATTACCTGATCTGGTGCATAGATCAGGTAATGTGAACATAAGAGGACCAAGGTTGAAATCCAGCCTATAATATAATAAAAATAATAATTCTTGCATTTGATATAGCACCTCATCAATTCATTGAGATGTCTCAAAACGCTTCACAGGATATACTGTAAAGTGGATTGACTGTGTAACTTGTGGGTGAAATGCAGCAGCCAATTTGTGCACAGCAGCGTCCCACAAACAGCCAATGAGTAAGTGGCCAATTTTATTTGAGGATTTGTTGGCCAGGTCACTGGGAGAAACTCCTTTCTCTTTTCCAATAGTGTCATGGGATGATACGCATTCTGTTCTACATGCAGGGAAATTTTCATACGTAGGTGGTATTGCCTATGTGGAACTTTCTATCTGTTTTGGACGATCCTAAACATGCTGGTGGCTTTGTGCATGTGTCGGACACCTGGCTGACTAAAAACAAACTCTCTTCCAAATGTTGGTAACTTAGAACAGAATTTATTAAATTAAAGGAAATGATGGCTGGAAAACAGCAAATTTCTGCATCCTTCACCAGAACAGGCCTCATTTACATTGACTACACTGGACTGTATTCGTTCTCTGTCCTGTAAATAAGTCAGTATAAAAATACACACTTTTTATATTGCAGGTCATTGTGCAGCGGGCACTGTCTGCAAAGAATCTGAGTCATGCAAAGGGAGGCTCCATCCTAGCGAGCTACCTCAAAATGCTGCCGATGATTTTCATTGTAATGCCTGGGATGATAAGCCGTGCTCTGTATCCAGGTAACTCAGCATTTATCAATTAAGCTTCCACTGTTTATAGCGTATGGTGGTGGTCCAAGCCTCTGTGACACTACTTTACCTAAACCTTCCCTGGAGCAGCGAACAATTTGGTTGAACAACAAGAACAACAACAACAAGGGTTGAATGGAATTTTTTTTTAAAAAGTCTCTGTAGCATGTTAAACAGTGGAGAAGTATATCACGTTTGACAACAGTGCTTTCGGGTTTCAAACAGATTTCAAACTGATAAAAATCAGTGATGTTCTTTCATTAAATTTCTTTTAAAATCTGTAACAAGTTGAAGTTGATCAGCCCATTGACTGTTGAATAGAATTTCTTCGATGGAACAAAACCATTGCCTAACACAATGTACTAAATGCACATGGCTAGTAATAGATAGTCTAATAGGGAGTTTAAGAGGAACTTCTGAAACTAACTGTCAGAAGCTGTGGTTGAAGTAAAAAGTATCAATGTATTTGAGGGAAAACTTGCTGCATACATGAGAGAGAAAAGGACATAGAGTATACCAGAGGGGAATAGGAAGTGTGGGGCTTGTGTTGAGTAATTGACACTCACTTCTGCGTCATATTCCTCTAATTTTATATAAATCGCACCTTGAGATGTCCTCCGAATGTGATAGGTGCTACATTATATGTAAATTTGTTGTTGTAAATGGCTAGCTAACTCAGGAATTGGTTGCTATGTTCACAGTGGAACCCTGTCCCACTCAACCTGCTTTAGGCAATGCATCAGCCACCTTCTGTGCAAACAAAGTACAGTTTTGTATTTACTTTGTCATCACGAGAATGCCAAAAGCTTTCTGAGGAACATGATCTGGAGACAAACGGCTGTGTACGCAGCACTGGGCTCTTTAGTACGAGGTGTGATGGCAAGAATGATTGCTGTAGTCTTTCTTCGATTTGAATTTTTCAAGAGTCGTTTTTCTTAAATGTAATCCATTGGTGGCTTGGATAGAAGCAAAGAAGCTTTCACGATTGTGTGCTACTGTGGAGAGCAGACTTGGCAATTGAACCTGCTCACTCTCCCTATTTGGCTATTATTTTTTGCTGTCCACATTTCAAATGTCTTCTAAATGTTTTTAAAACCACTGCTCCCTCCCTCACTCCCTCCAAACAGACAAAGTTAATTTCCAGAAAGTTCTACATTACAAAAGAAAACTTTATGGGAAATGCTGTGCGCATTTGGCTGCCGCTTTTCACCCACAAAAATATGTAAATTCACTTTACAGTATATTCTGTGAAGCGCTTTGAGACATCTCGAAGATGTGATAAGGCGCTATATCAATTGCAAGGATTATTATTATCATCATCTTCCTTTTCTCCAGAACTTAATCCAAACGTCTTTTGCCTTATCGTAGTGGTGGCCAACCTTTATGGTCAGTCAAGAAAATACATTTTCTTGATTGAATATTTCTTGATTTATGCCACAAATCAAGAAATATTCAATCAAGAAAAAACTGAAAACATACCAATGATCAAACACGGACATGCCTAGACTCATGCGAATGTTCGCTTCTTGATGGCCCTGTGGGCCCCTTCAGCCTGAGGGCCACAGGTTGGCCATCCCTGCCTTATAGTAATAATTAATATTCTGTGGCTAACATATACACTTGTATAAACCTGTCCCCCTCCTCCCCCCCATTTGAGTTTGTCTAGGCAGAACACAACATAATGGCTGCAACATAATGGTTTCTGCTCAAGCCAGTGACCCATCATTCAGAATTTTAAAAAAAGTAATTTGGTCATTCAATCTACGACTGTTTGTGGGATGTAGCTGTATGCAATTGGCTGCCCACAAAATACACAGTATATTCTGTGAAGCGTTTTAAGATGTTTCGAAGATGTGATAAGGTACTATATCAAATGCAAGGATATTATTACTTAGACAGTTGAGTTTGAGTAAGCTGCTGAATTGTTAAAATAATAAGTTAGTCACTGGATACATCTCTGCATTTCCACATCATACTGTAAATGTTTCAGAAAGATACAAGTTGACAAGTGTGATTTTTTGGGGGTCAGCCAGGTGTCTGATACATGCGGAAACCCATCACCATGCTTAAGAGTATCCAAACCAAACTGAGAATTCCATTTAACCCACCCACACGTGGACATTTCAGAGATAGACTGATGGAATTGAATGCACACACACTCCCTAGATGGATGCATATTAGAAAGTATTCGGTGCAGTTTGGCAAGAGCCAAGGCTTGGGGGCCCCAGATTGTGTGTTGGGGTACTATTGGAGTCTAACCAGCTAAAACCACATGGCGTGCCATTGATATCACTGTCCACCAGTGTCTGACAATGATTACAGCATCTGACACAATTGATAAGTAAAATCTTACCTTTGACTTTTCACAAAAACGTTGAAGGTGTTGTTGGTGGAAAGTGTGTCGCATATTATCAAGAGCCTTCTTCTTGGCCTGTTCTTTTACTTCACGTAAGAAGATGGCAGCCTCGTTTTTGGACACTATCTTGTAGCCGTCTCTTATGTCATTCATCGAATGGGAAAAATTCTTGGAGTGGTTCAAAGGGCTTTCAAAGGTGCCGCGGCTGATGCAGTGGTTCACCTCCCCAATTATCTGTTCTCCATCATGCTCGGATGCAACTTTTTTGACTGTGCCATTGAAATCATCACACTCGTAGAAGTCATCTGATTCAGAAGACAGGGAGGTGTCTGATATCCAATCTGGAGTGCAATTTGTTGAAGGATTCGATACACAGTCTTCCTCTAGTTCAGTTTCATCTGGTCCATTCTCCTGACCACCTTCTGTTTCGTTGCTTTCTGCAGGCACCTCTGCTTCGCCTGTTGTAGAAGTAATTACATCTTTTATCCCCTCCGAAGTTTCAATCGCTCGCCCTTCTCCATTTTCTTTACATGCAGATGAGTACACCACTGTCTGTTTCGCAGGTCTTGTGTCATTGTCCAAGACTTTACTCTTCAGTTTGTTTCTGTGCTGTAGAGAGCCTTTCATTCCTCTCATTTTTGACTTAACTTTATGATCTGTTGTATTTGCTTTATGCTTAGTTTCTTGAGTCTCTAATGTTTGTGCAGTCAATAAATTGACACCAGTATTCTTCTCCATTCTTTTGTTAGTTCTCTTAGTCTGAGTATCATTATCAGTTGCTTTGCGGGGAACATCTGCCTCTCCTTCTACCTGTTTTTGTGCCTGACTGCTTTGCACAGGCCCACAATCTCTTTCTTTGGTGTTTGTTGAACTCTTCTGATCCTCGCTGTTCTCCTGAGGCTGTACCCCAAAACTAAACATGTAGGCAAGCATGTCTATTTTGGGCATGTTCATAAGAGCTTGGTCAATGGTGGGCTCTTCGAATGGGATCTCTGGTAATCCACTAGCTGTCTGTTTCTTACTTGTGTTCAACTGTTGATTCTTATCCTTGTTGGAGTCGGACTTCTTATCAGAAGATGAAGAATCCCCGTTGGCCATGTTTAACCGCACCAGGGCGTACTTGGGGTTGATAAGCTTCCTCGCTATGGCGGCACTTTGTTCTGGTGTGAGACTCGGTACCTGGATGGGTTCGGGCTTGGGTTCAGGCTCCACTGGAGCCAAGTTCAATTGACTCATGTTGACCACTTTGGAGAAGTGCAGCAGCTCCCTGAATTCTTTGTCAAACGTTTCCACCACCTGACCCGAAAGCACAGTGATGATGTTGCGGTCAAGCCGAGATCCAGTCCAGGTAAAACTAGATGAGCATAAGAGTAAAAGCTCGCAATTAGAAAATGTTGGTGCGTCTCATAAAAGTTCAACCCAAAGCTTATGATCTACAATTAGATCCAGATCCACCACTGCAATTGCCCGCATTATTGTATTAAGACCACTTTCTGCTGCCCTCCCCAAAGATGGAATTGATTGCGTGAGCAGTCTTTTGTTGCTTGTCAACAGTGCCATCAATTAAGCATGTGATCCTGCAGAGCGAGAACAAACCAGTTTGGCTAAGATTATGATTGAACTATTCCTTTGGAGCTGAGCTGCTGTTGGCTACACCTGTGTTTTATCAAACACCACCCAAAGCAAATAACATAACCCTGTTAACAACCATATTGTGGAGTCCTGTAGCTCAGTGGTTAGAGCACTCGCTTTGCAAGTGAGAGACCTGAGTTCAATTCCAGGCAGAGGGCGAAACCTTGGGCAAGTTTCCTTACTCCACACAGAGCCTAATAATAATCCCTCCAAAACAAAAACAATAATAAATTGGTCATTTTCAATCTACGACTGTTTGTGGGACATTGCTGTGCGCAATTGGCTGCCGCGTTTGCCCACAAATATACAGTCAATTCACTTTAGAGTATATTCTGTGAAGCGCTTTGGGACGTCGAGAAGACGTGAAAAGCGCTATATCAAATGCAAGGATTATTATTATTTTATTAAGGCTGACTTCCACAATCCCATCATTCTGGCTTGCAAACCTTCAAGAGGTCTCATCTCACACGTTCTATTTAAACATGTCACAAGCATGCTTGTGACAAGATTCTGAAGTCATCCCGCAGTTATTTAGTTAGTTTGTTGTTATCTTATTGCATTGTGATGTGAGTCACTGCACTTAGATTTCTCTTAAATAGAAATTGAAAGTTCATAAATCATTTTCTGTCCACATCCTTTGTATTGACTCTTGATAAACGAGCTTGATTAACACCCTGAAATTCACCCTTTGGTCGGTGCTCCCTAATGCGTCATACATCCTATGCAAAAGGTGCTATATAATTGCAAAGTATTGCTCTTGCAGTTAACCAAAATGATTCCCAGCATCTGCTGCCTCGATCCCATCCCCACCCAACTGCTGATCACCCAGCTCCCCCTCCCCTGCCCACTACTGGCAGATGCTGTTCACCAGGATCAGTCCCACTCCCCTTCAAAACCGCGGTCATCACCCCACTCCTTAAAAAACCTACCCTCGATCCCACCAACTTTGGCCACTACCCCCCTATCTCAAACCTGCCCTTCCTTGCCAAAGCTCTGGAACACTTTGTTGCCAACCAACTTCACGCACCCCTCTCCCTCCACACCACAGTCCGGTTTCTGACCTGCCCACAGTACATCCTCTCTATCTGTGACCAGGGCTCCCTCTGCCTCCTTGACCTCCTGGACCTCTCCGCCGCGTTCGACACAGTCGATCACGCCATCCTCCTCCACCGCCTGTCCTCTATTCACCTCAATGGGACCGCTCTCGCTTCCTACCTTGCTAGCCAGCACCACATTTCTGCAAATGGCTTTTCTTCTCGCTTCCACCCAGTCACCTGCGGGATACCCCAAGGATCTATCCTTGGCCCCCTTCCTTATCTATATGCTCCCTCTCAGTGATGTCATCCACATACAATGATGCCATGTATGCAGATGACAATCAACTCTACTTTTCCACCTCCAGCTGTGACCCCCAGACCCCTTATGCGCTGTCAGCGTGTCTGTCGGACATCAAGAGGTGGATGAGTACAAATTTCCTGCAGTTAAACGTCAACAAGACGGAAGCCATACTCTTTGGCTCCTGCCGACGTCTTCTCTCCCACGGTTCTGACCTCCTCAACCTACCCAAGCTGTCCATAAAACTCTCCGAACCAGTGCACAACTTAGGTGTCAGGTTCAATACCCAGTTATCCTTCCTCCCCCACATCCAGTCCCTGACCAGCACCACTTTCTTCCACCTCCGCCACATTGCCTGTGTCCGACAGTACCTCACCTCAAAAGCTGCCAAAACCCTTGTCCGTGCCTTTGTCACCTCTCAGATGGACGACTCTAACGCCCTCCTCGCTGGTCTCCCCTCCTCCACTGTTCCCAAAATTCAGCTCATTCAAAACTCCGCTGTCCCCATTCTCACCCGGACCAAACTTTGTACCCTGATTACTCCAGTCCTTGCCAAACTCCACTGACCCCTGTCACAAAGCGGATTGATTTCAAGATCCTCACTCTAATGTTTAAATCCCTCCATTCCTTGCCAACCCGCCCCATCTCTCTAACCTCCTGTCTCCCCACAGGAGTACCCGCTGCCTCCGCTCTACTGGCTCTGGCCTCCTCCTCATCCCCCGAATCCTCCGCTCCACCATCGGCTGCCGTTCCTTCAGCCACTACGCCCCGAAAGTTTGGAACTCCCTCCCTCAACCCCTTTGCCTCGGCCCCTCCTTCCCCATCTTCAGGCCGCGCCTGAAGACCTTCTTCTCCGACCACGCTGATGGTCACCTTCCCCCCCCCCCACAGCTCAGCCTCGAACTTTGCCATTGTTAAGCACTCTGAGCTTTGATGTTGACTTTCTGTAGTTCTTGAAATAATGCGTAATAATTATTATTTACAGAAAATTGGCTTCAAAATTTAGACTGTGTTTAAGAATTTTCCAAATTCTGGACTGTCTCAAATCCTAATAAAGTAAAATAAATCCATATTTGGGTGGAATTTAGGTAGACTGTGTTGATAAAAAGTTCACCTTGTGACGGTTAATTGTCTTACCTGTATGATCCGGACACTGCCCTGTCTCCATCAATCAGCATAAACTTTTGCATTTGCCTCCCTATGACCGTTTTAGCTGAACGGGTGTTGAATTCATTCCCCTCAATAGAAGAGATTTGTAGATACTGCAAAAAAAAGTGCTCCTGATTTATATTGAAGCTTTTTGTCCTTATCATTCTGAATAAAAATATCAAAATACGTGGGGGGGGGGGGGAATAACCCATATATTTTTTTAAGAGTACCAAAAACACTATTTGCATAATATTTCTTGTATTTCCACCTCCAGTACTGGAATGAGAAATTATCTTCAGATTATCTTTCAGTCATTTGCTCTGTGACTCTAAAGTTGTCAAATTGCTTCTTTGCTGATAACATATGTAAATGATTGTAAAGGACAAGATATTATTCAAAGGTGCAATTCAGCTGTGTTACTGGAGGTGTAGTTAAACATTCATGACGACCCTTATTGTTTACAACAACAACAAAATTACATTGTAAAGCACCTTTCACATTGGGAGGACGAATGTGTTTAGCCTTCACTACAGAAAAGCTTCCTGTTGTGAGTAAAGCTTAAGCGGAATTGGATGGCAAGGCATTTTAACAAGTAGAGGTTTTGCAGAAAAAGCAGAGGTGGTTGCAAAATCTATTACTAGAATGCCAACTAGGCAAGGCTTTGAAATGGCATAACAATCTAAAGGGAATGTTGAGTCAAATTACTGAGAAGAAGCTTTTGTGAAAATATTGCATGTGGCTTTTGTCCAGGGTGTGGCAGGGGCATGTCATGCAAGACCTATTTTCCCTTGCAGCACAACACATATGCCATTCTCGCTATGTGAACAACCGAGAAGCAATCAAATTGATTGCAGAGAGATTTACGCCTCAAATTTTTAGCCGATTGAGTAGCTCATTGAATGTTTTGCGAATCATGGTCAGTAACATCACACTGCTTGAGCAATTAAGATGGAAACTGGGGTGGGGGGTGAGGGAGAGTGGGAAGAGCCATTTATAATATGATAATAATAATCCTTGCATTTGATATAGCGCCTTATCCTGTTGTTGAGATGTCTCAAAGAGCTTCACAGATTGTAAAGTGGATTAACTGTGTATTTTGCTCAGTGAGAATGTGTACAGAGAGAAAAAGAAAGGAAGATGGTGAATCCTTGGCTTCCACAAATTGCAATATATTAAAAAAAAGTGATTGAAGACTTTCAAAATGAGTGAGAAGGCAGTGGGGGAAACAGAGGCAAATAGGTTAGAAAGATTGTGGACAATGGGAGAATGACCAGAGATTCCAGAATTCAATGTGGGGAAACTCGATCATTATCCGTGATCCTCTTTATGATAACGTGTGTGAGAGTGAGGAATTAGGGCAACCATCTTTGCTCCACAAACATCTCAGGTGTTGATAACACAATGACAGACCAGACTAAGTCACTTCATTATTTCTGTGTATGCAAATGAAAACGGTTGACAAACACATTCACCAAGATATATCATTATCAAATTGGGACATAGCTGTGTGCAAATTGATTGCTGTGTTCATGTGCAAAATACATAAATCGCTGCACTTTACAATAACTCCTGTTTTGAGATGCCATCTGTATGTGAAAGACACTCTATCAAATGCATGGATCATTATTCCTATTATGTATTGATATTGGAGGAATAATGATAAACCATAGTTTTCTAAGAATATTAAGCTATGGTTTGATGTCTATTCCAAATGAACTTTATCTATTCACCAGTTACTGGCATTGGGGAAAAAAAAGCAGGAGTCATCAGTTCAAACAAATGCATTTTTCTCTCACTGGTGATTGATTGAATTGATAGCAATCAGGGCAATCAAACCTGAGCGTGACAAGCCTGCACAGCCTGTGTTGCTGGAGGCTAGGGAAGGAAACCAATGCTCCTACCTACATATCTGCAAACTAGGTGAGGTAATGGGTAATGCTGAAACTGCTGTGCTCGTCAGAAAACTGGATGGCGGTAAATGTTTCGAAACTGCAGAAGGGTTTGAACTGGTGCCCCTTTATTTGGCGCAACAACAATTCACAATTATGCAACTTCTTTCCCGTCAGAAGTAGGGTTTGGAGCGCTCACACACAACTGCTGTGGTTACAAGTGAGAGTCCGTTTCAAGTCAACCATCATGAGATGTTAATAATAATAATCATTGCATTTGATATAGCACCTTATCACGTCTTCGAGACGTCTCAAAGCGGGAGACGTAAAGTGGATTGACTGGGTATTTTGTGGGCAAACCACAGCAGCCAATTAACCACAGCAGTGTCCCACAAACAGTCGTGGATTGAGTGATGATATTTTTATTATATATTTTTTGGAAGCATTATTACCCCCAGAAAGCAATCCACCAATCGATTAACAAACAAGTTACTTACTGTAGGGGAAACAGAGGGGTGTGGAGTTAAACTTCCCGCACGGGAATCGAACTCGGGTCCTCTCACTTGCGAGGCGAGCGCGCTAACCACTACGCTACAGGACTCCTCATGTTGAGAAATTATTGAATAGAAGCGAACAATATGGTAAATTTTTCCCTCGATAATGAATATGAGGATCATTATTATTAACACTGCAATATGATTCTTTTGGAAATTCCCAAACTTGACATTCTTGTTAAATTTGTCAAGTTCGGTCACTGCAGATATAATACTGCGATTGTTATTCCTTGGAATTAACAGACATAACAATTTGAGGCAAAACCACTGATCACAGGAGGATAGGCCAGTCTCACGAGATACCAATCTTTTTCTGTAGAACATTTTTAGATGAGAGATTGAGAGCTGCTTATGCAGTATAAAACAAAATACATTTAGACTGGTCTTTCATGTCTAGAGGACAAAGTGCCTTGACACAGCTGGCTGGGCATCTAAGCTGGGGGGGGGGGGGAGGGAGCAGTTTAAAAATAACAAATTACATTTGTATAGGGCCCTTCACGTTGGAAAGGCATCCCAGGGCACTGGACAATCGCGTTTTGGACCCAAGCTAGAAAGTGAAGTCACAAGGGGAGGAGGGCAGTGGGGGTGGGAGGGTGGTCGATGGAACGATCGAAGAGGAAGGTGTTCAGACAGGACTTGAAGGAGGCAAGAGAAGGGGTGAGATGAAGTAATTGTGGAATAGAGTTCCAGAGTGTGGGGGGCAGAGATGCTGAATGCCTGACTGCAGATGGTGGGGCGGGAAACAGGCCGGTGTCCACCGAGCTAGGGAGCGGACAGGCTGATATGGTGTTATAAAAACCAAGGGACAAGCAAGACACCACTTGGCTGGTTCCAGCCTCCTGCTTGTCCTTCGTCCTCTTCACTCCACCATCAGTAACCGTGCCTAGGTCCCCAAATTTTAGATCACTCTCCGTCAATCCCTCCGCCTTGTTCCTCTTTCCCATTTTTCAGATCACCCCTGAAGACCTTCCTCTTCAACTGTGCTTACAACAACAACAACTCAGTTTAACAATTCATCTGAAGGACGGCACCTACAATATTGCAGCGGTCCCCCAACACTGCATTAGAGTATCATCTTAGACTATGAGCTCAGACTTGAATCCACAATATAACAACAAGATTATATTTGTATAACATCTTTCACATCGGGAGGATATCCCAAGGCGCTGGACAGTGACAGCATTTCAGACCCGAGCAGAGGTCAGGAGGGGAGAAGGGAGAGGAGAGGAAGTGGGGTGACCAGTGGAATGGTCAAAGAGGAAGGTTTTGAGGCGGGACTTGAAGGAGGCTAAGGAGGGGGCGAGGCGGAGTGACTGGGGGATAGAATTCCAGAGGTTGGGGGCAGTTATTATTATTATTAATTAATAGTTATAATTATTATTATTATAGAGTGGCTGAAGGCTCTCCCGCCAATGGTGGGGCAGGTGGGTCGGGGGAAGTGGAGCAGCCAGAGCCGGCTGACGGAGGGAACGGGCGGGTTGGTAGGGGGTTAGGAGGTCGCAGAAGTAGGGTGGGGTGAGGCCATGGAGAGCTTTGTAGGCGAGGACCAGGATTTGGAACTGGATCCTCTGAAGGATAGGGAACCAATGGGGGAGATGGGGTCACAGAGTTTGGTGAGGGAGATGACATGGGCTGCAGAGTTCTGGATTATCTGCCAATAGTCTGCCAATTAAGCCAGGGTGACATCTTGGTGAAGTATACATGGAAACAGTGTTACGTACTATGTGCAGTGTATATGGAAACAGGGATTAGTTGATGTTTTCACAGAACAGGACTGCGAGTTATTAGTACCATATTCAGGCCAGTGGCAATAGTACAGCTGAAATGGGCATCAGCAGGCCCTGCTATCGTATTACCTGACTTATGGCCGCACTGATCATGAGTCAGGGAAGTAGAACAGGCTGGTTATTAGAGTTGTTGACTCAGGTGGATGTAAAGGGACCGTACTACTGTTTGTATTAATTTTCCTGTACTAGATAATCGCATGATTTCTGCCTTTTTTAATTCACTTAGAACGAACAATTACTGTATTCACAATGCCAACACCTTCTATTTTCATCCAAGGCTGCAGGAAAAGAGATTCTTAATAAGGAATTACAACAAAACAACTTGCAGTTATACAGTGTCCTATAAGCGGGGTAATGTCTCAGAGTGCTAACTGCATGTTGGTTCCTGCAGTCATTTCACTTCCAAATGAATGTAATTTGGCAATTCTAAAAATTCTGTCATTTCTAAATTTAGCATAGACGCTAATTGTGCTTTCCTGCACAGGAATGTGCCAATTGAACTCTCAACTAATGTCTTTATTGTTAAGGAATTTCACAAAACAACCTTTGTCCAACATTTTATGGCTCCAAACGTGGGCGCAAAGCGAATGTTTTTAAAAGCTGTTATCGGTTTAATGAATATTAATATTATCAACAATTATATCAACGAACAGTTTTCATGTAATTGTCACGCATTGCGCAATCGTTGCATTGGTTAGCTCTACCAGTGTTTAAAACTTTTCATTAAATTCCTATAAGAACAATAACTTGCATTTATATAATGCTCTTCACGTGGAGTAGTGTCTAGAAGTGTTTAAATACTCAACAAGCTTAGAATGGAAAATGAAATGGCTTGAAATCCAGGCAGATGATATAAGTAACTTGCACTTTTAGTGCCAGGTTCCTTCGACCATTTTTGTCCACTTACTTTGAGCATCCCCATGTGCATTCCTGAGCTCTCGCACATCTTGAAGAAGTACTTGATGTTGGTTTGATCATGGATAATGTAGGCAGGAACTTTCCTTTTAAAGCTGGCATCTAGTATGTCTTTGAAGATATCAATGTCTGTAAATAAGTCCATGACAACAGCGATTACCTGTGGACAGTAATGAAAATGTTGTATCCATGTGCACCGACAGCCCATCATAGCTTGTAAAATGTAAGCATTGAAGCAAAGGATTATTAAATCATAAGTTATTTGCACTGCGTGTGCAGTAGTTCAAAATAACTTCTTTGGTATGCTGCCAAATGAGCCAGGCTGCTAACACTTACACTTAATGAGTTAATAATGATTATTCGTGCGTTTGATATATAGCGCCTTTCACATAAGAGGGCGTTTCCAAGGAATTATTCTAAAGTGCTGCGACTGTATTTTATAGGCAAATTGTGGGTTGAATAGTGCAGTCACTGTATGAATAGGAATGCTGATTAATACAAAATTTTATAAAGTCTCTCTGCCACACACAGAGCTGGGGAAAGTTACCTGCCTCTGACAGATAGGTTTATATTCTTCTCAACAACCATGTGAAAGAGTCTGAGCTGGGGTCTCAGATTAGCTGATTGAGACACTCACAGTCATATGACTATTTAGCTTGATCAGCCTGAAATCTATACGTTAAATGCCCAGTTGAGAAATGTTCAAATTGCCCAATTGTAATTTCTGTAGGTTGGAAGGTGCATAGAGCCTCGTGTGATAGTTTCACAACAGTGTTGTAACTATCACCTCCGGTTGTAAAAAAAATGTCCGACTGTGCAGTTAAAGAGGAAGGTCTCAAGGTGGACCATGAAGGAGGCGAGGGAAGGGGTGAGATGAAAGGACTCCAGGAGGGATTTTTACAGGGTGGGGAGGATAGGCTGAATGCCCAACCACTAATGGTGGGTGTGGAACAGATATGTGGAGGGGAGTGCCTGGGTCTGTAGGATTTGAGGATGTCGCAGAAGTAGGGTGGGCCAAGATTACGGAGGGATTTAAAAGTGAGGACGAAAATCTTGAACTCAATCCACTGTAGAAGGGGAGCTCGGCGAGGAGGGGGCCGATTGGCTCACATGGGTATTGCGTTTGGTCACCTTCCTCCCCCTCCCCCTGGCTCGGCCCCAGGATTCGTTACTGTGAAGCGCTCTGAGACGCCGTCTGGCGTGGAGGGCGCTATATACATCCAAGTTGTTGTTGTTATTGTTATTGTCAGAATAAAGAATTGTTTACCAGGTGAAGTAGAGTCGATTGGGGGCATTTAATTGGAATAGGCACCTGTGGAGGATGGGTTTTACGAGGGTATGTGGAAAGAAAATTGGTAATAGGGTAGATGGTTTCATTGGAGGAGCGAACGCAGATACTCATTCCTAATTCCTTGGCTTCTTGCTGTGTTGGTAGAATTCTATTGTTCTAACAATGGAAGAATAAGCATTGAAATAATACAGAGCCGAGTCATATTGCAACCCTGCAAACTAATAAAGTCCAGCGTTGCAACTGATCCTTGATGCAGTCCCTGTTTGCACTGTTAGCAACAACTGTGGAGTCCTGTAGCTCAGTGTTAGAGACTCTCCTCGCGAGCGAGAGATCTGGGTTTGACTCCCGGCAGGTCAGGGCCACACCTTGGGCAAGTTTTCTTACTCCACACACAGCCCAATAACAATCCCTCCAAAACAGAATTGGTCATTTCAACCCACGGCTGTGTGCGGGACAGACACTGCAGTGTGCGGGACAGACGCTGCAGTGTGCGGGACAGACGCTGCAGTGTGCGGGACAGACGCTGCAGTGTGCGGGACAGACGCTGCAGTGTGCGGGACAGACGCTGCAGTGTGCGGGACAGACGCTGCAGTGTGCGGGACAGACGCTGCAGTGTGCGGGACAGACGCTGCAGTGCGCGGGACAGACGCTGCAGTGCGCGGGACAGACGCTGCAGTGCGCGGGACAGACGCTGCAGTGCGCGGGACAGACGCTGCAGTGCGCGGGACAGACGCTGCTGTGCGCAATTGGCTCCGCGTTTCGCCCACAAATACACAGTCAATTCACTTTACAGTATATTCTGTGAAGCGCTTTGAGACGTCTGGAAGCCGTGACGAGGCGCAGTGCCCGGTGCCGGAGTGCTGTGTGTGTTATGGCGGATCCCTCAGTGCTGCGCTGTGTCCTGACCTTCTGTGCCCCCGCGATCATCCTCCGCACCACCTCCTTGATGTGAGTTGTCCCGTCCACCGGCGGCTGTGTGTACACGGTGGCCCGGGTCACCCCGCGGTACGAGGAGCTGTCGGGCCACCCCAGGTCCAGCCCCGGCCGCTCCACATCAGAGTGGTCGGGCCAGTACAGCTGTGACAGCGGCGGCTCCCCGGGACCCCCGGCCCCGGGCTCCCCGGGCTCCCCGGGCTCCCCGGGCTCCCCGGCCCCGGGGTCCGGCTCGGGCTCGGGCTCGGGCTCCGGGAGGTACTCTCGGGCCGAGGACAGCAGCCGCCGCACCTCCAACTCCGAGAGGAACGCCCTCAGGTTCTCGTTCCTGATGGTTTCATCGAACGCCTCTCTCCCGCGGGTCACCAGAGTCTCCACCGCCAGTCTCTGGGCCTCACTGTAGTAGAACTCCGGCCGAGACTCGTTAGTCCTGTGGTTCACGTTACTCTCCTCCAAACACTGCACCTGTGACAGAGCCATAGTCCCTATACAGAGATACACCTCTGTGAGTGAGTGAGTGAGTGAGTGGATCTCTCTCTCTCTCTGTATTCCTCCCTTTCACTCACTCCACACAGTGCCCTCTCCCCGTGTGTGTGTGTGTGTGTGTGACTCACTGGTGGAGGCAGTGACAGGTGTGGCTGAACCACAGTGATCTCCTCCCAACTTCAGACAACACACCCCACAGCCGCACCGCACCGCCCCCTCAGCGGAAGCTGATTCATTCACCTGCGAATACCGGGCAGTGAGGCCCCGGTCTCCTGTTTCCCGGCACTGGGGGTGTTCCCGAGGCGCTGCCGATGGCGGGACCTGGTCAGTCAGACCGCCCCTCAGCTCCCGCCAACCCTGAAGCCACACCACACCACACCCGTGAGGGGGCGCTTCGCTTCGCTTCGCTGACCCGCGGGGGACAGTGCCGCCGGACAGTGGCAAACTGTGGCTTTAGGTGGAAGTTACAGCCTTCAGACCATTGTGGTTCGGTCCGTTTGTTTAAACAATGGCAACAATATGTTGTCTTGGAATACTAAGCGTCTAAAACATCCCTCAGACACATGTGATACACACTGTGGCTTAAAGGTCTTTGATGTATTTCTTTCAGAGATAGTGGAATTCTCGAACAGTTTCTGAATGATGTTCTTTGTTTATGAATGAAGTCACAAGTTCCTACATTCCCCTCCATCCCCTATTGTATTATTTTATTATTTTATTTTTTATTGTGTTCTTGGCAGTGTTAATGATTACTGGTTGCAACCGCCATAGTTTGCTATCACATTGGAATGTAATCTATAAAGTGTTCTTTGCAAATAAATACCTTCATGTGTAAGCAGCTGTTTGTCGGTGATGATGACGGCCATTCACACTCACTGGGTCCCACACAGCGGAGAGAGGAGACTGACTGACTCGCTTCCTTGCGTTGCCCACATCTGATTTGTTACTTTCGATTTTTTCTGCACAGAAAGAGGTCATTCGGGCCCGTCATGTCTGTGCAACTGTTGTTTGGTTTTCCAAACCATCCTTTTTCTTCTTAATAATAACAGTAATAATATTAATCATTGTTGCATGGATATAGCACTTTAGCACATTGACAACGCCTGCACATGGCAATCACTGCAGGATAGCAACTGTGCATTTGTAGGCAAAGGGTAATCTCACTATAAGCTCTCTACCCATGTCCTGCCTTTATTTATTGTTTATTGGGGGATCGTGCTGTAATTTTAAATTTGTTTTTATGATTTTATCCCTTTTCCTACTCCATGTCTGGCCACCACAAGTCGCTGAACGTAATTATAATTTGTTTTTTGTATCTTTTAAGGAAACTTTCATTCAGAACCACAGGGCACTGACTCATTCAGTGATACCATTGCACAAAAATATGTACGAATTAGTCTCACTTTCCCCAAGTGGGAAGTTCCTGATATACTCATTTAATAATTTACGAGAATAACTTCATAAAACTGGAGGAATTTTCTGATGCTAAATATATTTTTAATATTGTAATATTTTGATACTGTGTTAATAATACCAGAATTGGTTTAGCTTTCTACTGCTTTGTGTACATAACTCTAAACTTTAATAACAGTGTCTGTGAATCATATTTCTTAATCAATTCACAATTGATATGGTGGAATATCATATTATGATATCTGAAAGCACTTCACAGGGTTTAACTGTGTAGTGTAGTGACTGTGTCTTTGTAGGCAAATATGGCAGCAGCTTTATGCACAGCAACGTTCCCAAACACCTATGGAGTGAGTGACCAATTTTACCTGAAAGATTGTGGGCCAGGACACCGGGGAAAAACTCCTCTTTTTGACTAATGCCATAGGATCTTCACTGCACTGGAGTGTTAGTCTGGATTATGAGTTCAAAGTCCTGATGTGAGGGCTTGAATGCACAACCTTCTGACTCAGAGATGAGAAAGCTACTAATGACCCAGGCTGACACCTACATCATGCTATAATAACTGATCCCAAAGTATCTAAATGGTGTTTTCTTTTGCATACCTGAATAAAATAAGTTCTTAAAATTAATCCTTCAATTTTTGACATTCTGAAACTGCATTATAGTAGCTAAGTTTCTTTTTACAATCTGCTTTAATCTATCTTATTGTTCAAAAAGCACAATGTTATTTGAACAATATATGGGAGTTTTGTGTTCCTATTCACAATCTTTTCAGCATGACCTTAAATTGACTCCAAAGCAGGTCGGTTGTGCATTAACAATGCAATAAAATGGATAAAAATTAAGAGTGTGAATTCTAAATTCCTGTATAATATTCTATCAAATTCTAAATTTGTGGAGTCCTATAGCTCAGTGAGGGTTATTCATAATAATTTTTACATTTGATATAGTGTCTTATAACATTGTTGACATATCTCAAAGGGCTTCACAGGATTTACTATAAGGTGTAGTGACTGTGTATTTGTAGGCAAACTCGGCAGCCAATTTGCACACAGCAATGTCTAAATCATGCTATAACAGCATGGAGGTGAAAGTCCAATTGAATCTGGGGAATTGCTTTATTTCTAAAGGGAAACTGCTTACAGTAAATATTGTTTGCCAAGCCATATACATTTTGTTGCAGTGAAATTGAACTCAAGTGAAATAATGTTGCCTTTCAAAGTGATTTGCATCATTGAATTACGCAAGTAATTTGTTGATTTACAAAATTTACTGAAAGATTATCACACAATAATAAATAATATTTATTATTAAATACATAATATTTAACATCACGATTGTACTGTATTTGCTTATGAATATTTTTTGTGCTTCGACTGGGTGTCAATGGAGGACAAATTTGTCTGACGCAAGTATGTACAGAATAATTACATTTTAAAGATACATTTCCTTTTAACCCATTAATCCATTTCCTCTTAACCCATATATCCAGGAACCCATTATTTTAATTATTTATTGGCTTTATTTATTCGTTGTTACACAAGACCTGGAACAGGGATCAAATTTCATCTATTCCTTCAATAACAAGTAAATTGGGACATAATTAAATATTCATGAAAATGATTCTGTGCACGCATCTGTTTTGGGAGATAATGAGTCAAGTGCAAATATTAATTCACAGCCCTTCATAAAGCCTGGTAAGTGGGGGGAAAAGCGCGCGCAGGTTATTTGGTTCATAAATTTGTGAATTCACGAACAAAAGGGTTTCCATTATAGGTAATCGAGAAAAAATATTTTAAAAGGAAATTCGAGCCACACAGCATTTGAGTACATTTGAGTACATGTGAAGCCAGAGATGAATTACAGTCAATTGTGTAGTGTAGAGCCGAGGTAGCAAAGTGTTTGCTGCTCTTTGCTGTGCCTGTAACCTGCAAAACTGACACCCTTCAAATAGGTGGAGGAGGACCACAGTGGGAAATAAGATTTATAAAGAATATACAGCACGAAAATAGGCCAATCGGCCCAACCAGTCCATGCCAGTGTTTATACTCCACATAGGTCTCCATCGACTCCTTACTCCCTACCCTCTCCCTCATGTGAAGGTCTCACTTCCTGTCCACTAGCCCTGTTCCCAACTCTTCAAAAACAGCCACCATCACTCCTATCCTTTTTATGTATAAAAAAAATCCCTCCCTGGACCAATCACTGCTCTCAAATTACCGCCCCATCTCCAACGTCCCTTTCGTTTCCAAGGTCCTGGAACAGTGCCGCCCACAGCACAGAACCAGCCCTGGTCAAAGTGACAAATAACATTCTGTCCATCTGCGACCAGGTCTCCCTCTGCCTCCTCGTCCTCCTTGACCTCTCTGCTGCAATCGATACCGTTGAGCACTCTATCCTCCTCCACTGCCTCTCCTCTCACCTCAACCTTAATGGTTCAGATCCTATCTCACACCGCCTCCACTTCATCTCCACAAACGGTTTCTCCTCTAGCCCCCACTCCGTCTCGTGCTGCGTTCCTCAGGGCTCTCTCCTTGGTCCCCTCCTCTTCAACATGCTCCCTCTTGATGACATCATCCGCAACATGTATATGGATGACACCCACCTGTACCTCTCTGCCTCCACCCCCATCTCCGGGACCCACTGCTGTCCTGACGGAATGTCTGTCACACATTAAGTCCTGGATGAAAGCTAACTTTCTACAGTTGAACATCAACAAGACCGAGGCTCTCCTGATTGGCTCCCATTAGCACCTCCACACTTTAGGGGCCGACAGCATCACCATCCAAGGATGCACACTCCACCTCACTGAGCCAGTCCAGAACCTTGGCGTCTTGGCCCTCAACTATCCTTTCTATACCATTTCAGAGCATTAAATTGTCGAATTTAGTCTTAACTTTGCAGCCGGTTTTCTGTAGTTCCTGAAATATTTTACATATAAATATAATATATTTTACATCTAAATATATAAATATAAATGAAATATAAATAAGGATTTACCAAATTCTTGATGGTCTAAAAATTGCTGAGAAAATAGTGAATTGAGACCTGGGTGGAATTTCTACCTCTTCATTCCCAATCCTCCCTCCATTGTGACCAAATTTTCCAAGGATTAAGTAAGCAGGATGCATCACCCTAGGATGACAGGCTGAACACAACTCAAAGCTTTTGAGCAGGAGAAATTTTGAATTTATGCGACATAAAAAGTCACTATACGCAGAGTGTTAAGTTGGTGGCATTTTCATCTATGGGTTGCCTGATGAATTAGAAGAATTGAAGTGGTAAGCTGGTAGCTTTGCAGCATTTTGTTTAGTGCAATTACTTTTGTTTTCTAAAATGTATTGTAGGGAAGCAGGATGGAGCTCAGAGTGTTATGGTAAAATGATTCGTATCTCAAACTCAATGATATGTGTGAGGTTACAGTGTTACAGGAATGAGCTCTGAACGACCATTAGATACGCTGGGATTCTGTAGTCTTGAAAAGAGATGTCTCAGAGAAGATTATACAAGATTCTAAGTGGAATGACAAAGTAAACTTAGAACAATCCTTTCAGATGCATCAAATAACGAGACAAGGATACAGGTTTACAATTGCAAAGGACAATTTCAAGGCAAACCACAAAGCATTTCTTTAACCTAGAGGGTAAATTATGGTTAGACAGAATGTGGGCTACATTGTTGAAACAGTTGAGTTTATATCCCCTGGCCGTTGCAAATTGTTATAAGGCTGAAATCATTGGTTGGGTTACTAGTTTCTTACATTAAGTGTTAAACAAATGGGCGAGAGCTAAATTATCTTGTTCTAACACACAGAACACTTGAGTCACAAAATCTGCCTCTTCATGAAATGCTGAATGAGCATGTAAGTATTTAGATTGCATGAATCACTTTGATTGGAAGATGTTTTGTCTGACCATCTTGATACACAAGTGACTAATTGTGAGTGTTGGTCATGGACTGGGGGCATTAGTGACTAATTGTTGTTTCAGTGCTCCGAGATGCTACCCCATATGAAGGGCACTATATAAATGCAAGGTGTTGGTGATTGAATGACTGACTTGGTGAGAGTTTGAGAGGGGATCTGATAGAGCTGTTTAAGATTATGAAAGGATTCAATAAGATGGCCTTTAATAGACTGTTTCTACTTGTCAGGTAGTCCGAAACGAGGGGGTTTAAATATAAGTGAAGATAGCAGATCCAAAAGAGAGTTTAGGAGGAAATTCTTTAGGCAGAGGGTGGTGAGAATGTGGAACTCATATGCTGGAAGCTGTCATTGAAATAAAAAGCATGAGTGTATTTAAGAGGTTATATGAGCGAGAAAATAACAGAATAAAAAAGGGATATATGGGGCAGTGTGGGTGGTGGAGGCTCATGTGGAGTGTAAATACCTGCACAGATGGACTAGTTGGACTGTTTCCATGTTCTAACATTCTGTGTAATTCTGTGTAAAGGCTGATATGCCCAGACATATAAAGCTGTGCTGTGCTTCCCTTGGTATTAATGGAGATCTGACACACAGTGTTGTGGCTGCCTGAGCTTGCCACTATATGTATTTAGAGAATAGTTCACATTTCAGACAAATAACATCACAGGATATGTACACATTCCAAAGTATTTCAAGTCAGCAGCTTTTTTTCAAACATCTCTGAAGAGCAAAAATCCTCCCCACCTCCAAATTACTAAGAAAGAATTTGCAAAAAAGTGCATACAATTATTAATTCCTGCGGTGACGAAATGCAAAGCCACTTTGTATTAATTCAGTACAGAGGCTTTCATTGCTAAAAAAACTTATGCAAGAAAAAAGTACATTATCTTCATTGCACATTAGTCCAAAACATATTGCTTTCATTGTACTGAAGCTTAACATGTTTAAGATGAAAATTGGTGTTTATGTCAAATAGTCATTTGATCCAAGAGAAAATGGGGGTGAGGGGCAAGAGGCAGCAGGCAGTGGGTTAGCGGTAGCCATATGGGGAAGAAGTAATTTTCTTGTTAAAGTTAAGTGAGTTAGAAGATTAGAAGTGAGTTCAGTAAAACATTTGTTCACACAGGTTGTGAAAATGCAGAATGCACTGGCCCAAAATCTCATAAAAACATGATAAGAATTATTGATAATACAAATAATGCTTGCAATTGAAATGGCTCCTTTCACATCGGAGGATTGTTATCGCTGATCTAAATGTTGTCTTGGCCGTCTTGAAATATTAAGAGTGATTAAGTAGATATTAAATGTGTATGTTTTATTTATTTTGCTCAGATGCAGTTGCATGTGTTGACCCGGAAGAATGTATAAAAGTGTGTGGAACTGAAGTGGGCTGTTCCAACATCGCTTTCCCGAAGCTGGTAATTGAACTAATGCCCGACGGTAACTTTATCTTTCATCGATGTTTGTTTTCTGATGTGCTAAGCGTATCATGCGGGAGAGACACTGTCATTTTTTTCTTTGCAAATTGTTCCTTTGAAGGCTGCACTGCAAAAAAAAATGTGGATGCGGAGGTAAGGTTAGGAATGTGGCTTTACATTTCCCTCATTCTACCTGAGAAAGGAAACATTTGTAATCGATAAAGATGTCATTTTTCCAGACAACAGATGATACTTATCTCATCGCTTCATCTAGATTAGCAGGATTGTTTACTATTTTTGCCTATATCACATTCAAGTTAATATCTAATCGATTATTGAAGTAAAAGTCCACCTGGGTAAATTTAATCTAATTAATTTACTGTTGCTTGGTGCTCACATCCCAAGACAAAGTGAATAAAATGCACACAAACATCTGGTTATGGGGTTTGTCTGGTAACCCACAGTATTCTTCATCTGGCATCACTCAGAGAAGCAGTGATTATATGGGAATCTTCCAACAACAAAGTCGCCATAAAGAACTGTGTAAAGTGAAAGGGAATGAGTAACCACACTGATTGACAGGAATACAATGGGGCATTTGAGAGAGGGATTGAAACACCTGCTAAACTACCTCACCGACTACAAATGATAATAATAATAATAATCCTTGCATTTGATATAGTGCCTTTCAAGTCTTCTAGACGTCTCAAAGCGCTTTGCAGAATACACTGTAAAGTAAATTGACTGTAAATTTATGGGCGAAACACAGCAGTCAATTGCGCACAGCAGCGTCCCACAAACAGTCGTGGATTGAGTGACCAAATTATTATTGTTTTTTGTGAGGGATTATTATCCCTGGAATAGTGATCCGCCAAACGACTAACAACCAGATTCCTATTTACTGCTGGGTAAACAGAGGCGTGTGGAGTAAGGAAACTTGCCCAACGTTTCGCCCTGCCAGGAATTGAACCCAGGTCTCTCGCTTGCAAGGTGAGTGCTCTAACCACTGAGCTACACTGAATCCCTCTGATTCTAACCTTCACTAAGCCAAACCTGTCTGAAAACCTACATCCTTGTCCATGCTTTCAGTCACCTCCCTCTGGCTTCACTTCTGTGAACCACTTTGACACATTTTCCCCACACATGATAGACGCTGTATAAGTACAAATTGTTGTAGAGCAATTCATTTTGTTTTGTCGTGTCATGTTTAAAAGAGAGATGGGAAGATATTTGAGAAGTAACATAGATAGAATAATAATAATACTTGCATTTGATATAGCGCCTTATCACGTCATTGAGACGTCTTAAAGATTTTCATAGGATTTTTACTGTAAAGTGTAGTGACTGTGTATTTGTAGGCAAATTAGGAGGCATATTAACGGGCATTGGTGAAAGAGCAGGGAATTGGTTTTAAAAGAACTGCCAAGATGTAATAAACTTTTGGAACAGGCTCGATTGGTATCCTTCTGTTCCTGTTTTCCTATGTAACTATTCCGATATCACAGACATCGTCAACCTGTCCCTCTCCTCTGGCTCTATTTCCATTCCCTTAAAAACTGCCACCATCACTCCCACCTTAAAAAAACCCTCCCTTGATGCGTCGCAGCTATCAATCTCCGGCCCATCTCCAACCTCCCCTTCCTGTCCAAGGTCCTGGAACGAGTTGTGGCCTCCCAACTGCGCTCTTTCCTCTCCAACCATTCATTATTCGAACCCCTTCAGTCGGGTTTCCGTGCTGCCCATAGCACAGAAACTGCCCTGGTCAAGGTCACCAATGACATCCTGACCATCTGTGACCAGGGCTCCCTCTGCCTCCTCGTCCTCCTCGACTTATCGGCAGCATTCGATACGGTTGACCACACTATCCTCCTCCATCGCCTGTCCTCCCACCTCAACCTTCAAGGCCCTGTCCTTGAGTGGTTTAGGTCGTACCTCTCCCACCATCTTCACTTTGTCTCCACAAATGGTTTTTCCTCCGGCCCCCGCACTGTCTCGTGCGGTGTCCCTCAGGGCTCTGTCCTCGGTCCCCTCCTCTTCACCCTCTATATGCTCCCCCTGTGGTGACATCATCCGCAGAAATGGGGTTAACTTCCACATGTATACGGATGACACTCAACTCTACCTTTCCTCCTCTACCCTCAACTCCACGACCCCCGATGTCCTGACAGCTGTCTGTCTGACATCGAGTCCTGGACGAGAGATAACTTTCTCCAGCTCAACGTGTGCAAAACTGAGGCCTTCCTGATTTGCTCCATCAGCGCCTCCGCACCTCAGGCGCTGACAGCATCAGCATCCAAGGTCGCACTCTCCACCTCTCAAAGCCATCAGGAACCTCGGAGTTCTGTTCGACCCTGAGCTGTCCTTTCTCCCCCATATCCGCGCCACAACTGGCACCGCCTTCCATCACCTCCGGAATGTCGCCAGACTACGGCACTACCTCAGCCCTCACGCGGCTGAAACTCTGGTCCACGCCTTTATCACCTCAAGGCTGGACTATGGGAACTCTCTCCTCGTCGGCCTTCCCGGCCCTCCCTCCACACTGCAGGTCATTCAGAACTCTGCAGCTCGTGTACTGTCCCGCACCAGACACCGCGACCACATCACTCCCACCCTCGCCCTCGCTCGCCCCCACTGGCTCCCCATCCCCCAGAGGATCGAATTCAAGATCCTCATCCTCACCTACAAGGCCATTCACGGCCTCGCTCCCTCCTACCTCTCCGACCTACTATCCCCCTACCTACCCGCCCGTACCCTCCGTTCCTCTGGCTCCGGTCTGCTCCACATCCCCCGCCCCAACCGCCCTACCATCGGTGGCCGGGCCTTCAGCCTCTCAGCCCCGAGGCTCTGGAACTCTATCCCCCAGAGCCTTCGCCGCCTCCTCCCTTTCCTCCTTCAAGGCCGGTCTCAAGACCTTTCTCTTTGACCGAGCCTTCAGCTCTCCTCTCGACTCTCTACCCCCTCCTCGCTCCCTCCCTTCCCTCCCCTCACCCTGACCATTTCCCCCCTCCTCGCCCACTCCCTTCCCTCCCCTCACCCTGACCATTTCCCCCCTCCTCACCCCCTCCCTTCCCTCCCCTCACCCTGACCATTTCCCCCCTCCTCGCCCCCTCCCTTCCCTCCCCTCACCCTGACCATTTCCCCCCAATGCTCAGGTCCTGACCCAACTGTACAGCGCCTTGGGACGTCCTCCCGACGTGAAAGGCGCTCAATAAATGGAATCTTGTTGTTGTTGTTGTTGTTGTAACTGAAAACCCAGTGTTAGTTAGTAGCAAAGCTTTAACTGTTGCCGTCCCCTGATGTGTTTCCAGGTCTCCGGGGCTTAATGATTGCAGTGATGATGGCTGCTCTCATGTCATCCCTGACGTCAATATTCAACAGCAGCAGCACCCTGTTTACTATGGACATTTGGAAAAAAATCAGGAGCAATGCAAATGAACGAGAATTACTGCTCGTTGGAAGGTAGGGTTCAAAGTGTAGAAACTACTGACATGATGTAAAATACACCTGAGCCATGGGGAGGAAGTGTTTTCTTATACAATGCAAAACAAATAGTAACCAAGCAACAGAATCTGTTAGCACTGTATTACTTTGAGCTCAGAGTTTACTGTAATGCTCCATCGCAGTGTTGGGAGGAGCTCTGTGTTGTCGGAGGTGCGTTCTTTGGACGAGACTTTTAACCTTGTTCAGGTGGACGCTAAGATCCCAGGAAAGAATGAAAAGAGAAGGGAGGTCTCCTGCTGTCCTGGACAACCATCCAACAGATACAATTGATCATTCACTTCATAGCTGGATGTGGGATGTTGCTCAGTGCAAATTAGCCACATTTGCCTAAACAAATATCAATTCTACAGAAATCGCCTCTGGAGCATTTTGAGTCATTTTGACTTTGTAGGCATTATATCAAATGCAGGAATTATTATTATTATTAAGAATACACTCGTTCTTGGAGGCCTTCTAGAATAAACTGTCTGGGGTGTAACAGCTGATCTCTCTCAGATAAGGAAATGCTGACAGGGAGTATAGTTTACTGCTGCAACATGATGCAACAACAACATATTGCATTTGTATAGTGACTTTCACGTCAGGAGAACATCCCAAGGTGCTGACAGGATGAATGGGACTTTCTTCAAGCTAAATCTCCATTCTTCCACCTTCTGATATCTTGACTTTCTAGCAAAAAAAATGTTTGATAAGTGACATCAAACAGAGTGGGTAAACCTTCATTATTTGAAAAATACTGAGATTTCAGAAGGTATGTGCTCTCAGAGCACATAAATCAGCAAAACCAGTCAGTGAGATTGTTTCACTGATCGACAGACTGAGGAAAGCTGCTATCCTGCTTACCGAGGTCAAAAGAGGCAATGGCTGAGCCAGGAGTTAAAGGGCCTCGTTAAGGCAGGGAAGAGCAATGAGGATCATCCCCAGTGTTAGAGCAATGATTAGTCAAGCTGGTGCTCTTCAGTTTTGAGAAAAGGGGACCTCATAGAAGTGTTTAAAATTTTAAGTGGGATTGAAAAAGTAAACCCAGATCAATATTTTGGGAAGCATAAGCACAGTAGAACAGGACATAGGTTTAGAGTTGTAAGGATAGTTTCAGGACCCACACCAAAAAGATTTTTTTTACTCACATGGTAATTAATGACTGTACCAGGTTGCCAGGAAAGATGGTTGAGGCCACAACACTGGGATTTACTTTAAAAAGCAGCCTGATGCTCTGATGGGGGGAACAGTAGGATGGTGATTCAGGAGCGATGACATCAGATGGGCTGAAGGGCCTTCTTCATCCAGCCATACTTGTGATCTTGTGACACTGGGGTTGAGGGTAGGGTCAACAACAACTTACACTTATATAGCGCCCTCCACACAGGCTAGCACTTAACGGTGGGGAGCCTGATTCCAAGGTGGGAGGTGGCCATAAGCACAGTTGAACAGGAAAGTCTTCAGGTGGGACTTGAGAGAGTGGGCAATGCGAAGAGATTTAGGAAGAATGTTCCAGAGTTTTGGGGCATAGTGGCTGAAAGCACGACCTCCGATAGTGGGGCGGAGGGTGTGAGGGACGAGCAGGAGGCCGGTGCCAGTCAAGCGGAGGTGCTGGGTGGTAGATTGGGGAGTGAGAAGGTCGGAGAGGGAGGGAGGTGCCAGGGAGTGGATGGATTTGGACACGAGAGTGAGGATCTTGAAGTCGTTCTGTTCGGTGATGGGGAGCCAGTGGAGCCTGGGCCAGAACTGCTGAGATGTGGGTACGGAGTTTGGTCCGGGTCAGTATGTGGGCAGCAGAGTTCTGAATGAGCTGGATCTTGTGAATGGTGGGGTAAGGCATGGTCGGAGGCGGGCAATGTGGCGGAGGTGGAAGAAAGCGGTCCTGGTCAGGGACCGGATGTGGGGGGAGGAAGGACAATTGGGGGTCAAACCGGATGCCTAGGTTGCACACTGGTTTGGTGAGTCTGAGGGAGAGCCCAGGGAGATTGAGGAGTGAAGACGTAGGAGTATGGTTTGTGTCTTGTCCACATTCAGCTGCAGGACGTTTGCACTCCTCCAGGCTTTGATGTCTGCCAGACAAGCTGATAGAACATCGGGGACCTGGAGTAGATGCTGGAGGAGGCAAAGTTGATTTGTGTTCATCCGCAAACATGTGGAAGTTTACCCCATGTCTGCAGATGACATCACCCAGAAAGAACAATAGATCAGGAAAAGAAGAGGCCAAGAATGGAGCCCTGGGTTACCCCACAGGTAATCGGGTGGAGGTGGGAGGAGAAACCATTTGCTGAGATGAAATGGAGGCGGTCGGGTGAGAAGGGGGAGGTGGGTCTCTAGGAGATCGGGTAAGTCTTATTGAATTATTCAGACATTTCTAAACCACCTTGATTTAGTGCCTTTTATGTCAGGAGGATATCTTAAAGCCCTTAGCAGAATATATTATAGAGTGTAGTAACTGTATACTGTTAGGCAAACTCTACGGTCAATTTGTGTACAGCAATGCCCCACAAGCAGCAATGAAGTTAACCACCAATTCTATTTGAAGGATTGTTGGTTGGGACATTTCCCTCAAATCCTTTACAGCAATTCCTCCTGCCACCCTGGTACCAGCCAGTCTGACGGAGAGACCCGTATCCTCACTGCTGGCAAAGAGGGATGCCCCAATATGCCTAGTTAACATATCTGGACGCTAGTGTCTGGTTTGGGTGGTGTTTTTCATGCTGACCTTACACTGGTATTGGTAGCTGTTGAAGGGAAGCAATCTCAATGCTTGTTATGTGCAGTGGGATGCAAACTGATTTGACAACATGAGTAACTAAGCCGCTCACAAAGAGTTGCTTCACGTCATCCACCTCTGTGTTTGTGAGTACACTTCATGGGAGGATTACCACTTTCTTGACAACTACCTGTCGATATTTTCCATTTGGATGCACATGTGACAGGGTCACATTGTGTTGAATCATATTTATGTAAAGATGAGACTTCTCCACCTTTTCAAGTCCATGGTGATATTTGTATATAAAAAAAACACCCTGGAGCATTGTAAACATGGGAGAGTTACTTTCTGTTTTTCCTATTTAGGATTGTGACGGTGATATTGGTTGCTGTGAGCGTGGTATGGATCCCGATCTTGCAGAACGCCAACAGCGGTCAGCTTTACGTTTACATTCAGTCGGTGACCAGCTACTTAGCCCCTCCTGTGACTGCTGTCTTTATTCTCGCTGTGTTTTGGAAAAGAACAAATGAGACTGTAAGTTTCAGCCACTATGTTCCTCCCCTGCTCTCTGGAACTTTTCCCCAAAATCCCCCTGCCTCACCTTACCTAATTGACTTCAAAAACCTTCTACATATCTACCTCTTGGAACATGCCTTTGACTGTCACCCCCTCACCTTAGCACCTTGCTCACTGTTCCACATTGTCCCTGTCAAGAGCTTTGAGGTACTATCCTACATCAAAGGTGTTCTTGTAACTTGCTCTAAGAAGTAGGTGTTTAGTCTACAAATCATACAGCCACTACTCTTTACAGCTTTGAGATGTCATTCCATCATGAAAGGTGCTATGTCAAATGCAAGAATTATTTAACTTCACATGAAGCAAAAGACCTCCACTTATGATAACCATTGGTTTGAGATAGTCCTCTTAAAAAGGTGAGCTGTCGATAGTTTGGAGGGAGGGGTGGGGCTGAGCCCCCTCTAGCGCTAGCCACCCACAACAACAACTTGGATTTATATAGCAGCTTCCACGACAGACGATGTCTAGAGCGCTTCACAGTAACGGATCCTGGGGCCAAGCCAGGGGGAGGGGGAGGAAGGTAACCAAAGGTGACCCACCACCTATGGGCAGAATTATTTCTTTTATGGTTCAGATCATCTGTGCCAGCTCAACCACATCAATTTTGACTTTCACTTCTTGAGCATGTTCGACAGTAAAATGAAACTATTGACTGAATTTTAACCTTTGGCTGAGATTAATGAGGTTTTTACTGAAGTCCTAATGTGCTCTTGATTAGTTTATCAGCAGGAGAAGGAACCTACAGTCTAGCTGCCCTGGTGGTTCAGTGAGATTATCTAGTGAGCATCTGAGCCATGCAAAGTGGGACATTACCAGGTCCCAATTTTGTTTGTGCTCACCTTGCTGAACTCACCCACTAGATTCTGTCCTTAAGAAATATGTACATTCATTTAAGCTCAAATAGAACTATGGTTGACTTGGACCCACTATGATCAATTTAGCTGAAATTTAGATTAGGTTATAGTTAAAATAAATGACTCTTAATTGGATCTTGTTTATATGAAGACTGTGACCTTGTGTGTTACAGGAGTATGTTTTTAGATTGTTACTTTCTCTGGCACCCCCTTCCCACCCCTCCTCCATCATCAATTACTTTATAAAGAAAACCAAACAGACTTGCACTAAGAAGTAGGTGTTCAGTCTACAAATCACACAGCCACTACACTTTACAGTATCTATCACACTCAAGTAAACTGTTGGGATTGTTGGCCAGGGCACTGGGAGAAATTCCTTTTTCTTTTTGAATTGCCCATTGGATCTTTAACATCCATCTGAACAGGCAGACAGGACCTTGGTTTAACTTCTCATGTGAAGGACGGTAGATGAACCTATGGTCTAGTTCCAGTGGATGTATTTGTTACTCTGTTTGTTTCAGGGCGCCTTCTGGGGACTGATGGTGGGTCTGGTTGTTGGCTTAACACGAATGATCTTGGAGTTTGTGTATCCTTCACCACGATGTGGTGTGCCTGACCCAAGGCCCACAATCCTGAAGCGAGTTCACTATTTGCATTTTGCAATCATACTGTGCATCCTGACAGCTCTCATCATCATGACAATCAGTCTGCTAACCAAACCTCAGAACGAGAATCAGGTATAGTATATGCCAGTTTCTTTCTCATTTTGTGTTCATACTAACAACAACTTGCATTTATATAGAATGCTTTGACTCGAGATGCACTAAGACTCGAGATGTGCTTGTCACATTTTGTGAAGTGTCAGCAACAACAATTTGCTTTCACACGTAACAGCTTTCACATGGGAGAACGTCTCAAAGCACTTTCCCAGAGTCTGAAAACAGGAGAAAGGAGTGAGTCTCGGGGAGGGGAGTGAGATGAGGAAATCATTCTGGTAAAGGGGGAAATGCTCTTCCCCGAATGAGGTGCAAAATCAGATACGTTTTATTGGTTTGGATAATCTAGGAATACTTAAACTGCTCCAAATAGAATTCCAGAATTTCTTCAAATCCCGCCTCAAGACCCTCCTCTTCGACCATGCCATCGGTCACCCCCTTTCCCCTCCCCTCCCTTCTCCCCCCCTGACCCCAGCTCGGGTCTGAAATGCTCTCACTGTCCAGCGCCTTGGGACGTCTTCCCGACGTGAAAGGTGCTATACACATGTAATCTTGTTGTTGTTGCATGTATGGAAAGCAAAAACAATTTTACCTTTATACAGCACCTTTTACGTTAAGAGGACATCTCAAAGCACTTCATAGGAGGAGCCTGAGCTGGGGAGGAGTCGGGGGGGTAAAGAGAGAGTGTGGGGAAGGTGAGCAAAAGCATAGGAGAAAGAGAAAGATTTCAAAATGGGCTTCAAACGTGGGCAGGGAAGGGCAAAGCAAGGGAACTCCGGAATGCAGTTTCAGAGAATGGGGATCTTGTAAATCGTAATTAAAAGTCAATTGCTCTAACACCACAGGGATATTTCTTAGTGCACAAATAATTTAGTGAGTAGGAGGCTTTATTCACCAAGTAAAATCCTGTAATGTAAAGCAAAGTCATGTGTGGCAGGGTGGAGGCTGGAAGCAATTATTTTGGGAGTAGTTTTCTACAGAAGTGGGGAGAGGACGGGCTCATTGACTGCTTCGGGCAAAAGACAAAAGTCTGCATTGAAGATTGGACCATTTCAGCCCCACCTTTTGCAGAATGTTGTTGTGAATGCAGAGCTAATGTGGTCTGACCATATTTCATATAGTTAATATCAGAAACTATTTGACTCTAGAGCTAGCCTATTCTACCTTGAATTGAAACGGCCAGACGAGATAAATAAGATGACGTGTTCTGAACCACCCATATCAATGGCTAAGGTTGCTATAAATTGCTATAAATAGCACTGATAAGAAAGAAATTGGTGGAAGGTTAAGGGAAATAAATAGCAAACAATCACATCTTGGTATCTTGTGTGTGTAATCAAGACTGGTTTGTAAAAACTAATCTCTGTGTTGCATAACCTTATTTTGCCAACAAGAATGATTAGAATTATACAAACAGCACAGGAGGAAGCTTTTGGCCCATCGAGTCTGCTCTGGCTCTCAGAGCAAGATGTGTGTTCAATCCCACTGCCCCACCCTATCCCCACACCTCTTTAATTGAAGTGACGACTGTAAACCAGAATATTTATTGTAGGTTTCAGAACAAAGGAGAAGGAACAATCCAAACAGCTGTCTATGCTTGTTTGAAGAGTAATTCTTGGATCTGTTATCTCTCCTCTCCCCGGAAACTATTTGCCCAATGACTCTAGGCCAGCATCTGTGTTGAACTCCGCTCTCCCCCTGCAGTGCTGCAATCCCCCACCATATACTTTCAGATCCTCCAAGGCAGCAGAATAAGACATTCACGTTTGTAGAGATCAAATTCAGGCCTCCTTAGTGCCCAGTTTTTCCCACATGGCCATTTTCCTATCTGGTCATGTCAGTATAAGGAAGTCAAGTCCATTCTCAAAAGGGCTTGGGAATCTCACAGATAGACAACACGCTCACAGACCTCGCTCCTCAAATCCTCTAGGTGTCATCAAATTGCTCTTAAATCCTGCTCTCTTTGACCATTTGTTTGGTTAACACTGGTGTGGGACGGAAAGCTTAGAACCAAGTTTCCTAAAAATCTAATTATGAAGGAAAATGTGTCAAATTTATTGGGAACTTACGATTAATGGCAGCCGTGCTGTGCCAATAACGGGTAGAATCTCATTTGCCCATCTCACAATGCAGACGTTCTAAATATACCCACAGTAATTACAGGCAAGATGCTTAAAAATAAATCTGCCCGTTTGATCAATTAACTGAATACAGTGGGGATTTGGGAAATTGCAGTTACACCAGCTTGCTGGAGACAGCCCAGGGAGCATTGGTGCATCTCCTGCAGCCAGTTTACTCAGTTGGCTGAGGACAGACAAAGTAGGGGAGAGATTGTCAATGGTACCCTGAGCTGGACACAGCCAGGAGTGAGGTTGGATGCAAATCCTGTACCTGAACGCTTATTATGATCATCACCTCAGCCAAGGCTGTGAGAGTTCAGCAGTACCTTTCACGTCGGGAGGACATCTCAAGGCACAAAACATCAAAACACACTGAACTTTTGGTGTTTGGGAGTAGTTGGAATATCATTATTCTTGGAATTCACTTACAGTACATTCCAAATAGGTCTTGGGCTTAATTTTAACTGGGGTAGTGTTATGCTCCTTTTATTACAGTATAAGGTTTATTGCAGATGCAAGTGCTTTTTACCCAGTGTCACTCGGGTAAACTGAGACACAGCAAACCTGATTATTCGGTCAAACTGTCCTGTTCAAAAGCTGGGCAGAGATTTTTGGGAACAAAAGATTTTGGGGTTCATATTACTGTGTGAGAAACTTGCTGTCTTATTTGCATTTAAATTCTGAGCCGGGCTGGAGATAGCCCCATTTTGACATGGAAGACTAATTTAATGATTGATATGTTAAAATTTCTTTTGAAAATAACTGGATCCTGAAAGGGGAAAGTGCAGTATTGATGAAGGGGTTGGGTTAGAACTAAGTGGCATTTTGTTGGATTATTTGACAAACTGCATTCCAGCTAAGACCATGCAGAGCAATGCTCAGGTTATTTCTTGAGGGCATTTGTCTCTAAATCAAAAGATTCACAGAAGCTTGCATACTGTATATTACTGGTGAAATGGTATGCGAAATATTCAACACGTCAGAATACAATGGCAAAGCATAGGTTTTTTAATGCTCTAAAGTTACGAAGAACAAAACTTGATTTCTTACTGGGAAAAAGAAGGTGTCGCTAAATTTGATCGTGTCTCATCTTTCACTGCCGCACTGACACACCCGTTTTATAATAATAATAATCCTTGCATTTGATATAGCGCTTTTCAAGTCTTCTAGGCGTCTCAAAGCGCTTCACAGAATAGACTGTAAAATGAATTGACTGTATATTTGTGGGCGAAAGCAGCAGCCAATTGCGCACAGCAGTGTCCCACAAACAGTCATGGATTGAAATGACTCATTTATTATTGTTTTTTTTGAGGGATTATTATCTGGCGTGTGGAGTGTGGAAACTTGCCCAAGGTTTCACCCTGCCGGGAAGCGAACCCAGGTCTCTCACTTGCACCCATAGATATAGAGTTCCTATGGGTGGGAGCAGAAAGGCTGAAGGCCCATTCACTGATGATGGGGTAGGTAGGGTTGTGGACATGGAACAGGCAAAGGAAGCGGGTGCAAGCTTTCCATAGACATGACTACAACAGGGGTCGTCATGGAAAATACCAATATGGTCAACCCTGCACTAGAAGGTTGAAGGTTGTGGGTTCAAGTCCCACATGGGATTTTGAGAAAGAAAGGTGATGAAATACAAATCTGCATTGAATTGATTTTTATCAATGTGGTGAGGGTCACAGGCTAAAGGCAGTGATGGATTGATACGTATCACTATAAGCCAAGTATTCCTATTTGTCTACAAATACACAGTCACTGCACTTTACAGTAAATCCTGTGAAGCGCTCTAAAACTTTTTGACAATATAAGGTGCTATATCAAAATGCAAGAATTATTATTATTATTTTAACTGTTGTTCAGATGAAAAACGTTACCTGGTGGACATTGTCGCAAGAGAGAATGCAGCCTGAAATATCACTGTCGCCCAAGAGACGTTCGTGGGAAAACAGAAATGAGGGTACGATCGTTTACTCTTTCATTGTGTATTTCAGGTTTGAGAAGACGCCAGAGATCTCAAATTCCACATAGTCTCAGCCTGCAAAGCTGTTTTGTCTTAATATTTACAGAGAAAGAGGAGAAATTCCAAATAAAACCCAGAATTACTCTATCTTCTTAGCATTTGAGAGCATCCAAGATTTGGCAAATTCTTCATCACGGCCTTAATTTAAGTTGTTGTTCTGCACGTTATTTCAGTCTGCCTGTTCAGGTGGATGCTAAAGATCCTGTGGCTCTACTTCAAAAGAGAAGGGAGTTTCTCTTTCCTGCTGTCCTGGCCAAGAATCCCCCAGATAAAATTAACCACTGAACTCATAACTGATGAAAAATAGCAGACGCGTTTGCTTTCAGGCTGAGGCCCCTGGACTTGACAATAATTATTTGTGAAGTCCTCTAAGATGTAAATAAGTTATATTTTGATTGAGTCCATTAAATTGCGTTTAAGTAATGTTTCATCCCTGTGCTAGGTCCAGAGCAGCCGGTACAACAGAAATGGTCCTGGACTAACCTGTTCTGCAGTACCAAGCCGAACCGTGAAAACCGAGGCAATCAACGCGCCCTTCCTGACATTTACGAGAACCCGTTCTGGGCCCGAGTATGTTGCATCAACGCAATAATCCTCATGTGTATTAATGTTTTCTTTTACGCCTATTTTGCCTGAGAAGCCAGGAAATACCAAAACAAACCTCTAATTGTAGGTTGTCTCATCTCTTTTTATATCATTGGTGTACTGTCTAGTGGACAACTGGAGAACAATTTTTATCCGTTAGTTTTATAATGATTGTAGCGCGTCACAGACTTGCTGTGTTCCTCTGACCTGAAGGACATCTCCAGGACTGTCTGTTTGGCTCTCTGATCTCTTTGTGAGCTTTATTATATGCCGCTTGTTTTGTCTACACATATCTTCGATTCCTTTTGGTTTGCTGAGTCGTTCATTCCTGCACATTATTAAGGCCCTATACTTCAACAATATATATCAGATTACTATGTCAAGTGAGTGACTGTTCTCATTCTTTACTGCTTGCCTTAATCACCCTTCTTCAGAATGAAAAAGCATCATTCTGCCATATGTTGATAATTCTCCTCGAATTAAAGTATTAGAGAAGCCTATTACATGGCTCTACAGTGAATGTCCCGTTTCCATCTTTATACTAATATGCACACAGCCCATGTCCTAGAAGGAACCACAAGGTGAATAACCAATTTTATTTGGCCAGAATACTTGCTATCAAAAGGATATTTGAAAAGAAAATTTCCCTTTTCTTTTCAAATAGTGCCACGGGATATTTAATGTCCATCTGAACAGGCAGATGGGGCCTTGGTTTAATATCTCATCCAAAGGACGGAACCTCCTCCTAGTACTGCACTAGAGTTTCAGCCTAGATCATGAGCTCCAAGTCTCCAACATGGGACTTCTCCCACAATTATCTGACCCAAAGATGAGAGAGAGCTGCCAAATGAGCTAGGTTAACCCCTAAAGTTGCAATGCATTCCGACATCTAGATTTCTCAATCTTTGGATTATCAGTTTTATATGGGGTGTAACGTTACATTGGATACCATGTTAGGAACCTTAGTATTATTTTTGGCAATAGATTACTCATGTGTATTTTGTATATTTTGTGGGTTTGTTTTGCTCACAAAAAAATTCACAGCTAATCCAGTTCATAATATATTCTGTGAAGCGCTTTGAGATGTCTCAATGACATGATGAGGTGCTATATCAAATGCCTTAATCACCCTTAAAAGGTTATTATTATTAAAGCAGCCCAGAATGAGATCAGCTAAGATAGCACAGACTGAGGATCAAGTGCAGGACACTCCTGGCCTGAATGATTCATTGGATAAACAAATTCAGCCAATGGAAGAGCAACACATTTAATGGAAAGACTAGCACAAATAGATGCTCTTATGAATGAGGTCAGGATTGTTTTGCTCCCAGTCTTAGATTACTGGACAGTGGCTATTTATTCTGTGTTTAGAAGAAGTGAGTGCAAACTTTGACTTGTTGTTGATCAAACAGCTGAATCCCTTAGAGTTTAAATTTCTATAATTATAATGAATACTTTTGACGCCTTTAACTGTTGCTGTCACTCAAACAGGACAAAACTGACACTTTATTTTACCTTCAACCCAGCATATCTATTTAAGGTGTCTTGTCAAATGGTGACAAGTTTAATAAGAAAGCAGAATATTTATGTTACTCTCGTCAGCTTTTAAGTCACTTCTTGTAACCTGCCCTTCCTGAATCACTCTCAGTGAGGCTGACATTCACTGTTGTAAACATATTTCTTATTTTCTCATAGACTGCTCCCAGACATGTAGCTCAGGAGTCAAAATCTTATAACAGGCACTTTTTCTGCCAGGGTTTGTTGAGTTTAGGCAAAAGAAGAGGTCATGAAAGTGTGTGTCTGTGTGGGTGGGGGAAGGAAGAAATAAAAGGCAGCAATATGGAATTTTGTGCATTTTATTGATTTCATTCAAAATTAAAATTTCTATTCTCAATGGACACACAGCTTGAAACATGTATTCAAAATGGTTTTCAACGTGACAGTAGAAATGGACTTCACTGTTCCCAGACAGTATTGAGAAAAATGATACAAAACCGCTATGAATTCCCATGACAGAATACAAAATATAAAACTCTGACTGCCCACGCTTAAAGGGTCAGCCAGTGTAAATGGATCAATTTCCAAATATCTCAGGATATGTTTAGTTCCCACATTAAGAAAGCTTCATAACGATCCAAGTGCAAAGCAAATAAAGTTATGCACAAAATTAACCTGTATAGCCAGATTTAAAAAAAAACATCCAGCACCACTACTCGTGTGTTTCTGTGCTTAACCAAGAGAATTGTCGAGTCTGGTTTCACAAGGAGGCATGGTTGTAAAACCAGCTCCTTGCTGTTTTATTACTGCTGTCGTATGTTGTATCTTGGCTGCCGGGGGGTCACTGAGACATGGGCTGGACGAAGTTCCGTGGAAATAAACCGGTCCGCCCCCGGCACCTCCCTTTCCACCAGTTAGCATCGTCACTTTTCAAAACTTCAATGATGTCTCCTCGGTTAAAAATGAGCTCATCCGGGTCCTGGGGTGAGAAATCAAAGCACGCTTGGACGTGTCTCGGCTTCTCCTAATAAGTACAAAACACACAAATATTTCAGCTGACCTTCAGGTAAAAGTTCCTTCAAGCAAAGCAAGCAACGTCCTTTTAATTCAGGTGGAAGGGAAATAATTCCTTAAAAAAAAGAATAAATTGCGTCACCATATTTGTGAACGAAATGCAGCAGCCAATTGCGCACTGCAGTGTCCCACAAACAGTCGTGGATTGAAGTGGGCAGTTTTAATATTGTTTTTTTTCTTGAGGGATTATCATCAGGTGTGTGGAGTAGGGAAACTTGCCCAAAGTTTTGCCCTGCTGGGAATTAAATCCTGCGAGGCGAGCGCTCCAACCACTGAGCTACAGTACTCTATGTACAACAACAAAATTACATTTGTATAGCGCCTTTCACGTAGGCCGGATGTCCCAAGGCCCTGGAAAGATACAGTTAAGGACCCGCGCTGAAGGTGGAGGTGAAGCAGGGAGATCGAAAGCACGGTTGAAGAGGAGGGTCTTGAGAAGGATCTTGAAGGTGGTGAGGGAGGGGGCGAGGCGGAGGGACTGTGGGATGGAGTTCCAGAGGGTGGGGGCAGAGTTGCAGAAGCCCCGCCCACCAATAGTGGGGCGAGCGAGGCAGGGGACGTGAAGCAGGTCGGAGCCCACTGAGCGGAGGGAGTGAGCAGGATGTAGGGGATTAGGAAGTCGCAGAGGTAGTGGGGAGCGAGACCATAGAGGGCTTTGAAAGTGAGGACCAGGATCTTGAACTGTACTCTCTGTGTGATGGGAAGCCAGTGGTGTCGGGTGAGGATGGGGGCGGAATAGGGTCACGGAGCCTGGTGCGGGAGAGGATACGGGCTGCAGAGTTAGTTCTAAATGATCTGCGGCCTGTGGAGTGAGGCCAACAAAGAGTGAGTTTGCATAGTCGAGCCTCGATGTAATGAAGACGTGTGAGGGTCTCGGCGGCCTGCGGTGTGAGATAGTGGCGGAGCCGGGCGATGTTGCGGAGGTGGGGGAACGCAGAGCAGGTCATGGTGCAGATGTGGGGTAGAAAGGATAGTTGAGGGTCAAACAAGATGCCAAGGTTCCAGACTGGCTGCAAGGTGGAGTGTGCGACCATGGATGGTGATGCCGTCAGCGCCTGAGGTGAGGCTGACGGGAGCTGATGTAGAACCAAGATCATGCACCAACAGTCACCTGATCTTTAAGTGTGGGGTGATGACCACAGAGGTTCTTGGAATGTGATAAATGTTTGTGATAAAAGCTGGGTATAGTGATGGATTTTTGCCTCAACAGTGTTTGCTCAAAAGACTCAAAATTAATGTTGGGATTGTGGGCCAGGAAGACTCTGGTGACTGCATCCCACTCAACCCTCCATAGAAACATTAGCTGTCAGAATGGTAAGCTCTGTTGGAATTGCCCACAATGCTCTGATGCAGCAGTAAACAGGTGCCCTTCCTTGATCTGTTAAAGCCTTGAAATGAATGCTCTTGTCCTGGCTTTGAGCCTACGCTGGCTGCTCTCTGGATCAGGTAACCTGCTGTCACCGAATCAACTGAGCAAATAAAGAGTGAAAAGGCTGTTTAGCAAAATGAACCGTCAGAAGGATAAAGGTAAGCAGAGATACCGTGTGAAGAAAAAAATAATAAAACAGCTGGTATACTTTTTAAAATGTGTTCCCCAAACACCCACCTCGTAACAATGAGTGAGCAATTTCTAGCAGGTCACGGGATAATGTACAGGGTGAAATCCTACCTGCCTTTACCCTCCCTACTAATATTGCAGCTAAAACAAAGGACTTCATTCCTGGGACAACTTCATGACTGCACAGACGTACTGCAATAATCATAAAATAGCACAATTGAAGATAATAAACGTTTTAAAATGCCATGTTTTATCATGTGCTTTCTCTCTCCGTGTTCTTTCTCTCTCTCCTGCTATTTTCAAATGAGATATAAATTGTAACTTGTTTTTCTTATTTTGTATTAATCTGAACCCCTTCCCTGCTCATTCTAACTTTGTTCCTTTTCTGCTCCAGGTTGATGTCAAGATCCTCAATCACAAATGCCTTCATGCTCCAGCACTTCCTATCTCTGAGGCTCCATAATCAACATACCTTTTCTTCCTCATTGATGTCTCTCAGGAGGATCTGCTGCCTCTTTGCAATTGTCGTGGTCCGGTAGAAGTCCACCAGCTCGTTCAGGGAATTAAACTTCTCCTCCCACAAGAAATATTTCCCCTCTTTGTCACGGAGGACTTTGAAATGCTGGACATGGATTCCATAGCTGTTGAAAGATGGCTGGAGTCAGGCAGCTGATTTTACATTGCCAATTACTTTTGTGCCAGTAGAAATAATGATAATTAGCGGTGTATTTGACATGGCGCCTTTCATGTTAGGAGGACCTCTCGAGTGCTTTACAGAGTTTACTGCAAAGTGCAGTAACTGTGTATTTTGTAGACAAATGCAACAGCCAATTTGTGCACATCAGTGTCCCTAAACAGCAATGAAAGACAAAATTTTATTTGGCGGATTGTTGGCCTCCAAGAGAAACTCCTCTTTTTGAACCATGCCATAGGATCTTTCATGGCAGATGGTGTCTCAGTTTAACGTCTCTTCTAAAGGATGGCTCCTCCAACAATGTAGCACACTCCCAGTATTGATTGCACTGGGATGTTAGCTTAGAGTATGAGTTCCAAATCCCAATATGGGTCTTTAACCTATAGCCTTCTGGCTCAAAGGTGAGAGTGTTACCAACTGAGCCAGGCTGACCAATAACTGACCTATATATTTGGTCCAAACCAAAAAATTGCCAATGGGTGGTAACTAGAGAAAAAAAAGGGTTCCATTACTTAGCATTGGCATCCCTTAAACTTTGCTGAACACGTATTGCTCAGTCACACAGGCCAACGTGATTCATTACATAGAAATTCTCACTGCTTCTTCACCCGTATGCATAGTTAAATGTATTTTAATGTATCACAGGAAGACCTCTATATATCATAATACAATACAAAGCAAAGTGTACATTATTCATCAGACCATGATAGACTGACTGAATTATTCAATGTTTCATTAACCATTTCACTAGTTTCTGGAATAGAGCAGCAATAGCCCAGAGTGTTTAAATTATACAGCAACCTTCTTAACAATTGTCTTCGGAGCCGTTCCAATAATTACAATTTTCATAAAATGCTGCTTAAAATTATGAAGTATTAGATATCCTCTGTTAATAATTAATAATTGCAAGCCTATAAGGTTTCAGTGTGACTTGTTCCTTGAGATGTAGTGATGAAACCAGCTGTTACCTAAAGTACCCAAGCCTGATGAGACATAAGACATTGCAAATTCATTACTTAACATTACAACAAGAGGTTGTTAAAATCATTTACTCTGTTTCTGCCTGAACTCTCTGCTTTTATAAATGATTGGTTAGGCAAGTTCCTTACTCCACACGCCTCTGTTTACCTAGCAGTAAGTAGGAACCCATTTGTTAGTCGATTGGCAGATCATTTTCTGAGGGTAATAATCTCTCCAAAAAAAANTTTTGTGACTGTTGTGGGACCCTGCTGTGTGCAATTGTCTGCCGTGTTTTGCGCACAAAACACACAGTCACTACACTTTACAGTATATTCTGTGAAATACTTTGAGGTGTCTCGCTGACGTGATAAGGCACTATATCAGATGCAAGGATTATTAGTATTTATAAGCAACCGATTGGTAGGTTAGAGGCATCTCCACATTTAACTCTCCAAAAACGATTTTTGTTACCCGGTGAAGAATCTTTACCCTTTTATCGTTTGGTGTATTGGTGGAGGAGTGTTACTGTTTCAGGGCCATTGACTGACCTGCGGTGTCTCGTCAACTGGTCACTATTTTAGCCTCTACGCTCCTGGGCCTCTGGAATTCTCTCCCGAGATCCCTCTGCCTCACAGCCTCCTCTCTACATCAAACCCTTCGAAAAACCTACCCCAGCAACTTCCGTCAACTCCCATCTTTCCCTCATTCCCCTGATTTTCCATTCTGTTTCTTAGTGTTCTACGTGAATGTTGCTGTATGGTTAGAGATGTAACAGCCAAACCGAATCCTGTCCTCACTTTCCAACAGGAGCCACTGGATGGCAATCAGGAGCAAGAAAGCTGATTATTCCCATTTGGGGTCAGGGTGCTGGGGTCAATTGTAACATTTATTGAACCTGGGATCTCACCAGTTTACAGAACAAAATGATCAGCACTGCTGGAAAATGAATGTTTTTGACGATGGATGAACAGTGAAGGTGTTGTATTTGCGGGTGAATGAGAATGGATATATGCAAAAACACAGGGTGTTGCAGATATAAAGTATGCGGATTAAACAGACAATTATCTCAACCAGAGCCACAATTTCTCCGTTGGTTGTGGTCCAATGAGTAGATTTCCAAGTAACCTATAATTATAGCGCTCTGATTTTTTGCTTAGTTTCATAAATGAACAATTTGCATTCTCTTGTTTTTAAGTAGCAAGAGTGAATCAGCATGATTCTTCTAGCTCTGGTTTTATATTGCACAATATGTCGCTGCTTTTGAGACATTGGTACAAACAGTATGGGGTGAATCAGAGTTGAGCATGTGAGAGACTACTTTCTTCCTTGAAAATTGCAGGAGCCATGTTTCCACACAGCAAGGTCCCACAAACAGCCATGAAATGAATGACCAATTTTATCTGTGGATTGTTGGTCGGAAAAGCAGGAGAAACCCCAAACAGTGTGAGCTCAAAGTCCCATCGTAGGGCTTGCACCCATTAACTCAGAACCGCACCAAGCTGTCACTTGAGAAATCAAGAGGAAGCTTCCTATGAGTGAAAGGGATTAGAGGAGTTTTAAAGAGGATATTAAGAGGGACGGAAGCTTGCATGAACATGGACTACTTGGGCCAAGTGGCCTGTTCTGTGCAATATCATGCTATGTATTTCAGTCTGATTGTTGTAACAGTGTGAGAGAAAGATGACATTTCTCTGGGTCCCTTTCTCAATTGTATCAAAGGGCTCTCAATTAGAACCATGGACTCCAGGTAGACAGTGGTCTCAGCTCCATCTGCTGATTGCAATTCTGCGATACGGAGTACCTGAACTCCTTGCATTTGGCACAGCGCCTATAACATAAAAATATCTTCACAGGGAATTGCTGTCAGTGTAACACCATGTATTTTGTAGGCAATTATTACAGCCAATTTGTGTACAGGATTGCCCCAGAAACAGCCATGAAGTGAATGATCAATTCATCTGGAATCAACTGAACTAATTCCACACATTCCCTCAAGAAATCCTCAAATCCTTGAAGTCGTTTTATGACTATTGTATTGAAGCCACCTGATGCTCCAAATAATTACAGGACAGAACTGAGAAAATAGATAAAATCCTATTTCCATGATTTCTTAAATGTGGCTCTTCACTTCCGGAGAAATGGAAAGGTGATGCCAGAAAATTTTCACTGGCGTGTGGATGCAATCCAATTGAATCAAAGAGCAAATTTTTTGCTGTACATTTAATAATGCTATTAAATTCCTGTTCCATATGCAAAATGTATGAAAACAGGAGGTTACTTGTGTTTAACTCGTTTCCATTATAATTTGAACACAGGCCATTTGGACTGAGGCATAATGGGTGTGTTTTTGGCGGAGAACACACAAGTTGATTGGCACAGGTATATTGTCATAATAATTTCATAGTATTATTATTATGATTACTAATAATCAGGAATGAAAGCTTAACTGTGAAGAGAAAGTCTCCAATGTCTTGAAAAATCACTGGATGATGGAATTGCCTTGGTTACGCTGTTCTGTGAACTCGTGCCAGCGAGTCACTGACCAAAGTCCTAAACAGTAAATAAATTATGAACTGCCCAATGTGGAGTATAAAATGTATTGGCAAAACATTTTGAAGAGTTTCAACCATATTTTCCTTTTGATTTCCACACTGAAGCAATAAAGTTAAAAATAATATTTTTTTCTGCACTTACAATAAATTTTGACTGCGGAGTTTCGCCCACAAAATATACAGTCAATTCACTTTACAGTATTTCGTGCGAAGCATTTCGAGACATCTCAAAGACCTGATAAGTCGCTATGTCAAATGCAAGGATTATTTATTATTATTATTTATTTTACTGGGGCAAAATTTGGGATATTCCTTAACCCGTTACCTTGTGCTAATTAAGATAAAGGAAATCAGTAAATGTTGCTCCATTGTGGCTGCATTGGAAAGTTTACCCAATACACAGCCGTCCCATTTACTGCACTAACCTTTGAGAATGAAACCCAGGACCAACACACAATATCAGTGAGATAGTAACTAACGATAGCAGTGCAATGAGTGGTTACATCATGCAGCTTGAATAATGAATGCTGCTCATTGCCAATTCATACAGTGCTGAGATAGTTTGTATGTTTGAATGCTTAAATGTTTTAAGCAGGAACTAATTTATACAGGTCATTAGCCTGAATAATTCAATGATGTCTCTAAGCATTCCTCGGTTAATGCTTCAGTTCCTTCAAAACTCCATCGCCTACTTCTTGACCTGCACCTCTCTCCATCACTCCAGTCCTTGCCCTTCTCCCTGCCTCCCAACAATTTCCAGTTCCTCACCTATAACGCCCTGCTTGTTGGCCTTCCCAACTCTTCTCTCCACAAGCTGCAGATCATCCAGAACTTTGCAGTTCGTGTCCTCTCCCACAACACGCTCCATGATCCCACCATCCGGCTCCATTGGCTTCCCATCTCCCAGAGGATAGAGTTCAAAATCCTTGTCCTCGTCTTCAAGGCCCTCCACGGCCTTGTTCCTTCCTACCTCTGTGACCTGCTGACCCCATATCAACTTGTCCGCTCCCTCCCTTCAGTAGATCCCAGGCTGCTTCACATCCCCTGCCCGCCCGCCCCATCAACGGGCCTTCAGCCTCTCTGCCTCCACCCTTTGGAACTCCATCCCACATTCCCTTCGCCTCACTCTCTCCCTTGCCTCCTTCAAGGGGCGTCTCAAAACTTTCCTCTTCGGCCACCCTCCTACCCTCCCTGCCCTCCACTCTCCCCAATCTCAACCCCCGGCTCGGGTCCAAATCCCTGACTGTCCAGTGACTTGGGACATCCTCCCAATGTGTAAGGCACTATACCGATGTAAGTTTGTATTGTATAAATCCCTTCACACCCTCTCATCGCTGTTGTTCAGATAAGATGTTAAACTGAGGTCCCGTCTGACTGTTCAGATGGATGTTAAAGATCTCTTGGCATGCTTTGAAAAGAGAAAGCTGTATTGATT